GAGAAGGTGAATGATAAAACTATATTTTCACATCATGACCACAAACTGATATAAGAAATCTGTAGTTTTGTTCTCACTGATGTCTGAGTTCTGGCCTCAGAGGCAGCGGCGGCTGGTGGTGTTTTCTCCAGTGGGGGCTATAAATTCAAAATAAACGTATACCAAGAACCAATCAAACAAATAATAAGTTATCAGCCCATGAATGCTAACAACAAAAAACATTATAAAAACACTTATGAAAACACTATAAATACTATTTGTTTACACTATAAAAACAAAAACATAATTTCATGTCCAGGTTTACTTTTTGTACATAAATCTTGTCCTTCTGAGGCTTTTTAAAAGTAAATCTGTGTTTTTCATGGTCCAATATTGTGTCACAAAGCTATTAGTCAGTTTTTAATTTTTTTTAATGTAAAATGTCATGATCTGGCCTGTTTGCTCCTCCCTAATTAGTAATTCCTTTCACCTGCCGTTTTCCCTCCCTGCCTCAATTATTATTTATTCCTCTCACCTGTTTCCTCTGGTTTATATTCAGTTCTCCCTGAGCATTCAGGGCCAGATCAGTGCTTGTCTTTCTGTCAGTCTGTTCAGTTTGATTCCTTGGTTCGTGTCCTGGATCCTAGCAGCCAGTGAAAAGAGGGTTTTAGTGTTTGTCTCGTCTCCTGATTGTCCACTGTTCCTCCCCCGCGGAGTCCTCTGGGTTTTGGCTCATTATGGGGGGAGGTTTAGTTTTTAACCAGTAAGCCTGGCTCCAGGGAGGAGACCAGTTTAAAGTCCTGCTTCAAGTTCTGGTTCCACGTCCTGTCTCGGCTACCCTCTTCCACTGATCCTGTCTGCTCCTGTGCGTGACCACCTGGTCATGCTTCTGGTCCCAGTCAGACTGAACCCTCCTGGAAGCCTGTGGATGCCTGGAAGTCTGGATCCTGCTACCTGTTTCTGTTCCAGCCTGATCTGGATCCTGTCTCTGTCTGTTACTGTCTGTTCTGGATCCCTGACCAGGATCAACTTCCAGCATGACCTCTGGAACTGCAGCACTTGGGGACATTCTAGGACTGGACGGTCAAACCAGGTAAGTGACCAACTCAGATAATCATCCTTGTCAGATGATCGTGGTCACTTACCTGTGTTTCTGCTGCAGAGTGTCTGTGATTGAGCGGTGCCCCGCTCCCCATCCTGCAGTGTCCGCAAGCAACAGCTCCGCTTTTGTTTTAATTTAATAAACCTTTTTGAACTTTCCTACTGACTGTCTCTCCTTGAATACTGGGTCCATCTGTCCTTGACAGTGAAAACTACTTATTTTCTGAGAATGCGTTTATTTAAGAGCTGGTGAAGATTCCCAGTCATCCCAGAAAACTATCCATTGGACTTTGTTTCCAAGTTTGAAGAAGTTTCTCTTACCACCCAGGAAGCTTTTTCTATTCAAAATGTCTGGTGATGATGTCTGGATAGTGTTTGAGTTCCAGGTTTTATCCAGCAGCCCAACAAAGCCTTGTTATGGCTTAGAAAACATGCAAATTGAACCAAAAACAGGTCCACCCCTTAGTAACGGGGAGTCATTGAGGTTGTTGCTGGCATGGCTTAACAGGTGTCCCACCTGTCCTAGCCGTCTTTATCCATGCTGGCTCAGATCCCTACGTTTGAAAAAGGAGGCAGTGAAAGCAGCGTACAGCGTTAGCCTTGTTGCATGTTAGCCTAGCCTTGGAGCTAAACCAGCTCCTGGAAAATGACAGGGGGGACCGTCCCCATCTTTCTTTGGACTGATAAATTGTTTTGATGTTTGGATGATCAGGTCCAAACGGTTTCACCTCCAGCTTCTCTTGGTAAGTCTGCTTAAAGGGATTTCACTTAATTACATTTTTCTTGCGCCATTTCTCTCTCTCTCCAATCGTCTACAACTTCCTCGACTCGACCTGTCAATCAGCCGCACTACAACTGTGACGTCAGTTCCTTTCAGCTCTTGGTGCAGGACAGCTCCACCCCAGGATTTTCCTACAGACCTGCTATGACTCTGTTGTGGCATCAGCCACATAAATGAACATCTCTGTTAGATAATGTCCCCCCCCCCCATGCTGGTTCAGCTGGTGCTGAACTGGACAGCTCCTTCAGTGACAGACTGCTGCACCTTAAATGCACCAGGGAGCGTTATCACAGATCCTTCCTCCCAGCAGCTGGAAGACTCTAGAACCACCACTGTTCCCATCAACCTCAATCAGCTGTTACATCTAAAAAACTATATTAATATATTTCGAAATATTTTTGTTTTATAATAAAATTTTATTTGTTTTTTTATGTCTTAATGAAGGTAAATGGGTTTTGAAATCCTTTCACTGACTTCCTGTAGCTCAGAAAATAAGCTTTAAAATCCTTCTGTTAGTCTAGAAATCAGTGAATAGATCAGCACCTCAATCCATAACAGATCTGTTGTCAGTGGATCTACCTACTAGACCACTCAGATCTTCTAGTTCCAGCCTCCTCTGTCCACCCACAACTAGAACCAAACATGGAGAAGCAGCATCTATGCTCCATGGATCTGGAACAAACAGACTGGAAAAGAGCTGAAGGCATGAGTTCTTTGAAGTTTGAGTTAAAAACCTGTTAGTTCAGAGCGGATGGAGATAAACTGTTAAAGGAAAAGTCCAATTAGCGAGGAATGATCAATAGGTCATTATTTATGGCTAAAAATAAAACGTTTGTGTTGATTTAATGAATTTAGCATTAACCAGTAAAAAAAAAAAAAAAACAACAATTTTTGTGGCGATCACTGAGTCTGGGAGCAGCCATTTTTGCCCAAATATAGCAGTGACGTCACGGTGCGGTAAGCAGAGATGGCAAAAGTACTCACTTTACATACTTGAGTAAAAGTTCAGATACTTGTGTTAAAAAATACTCTGGTAAAAGTGGAAGTACTGATTAAACTTCTTTACTCAAGTAAAAGTAACAAAGTACAGGCTTGTAAATTTACTTAAAGTATAAAAGTAAAAGTAGAAACCACTTTTTTCATGCCGTTGCCTACATTTTAAATGGATGTCTGCCAATAGGACTAGATCTCCGTTGTGTTCATTTTCAATCATCTCGTCGTCCATGCTACTATGCCAACGCCACCGCCACCAAGCTGCAATGATTTGCCGCCAATGAATACCGCCGAATCTGTCGATTCATCTTGTAGTGGTGCGTCAAATGCAACGTAGATTCCCATCCAATTAGATTGAATTTGGTATTGATGACGTGAAAAATAATAACGGTAACTCCATTGAAATGATTCAAAACTAAAGTAACGAGACAATTTTTTCAAATGTAAGGAGTAGAAAGTACAGATATTTGTGTAAAAATGTAAGGAGTAGAAGTAAAAAGTCGCCATAAAAATAAGTAGTAAAGTAAAGAAAAAATATCAGAAAAATCTACTTGAGTACAGTAACGAAGTATTTGTACTTCGTTACTTCCCATCTCTGGCGGTAAGCCTAGCGCCATTCTCCCCGCTTTCCAAGCTAAATCAATGGGAACTACTAGACACATCTGCAATCAACAACAATTATTGAAGATTTCCAGAGGACTTCACCACTGAAATTCACCAGAGCTATAGTGAAACTGACAATGCCCACGTGCATGGCAGCTGGATGCTGGAATACATCGGGTAAAAGTGAAAAAAAGAGTTATTCCACCTTTCTGATTCCTGATCCTCCACGGACGGGTTGGTCGTTGGATCGCCAACTTGAAGAGGGAGGATTTGCCATCGAACTTCTGGCCAGAGAAAAAATCCGTAATATGTAGCCAACATTTGGAAGAAGAATGTTTTCAAGATGACTTGGATAATAGCGCGTTGTGACAAACACCAGATACAGCACTGGGACTTGATCAACAGCCGATACCGCACCGTGACAATGTCACTAACCAGTAGGTGGCAGTAGTGTTCTTTGACAAACATGGATGCCTCCAGTAAAGAACTTTCACATGAAAATTACTCTGAATTAAAAACACTAGTGTTGCCGATCTGTTTGAAATTGATGTGTGTGTATCTATGAAGAACTGCATCCTACTTGGATGTAAAATAATCACCATCATGGCTTCATGTCAAGCTGTTGCCTTCCTTTGTGAAGCAGGAAACAGACTAAAAGTGAATCCAGTAGAACTTTTTATTGCCTACCTGGAATGGGTGACAATAGTTGAAGAAACTTTTGGCTCTCGGTGCCCTATTGGTTGGTACTCACCGATACCGATACCACCATTTTAGTGCTGGATCGGGCCCTGCTCCATACTGGTATCGGTGCAACACTAAAAAACACTTACAATTTATTGAACAGTGTGTACTTATTTCATATTTAAAGTACTTTCAGAAGTTTGAATTCTGAATGTGAGCGGACTTTTCCTGAGAATTCATTAGTTTAAGGTTCAGGTCAAACTGTTTGTTTTACTACCTGCTTTTATTATGCTATAATATTCTCTTCTATTTTATTGTTTCATTCATGTAAAGCCATTTTAATTGTCCTTCTACTGACCTGTGCACCAGATAAACTTTCCTTGAGACATTAAACCTCAAATACCTTTGTGTTGCAAAGGAAAGCTTCTCTCCATGAGTCAGATGTTCAGCTCCTCTCTCATTCTGAGGGAAGCCATGAACTAACCTGATGGATAAAAACGGTCTAAAGAAGCTTCTCAGAGTTTTTGCTTTTTATTCAGTGTTTTACAGTAAAGGGGGGGGAGTGTTTGTAGAGGGGGTTGGTGGCTGCGCGTCCCGGGGCAGCTCCTTATGACGTTGCGTCACCAGGAGTCCGGAGGTCTGTGAGGACGAAGCAGCAAAGCTCCCAGTTTGCCAGAGTGGAGCTGGAGAGAGGCCAAGTTGTTCTGACTGATTCTTCCTTCCTCTGCTAGGCTCATCCTGGAAAAACACAGACCGGAGGATTAAAGCCAAGTTCGGGATTTTAATCGGTTTTAAAGGAACCTAAAAGTGATCTAAAACTTTTCTCTGAGAAAGTTTATCCGTTGTTGTTGGTTGTTTTTTTTTTCTTTCTTTTTTTTTCTTTTTCTTTTTTTGATTGATTATGAATTAATGGGCTCCGGAGCTCCGGATGATCCACCGTTTCCCTACTAGAAGCAAACCAAAGTGTGGATTTACCGCCAGTTCGGGTTCCTCCAGCGGACATGGTCTGTGCGTCTGCCTTCCTGCTCTAAATCATTTCTAAGGAGGAACGTTCACTTAGCGGATCCACGATGAAGGCGCTTATTTGTGTCTGTTTGGTTCTGATGACTCTGCTCACCTGGACCGAAGCCGACAGACAGGCTCTGCTGAAGCGGGTCCAGCTCCACCGGCGCGCACCAAAGAACGGACGGACCCAGCAGCGCGCATCCGCCAAGGAGGGCTTCAGCCGGCGCCTGCGCCCGGGCTTTGGTTCTCCGATCACTATGCGGGGTGCAGGAGAGGCGCAGTCTGACAACGGGGCCCAGGATCCCGTCAGGAGAGGGGGGGCCGGGCAGATTGGCCTGCCGCAGCGGGATGAAGGCGCCCCGGGAGCCAGAGCCCGGATCTCCAGGATGCCGAGCAGCGCGGGTTCACCCAACCTGCTGGCCAGCTTCGCAGGGAAAAACCGAGTCCTGGTGATCTCCGCGCCCCACGAGTCCGACGGCTACTACCGGCTAATGATGTCTCTCCTGAAACCGGACGTGTACTGCGAGCTGGCCGAGAGGCACGTCCAGCAGATAGTGATGTTCCACCAGGAGGGGGAGATGGGGGGCAAGGTGAGGAGGATCACTGCTGAGGGCAAGGTGCTGCAGGAGCCGCTGGACATGGCGCTCATCCCCAGACTCATGAGCTTCCTCAAACTGGAGAAGGGTAAGAGTCAGACAGGAGGGACTGCTGCTCCTCAGGGAAACAAATGCTGGTTTAACAGGTGAACAGGTAAACAGGTGAACAGGCGAACAGCTGCTGGTAAAGCTTCACCTCCCAAACACACCAAAGTGGTGAATTCTTTCAGCCCCCATTTATTGACTTTTCAGACCATATTGACTCAGTTTGCTTATTATTGTTGAGTTTTAGGACATTGGCAGTAAAGAGGCTGGGAAACAAATGATGCCAATTTTTATTTTTATTTTGTGTTTCTAAAAAGTGTTTGATATATATTTCACTCCATCACCCTTCCTTGGACTTGCAGGTAAGTTCGGAATGGTTCTGCTGAAGAAAACCCTGCAGGTGGAGGAGAAGTACCCCTACCCGGTGAGACTGGAGGCCATGTATGAGGTCATTGACCAGTCGCCCATGAGGAAGATGGAGAAGCTGCGCCAGAAGGGTTTCGTGCAGAAGTGTAAAGGAGCAGGTGTAGAGGGTCAGGTAGAGGACATCACGCCTCACACAGGTAAGCGGTAGTCTACGTGTAAAAAAAAAAAAAAAAAAAAAAAAAAAAAAAAGAAGGGGGATGGTGGATTTTTTTGTAAGCATACAGTAAAGAGAATTGGTCCTAGCACTGATCCCTGTGGTACTCCATAGGTAACCTTTGAGCATGAGGAAGATCTGTCATTAACATGAACAAACTGAAATCGATCAGATAGATCAAATTTAAACCAGTCTAGAGCTGTTCCTTTAATTCCAACAAAACATTCAATTATTTCTAAATAATATTCTGATCAACTGTATCAAATGCAGCACTGAGATCCAACAGGACGAGCACAGATACAAGTCCATTATCTGAGGCCATGAGAATATCATTAGTGACTTTCACCAGAGCTGTTTCAGTGCTATGATGAGCTCTAAAGCCAGACTGAAACTCTTCAAAAAGTTCATTATGGTGGAAGTGATCGCAAACTTGTTTGGCAACTACTTTCTCAAGAACTTTAGATCAGAAAGGAAGATTGGATATAGGTCTATAATTGACCAAGGCATCTGGGTCAAGAGACGGTTTCTTAAGCAGAGGTCTAATTCCAGCAACCTTAAAAGCTTTAGGTACATATCCCTGTAACAGAGATAGATTAATCCCATCTAGAATGGAGGAAGAGATCAAAGGGAATACCTCCTTAAATAACCTGGTTGGAACTGGATCTAACATCCAAGTTGAAGGCTTAGATGAAGACAATAATTTTGCTAATTCAGATAGTTCAACTGGATCAAAGCAGTCTAAACCCGGTTCAGATTCCATGACTACCTGAGATGCTGCCCCCCCCCTTCAGAGACAAACCAATCACAGATAGAGTGCTTATGATCTTATTTTTAATAAGATCAATCTTATTTATAAAGAATCCCATAAAATCTTTGCTGCTAAGAGCAGGTGGAATGGACGGTTCAACAGAGCTATGGCTCTGGGTGAGTTTGGCAACTGGTTTAAAAAGAAATCTAGGATTATTCTTATTCTCCTCTATTAATGAGGAGAAGTATGCTGCTCTTGCTTTACAAAGGGTTCTCTTATACAGCAGTAAACTATTTTTCCAGACTAGGAAGGACTCCCGCAGGCCTGTGGAGCGATATTTTCTCACCAGTTTCCTAGCATTTTGCTTCAAAATGCGCAGCTCTGCATTAAACCAAGGAGCAAGCTTTCTATTTTTAACGGTTTTCATTTTCAAAGGAGCTGCGTTGTCTAAGGCAGTACGCAGAGAACTAGCAACCCCATCAACAAAATCATCAACCTGTGAAGGGGAATAAGCTAAGCTTTTGCACTCTGCAGCACTGCTCAGCGACACAGAGGAGAGAGAAAGTGAAGCAGATTCTTTAAAATTTATAACTGCACTATCTATTATCTATTAAAAGTGGTCAGAGAGGACAGAGTTGTGAGGAAATACTGTTATTTCTTCACATTCTATGCCGTATGTCAGCACAAGATCCAAAGTATGAAGATGAGAATGTGTGGGACTATTCACATTTTGAACAAAGCCAATAGTGTCTAAGATAGCATTAAAGGCTGCTCTTAAGCTATCGCCTTCAATGTCAGCATGGATGTTAAAATCTCCCACTATGATGACCCTGTCAGTATTTAACACCCAATCAGGAAGGAACTTCATAAACTAGTCTAAAAATTCAGAGTAAGGACCTGATGGACGATACAAAGTTACAAAAAGAAGAGGTTTTCTTGCTTTGAAATTTGGATCAGGGAAATTACGGGTTAAATGTTCAAAAGAGTTATAGTGTTAACTGCCTTTGGGGTAATCAGTAAGTCAGACTGAAAGATTGTTAAAGATAGAAATCTTCAGTTTAAGTTGAAATCATACAAAGAGTTTAGGCTTTATCATTTGGCCTATCTGGTGGTTTAAATGAATGCCTTTTGGTGTTACAGGACAGTTTAGGTTTATGTTTTTTTGCTCTGCTTGTGTGTTGATTAGCTCCTGATCCATCTGTAGAGGAAAAACCCAAAAAGAAGTTTCTCAGAAAGCCCAAACCAGCCTCAACAACATCTGCTACAACTACCACAACGACTACACGGCCCACGACGACGACAACAACAACAAGACCTACCACCACCACAACAAGACCTACCACCACCACAACCAGACCTACCACCACCACAACCAGAGCCACAACCACCACAACCCGAGCCACAACCACAACTAAACCCACCACCACCACTACAAGAAGATCCACCACCACTACCCAGAGACCAACAAGAGCCCAGCCCACAGCGCTTTGGCTGCCAGCTCCTAGAACTACTTCTGATCCTTACTATGACAACCGCAGAGAGAGGTACCCAGCTAAAACCACCTCAGCTGGAGACAACCGCACTGATAAGGACACCACACACAGCCACAAGTTAGTGCCTGTTTCACATAAGCCCACAAAGGACAAATCCACCAAGAATGAAGCAGAGAAGGTAATACTGATGTTTTCGCTTGGCCTCTCTTCCTTTTATAACCGCACGGTTTACTTCTGGATTGCAGTCCTTCCAATGTTTTAACCCCTTTAGCTTGCAGAGATGTCAGTCACCAGGCTGCTAGTTCGTCAATTTATTCCAAAGAAGTAAAAAAACAATCCGCTGGACTTTGTTTCCAACTTTGAAGACGTTTCACTTCCCATCCAGGAAGCTTTATCAATTCCAAATGTCAGATTTTGGCTTGTTGGCCTGGCTGAACAAATGAGTTGGACTCCTCGCCTAATCAGCCAGGCCAATAATTCCCTTTAACAACCCCCCTTTCAGAGACATAGACAGGTATGGGGCCTTGCAGGCTAACAAAGAAACCAAAAGACCCCCATTCCAAAGGGGGGGACCCATTTGTCCGGTTCAGTTTGCATGTTTTCTAAACAAAACAAGGCTTTGTTGGGCTACTGTATAAAACCTGGAACTAAACGCTTTTCCTGACATTTTGAATTGAAAAATCTTCCTGGATGGGAAGAGAAACGTCTTCAGACAAAGTCCAGTGGATTGTTTTTAATTTTTTTGGAATGACTATGACCTTGATGACTGAGAATCTTCACCAGCAGATTTGTTATGTTTAATTTAGACTCAGATGGAACTGGTAGAAAACAAAAACACAACATTCTTGTTCATCATGTAAACCAGGAACTACAAAGTAGGTGAGTCTCTATCCACATTCTGCATAACTTCAGGACCACCTGTATAATAGTTGTTCCAGCTTTTGCAGCAACCATAACCTTTTAAGCAGAGTACTCCAGTAAACCATTGACAGTAAACCAATGATATGCTCCTTTAAGTTCAACAAAACATGCTCTCCATGGATCTTAATTGTTTGTCAAGAACATTCCACAAATTCTGGACTGAAATCTGCCAATCGATAAACATGACAATGGTTGTTATGGTTCTCCTTTTGGTTGTAGGCGACCTCTTAAGTACCCAAAGTTATTGCTATATATTACTGGATTTGACATCCACTTTAAGCCACTATAGCTAGTGCCATTCTCACTAGGCACCATTGATATACAACGAGTCATGTCAACATATCGGCCTGCTCTAATGCAGAATCCGCTGCATTTGTCACAGAAGCAGTCGTAGCTAATTTCAGCTTATATAATTTTTGAATAAATTATGTCTCAAATTAAAGTTGGGTAAATTGCCGATATGATATCATAGATAGAAATATGTACTCAAAATAAATATGAATCCATAAGCAGTGACAGAACTGTGAATTAAAGTGGTCACAGGCATAAAAATGTGGCTGCAAGTTTGTTTTTAACTGCTGTGATTTTTATATCAGCATTTGTTGGTTTTTGGCCTTGGTGCTGAACTATTGACTAAAAGAGGGGTCATGGGACAACCATGGCTACCAGTAGTAGCCATTCAAACTTTCCCCAATTTCTGTGATGGGCCCTTGGCTGGTTTTTGACTGGTCCTTGGCTGGTCTTTCACTGGTCTTTGACCGGTCCTTGGATGGTCCTTGACTGATCCTTGGCTGGTCTTTCACTGGTCCTTGGCTGGTCCTTTGCTGACCCTTGGCTGGTCTTTGACTGGTCCTTGGTTAGTCCTTGGTTTGTCTTTGACTGGTCCTTAGCTGGTCTTTCACTGGTCTTTGACCAGTCCTTGGCTGGTCCTTGGCTGGTCTTTGACTGGACCTTGGTTAGTCCTTGGTTGGTCTTTGACTGGTCCTTGGCTGGTCTTTCACTGGTCTTTGACCGGTCCTTGGATGGTCCTTGACTGATCCTTGGCTGGTCTTTGACTGGTACTTGGTTAGTCCTTGGTTAGTCTTTGACTGGTCCTTGGCTGATCTTTCACTGGTCTTTGACCGGTCCTTGGATGGTCCTTGACTGATCCTTGGCTGGTCTTTGACTGGTACTTGGTTAGTCCTTGGTTGGTCTTTGTCTGATCCTTGGCTGGTCTTTGACTGGTACTTGGTTAGTCCTTGGTTGGTCTTTGTCTGATCCTTGGCTGGTCTTTCACTGGTATTTGACCGGTCCTTGGATGGTCCTTGACTGATCCTTGGCTGGTCTTTAACCGGTACTTGGTTAGTCCTTGGTTGGTCTTTGACTGGTCCTTGGCTGATCTTCACTGGTCTTTGACCGGTTCTTGGATGTCCTTGGCTGGTCTTTGACTGGTACTTGGTTAGTCCTTGGTTGGTCTTTGTCTGATCCTTGGCTGGTCTTTCACTGGTCTTTGACCGGTCCTTGGATGGTCCTTGACTGATCCTTGGCTGGTCTTTGACTGGTACTTGGTTAGTCCTTGGATGGTCCTTGACTGATCCTTGGCTGGTCTTTGACTGGTACTTGGTTAGTCCTTGGTTGGTCTTTGTCTGATCCTTGGCTTGTCTTTCACTGGTCTTTGACCAGTCCTTGGATGGTCCTTGACTGATCCTTGGCTGGTCCTTGGCTGGTCCCCTATAATTCCTTTTTAAACATCAAATCTTTGTACTAAAATATTCTTTCTGTCATGATTTGTGGACATTAAGATCTAAAGAGAAGCGCCATCTCCTGGTCAGACCCTGTAATTCAGTGAAAGGGTGGAGTCAGAGTAAAAAGGTATGCAAGAGGGGGTCACTGCAGTGGCTGGAAGTTGGATGGGATTTTGCTTGGAGTTGCAGGGAAGTGGACTGCCATTCAACTGGTGTTTGACTGGGAACGGCCATTTTTAAAGGCTGCTACTGCACCTTTTTCAACGGGCTAGTCATTGTCAGCAGCAGAACATTTCCTGGTTCTATAACTGTTCCTGGGGGGGACAGTTATAGCAAAAGGGGCATGACCCAGAGCTTGGATGTGAAAATTATAACCAATCTGTGTAGTTTTTATGGCTCACTCTGTGGGGTATCTGGTGCTTCCTGACTGAAGACAGACCCCGCCCCCTGCTTAGGGGGAGGAGGTGGTCAGAGAGGCAAAGAGACAGGAAGGGGAGAGGATAAGAGAAGAAAAGCTCCGGGCTGCTGTACTTTAATATATATTCATATTGGAGCAGGAGAGACAAAAAACACTGTGTTAGCCTATCCAGCATGACTAGCTTGAAGCATTTATTGCTAAAATGTGAGATATTCTGATTCATTGAGGCCTTCATAAAATCCACTGTTACTCCTATTCAGTGAATTACGGCTCAAAGTGGTTCTTTTGGTTTTAACAGCCGTTTATTGAGGACACATCTTACAAAGTCCCAAAAAAATTCCACCACAACTAAGAAGGGAAAAAAGAAACCCGAATCAGCAAAACAAATATAAAGGTTTACACAAATAAAGTCACAATAAAGATTATTTAAACGTTTTTTATAACGTTTCTGGCCAAACTTCTTGGAAAACAATCCCAGTGATGCAAGTAATTGTGTCAATCAGTCTTTTTCATGGGCAGCAACGTGACATGCAGAACAAAAGATAAGCTCCTCCTTACATTTTAATGTGTTTAACATGAACAACATGACTTTACTGAAAGTTATTTATATATTTATGACGGAACGTTTCATTTTACTACTAGTATGTATGAGCTGTTGTTTTAAACTAAACTTTAAAAATAATTAAATGAGTTGACTCAGATTGCAGCTACATCCTTCAATGAATTCTCATATTTTATCCCTTTATTCCGCCTTTCTTTAACCATCCAAAATCATTTGTTTTACTGTTTTAAATGCTGCATGTTGCTTTTGTTTTTGTATTTTTGCATTTCAGGTCAATTAGATCATCAGAAGTCAAACTTTTAAAGCAGATTCTAAAGGTTTTCTGCTCTTTAAATTCTGACACTGCTTGTGTTTCTGCAGCAGCCCTGACTCAATGCATTGCCATGGCTCCTGTGTGTCATGTGTAACCAATCTAGTATTATATATCAATGGTCAAAGACAAACTCTGCATTCAAACCACTGAGACTAACAGTAATAAAAACAGCCCAGTTTCGAATGTTGCCCAAGCGATCACCTCTAGTTGCTTAATTCAATTCAGTTTATTTATATAGCGCCAAATTCACAACACATGTCATCTCAAGGCACTTTACAGTTCAACCAGATCATACAGTCAAATTGATACAAAGTTTTCTATCTAAGGAAAACCAGTTGATTGCATTGACTCATTGACTCAAATACAATCCCCCACACTAAGCATGCTTGTAGCGACAGTGGAGAGGAAAAACTCCCTTTTAACAGGAAGAAACCTCCAGCAGAACCAGGCTCAGTGTGAGCGGCCATCTGCCGAGGCCGACTGGGGTTCAAGGAGACAGAAGCAGAGATACAAAAAGCAGCTGTAAAAGGCGGCCCCGTCCAGGAAACACACAGCCAGGCTGTGTTAAACGTTAAAGAACGTTCACTGAATATTCACATTTTCTACCACAGAAAAATATTCTTGCTCAAGATCTAAGCAGACTTTTCAGCTTCAAACTGGCTAAATTGTCATTTATCATCGTGGTAAATCTCTGACTGAATAACGGTATATTTATGTATGCAGGTTTCACCTAAAGACTACGAGGACAGCTATGAACCCAGCCCGCCCATTTCAAGCAACCCAGGAGAGACTGAGCCTGCCCCAGACGTCACACCAACCAAAAAAGTCAAACTCAAGCATGACAAGAAGAAAAAGGGAGACAAAAAGAAACTGGAAAAGAAAAGAGGAAAAGCTGGGAAAGAGCAGAGGATCAGGAAAGAGAAGAAACCAAAGTACCCAGAAAAAAAGGACTACCCAAAACCCACAAAGAAGCCAACACCCCCTCCCAAGGGCTCCCTGGCCTCTTTTCTGGACTACTTTGAGAACCGGAGGCGGCTGCTGGTGAGAACATGACACAACATTTACACTATCAGCAAACTACTCTATGTTTCCGTTAAATCACATCTGTGCTGCTGCTCTTTGTGTCAAAAGATTAACTTCACTTCTTAAATTCATTTAATACCCAGTTGTCTCCTAATTTACTCTTTAGTCGTAAGGCTGCTAATATATTTAGAAACAGCAGTTTGAATCGTCTTACAGTAAATGCATGTTTAAATTGGCCTTTATCATCGTTGAGTCGACACTAAAGTCGGACATAAAGAGTGTTTGAAAGGACCGTTAGAACACCCGGTTTATCTGTTTAGCTATTGATTGGATCGTTTGGGGGGAAACATTCCAGTGTTTTATTGTCATTCCACTCTCACAAGTACAGAGCAACGAAATTCACTCTCTGCATTTAACCCATACCCTTGGAGAGCAGTGGGCTGCCATTGTGGGGCGCCCGGGAAGCAGCGTGGGGTTAAGGGTCTTGCTCAGGGACCTAGAATGGTAGCCTGTGTGAGTGGGGCTTGAATTCAGAATCTCAGGATTCCAAGCGCAATACCGTAACCACTAGGCCGCCACTCCCCAAAGCAGGCATTAGCGTGAAGGGTCTTGCCTAAAGCCGGGCATCAACTGTACGATTTTTTTCAACCTTGCACGCAGCTATAACTCAAACTGAAAATCAAACATGTTTGATTTTCTCCCGACCTCATGATTCCGGATGGGGAGGTGGTCATTAGAGGCTGATCGCCCCTCGTTACCCCGGTTCACTACACCACGCACCATCAGGATGACCTTCAGCCTGTTTAAAAAAATCTCACAGGACTGGAAAATCGTCCGAAAAGGGCAAAAAATTGTACAGCGAACGCCGGGCTAAAGGACCCACACTGGCAGCTCATTTCCCCCAGCTGGGATACGATGCGTGATTTATCACTTGAGCTAGCCAGCCGCAAAACGGTCAGTCACTAAGTAAACTGGGAATTCCTGCCCTCTGGGAACTTCTGGCCCCTGGGAACATCTGGCCGCCTGGGAACTCCTGGCCCTCTGGGAACTCCTGACCCCTGGGAACTCCTGGCCCTCTGGGAACTCCTGACCACTGGGAACATCTGGCCGCCTGGGAACTCCTGGCCCCTGGGAACTCCTGGCCCTCTGGGAACTTCTGGCCGCCTGGGAACTCGTAGACCCTGGGGACTCCTGGTCCTCTGGGAACTCCTGACCACTGGGAACTCCTGGCCCCTGGGAACTCCTGGCCCTCTGGGAACTCCTGGCCCTCTGGGAACTCCTGGCCCTCTGGGAACTCCTGACCACTGGGAACATCTGGCCGCCTGGGAACTCCTGGCCCCTGGGAACTCCTGGCCCTCTGGGAACTTCTGGCCGCCTGGGAACTCGTAGACCCTGGGGACTCCTGGTCCTCTGGGAACTCCTGACCACTGGGAACTCCTGGCCCCTGGGAACTCCTGGCCCTCTGGGAACTCCTGGCCCTCTGGGAACTCCTGACCACTGGGAACATCTGGCCACCTGGGAACTCCTGGCCCTCTGGGAACTCCTGGCCCCTGGGAACTCCTGGCCCTCTGGGAACTCCTGGCCCCTGGGAACTCCTGGCCCTCTGGGAACTCCTGGCCCCTGGGAACTCCTGGCCCTCTGGGAACTCCTGACCACTGGGAACTCCTGACCACTGGGAACATCTGGCCGCCTGGGAACTCCTGGCCCCTGGGAACTCCTGGCCCCTGGGAACTCCTGGCCCTCTGGGAACTCCTGGCCCTCTGGGAACTCCTGACCACTGGGAACATCTGGCTGCCTTGGAACTCCTGGCCCCTGGGAACTCCTGGCCCTCTGGGAACTTCTGGCCGCCTGGGAACTCCTGGCCCCTGGGAACTCCTGGCCCTCTGGGAACTTCTGGCCGCCTGGGAACTCCTAGACCCTGGGGACTCCTGGTCCTCTGGGAACTCCTGACCACTGGGAACTCCTGGCCCCTGGGAACTCCTGGCCCTCTGGGAACTCCTGACCACTGGGAACATCTGGCCGCCTGGGAACTCCTGGCCCCTGGGAACTCCTGGCCCCTGGGAACTCCTGGCCCTCTGGGAACATCTGGCCGCCTGGAAACTTCTGGCCGCTTGGGAACTCCTAGACCCTGGGGACTCCTGGCCCCTGGGGACTCCTGGTCCTCTGGGAACTCCTGACCACTGGGAACATCTGGCCGCCTGGGAACTCCTGGCCCCTGGGAACTCCTGGCCCCTGGGAACTCCTGGCCCTCTGGGAACTTCTGGCCGCCTGGGAACTCCTGGCCCTCTGGGAATTCCTGGCCCCTGGGAACTCCTGGCCCTCTGGAAGCTTCTGGCCGCTTGGGAACTCCTAGACCCTGGGGACTCATCGCCCCCTGGGAACTACTGGCTATCTGGGAACTCCTCTGGGGTCGGTCGGGGGATGGGGGGGTGTAATTTATTGAATTCTCTGAATCGGGGCAGCATGTGTGAAATTTCTGATCTTTAACCCTATATCTATTTTAGTCTTTCTATTGAAATATTTGTTCATTCTAAACAATGAAATGTTTAGAATGAACAAAAGTAAAAACATTAGAAACCTAAGAAGTGAAATTTCTACTTTTCTACATCACTTTTCATTTTGTTTTTTTACCCCAAATTTCTTTGAAAAGAGTTTTTAAATCTCAGGCTTAAAAGATAAAGTTAAAATAAAAATAATTGATCACCAGGCGTTAGCTTGGAGGTGAATCACCTTCTGCTCATTAAAACTTGATCTGTTTCAGGCAGACATTAACATTTGATCCTGGTTGGAGTTTGCAGGAGAGAAAAGTTGGTCTGTTAGCATTAAACTGCAAGTCTACTGAACTTGGAACCAAATACCAGACAAATTTACCATTAGGCAATACTAGGCAGTATTACCCCAACCCCCAGCTGGAGCAAAATTAGAAAGAGAAAAAGGAAATGTGTGAAGAAACTTCCTTTGCTGACTTTAGCAGTTTGGTTCCAGTTGTTGGGAGCAGCTTATTGGATCCCTGCTGGTTCCTGATGTTATTATTCTTATTATTACTGTCATTATTATAAAGAGCAGCTCCAACCAGGCGGAGCAGGAAACCAGAACCTTCCACCAACATTTCCCTGAGCAGGAAACGCCTCTCTGCGCTCTGGGATGAAATCATTCCCTCTTTTTGGATTTCTGAGCCTCCGTTTCTTCCCAGTAACTGTGAAGCTTTGCGTAACGCTGAGCGTGAGGCTCTGTGCTTCAGGTCAGGCGGCGAGGCCAAGCGCTAACAGACCACATGTCTCTGGTTTGGAGCCAGCGCAGATTCCTTATTGCAACTTTGCTCCCAGTTGGCTGGGAAAACATTCCCATCCACTTCCTGCAGGTTAAAGTAAACATCACCTCTGCAGCTCGGTGGGAGGGGCGTTTTATGGCACATAGCTGATACCCTAACCCCCAAATGTTCCTCCTCTCCTGCAGCTCATTACCTCCCCCGGTGAGGAGAGCAGGATGTATGTCCAGCAGAGGGATGAGTACCTGGAGTCGGTGTGTGAGATGGCCATCAGGAAGGTTTCCATCATCACCATCTTTGGCTCCCTGACCAACTCCACCATGAAGATCGACCACTACCAGATAGGTGAGCTCTCTGCTTCAGCCAAGGTCACCTTACGTTGATAAGGTTTTATCATGAAGGAGAACTTCTGCCGCTGCGGGTTGTCCTGTGTTTAGATCTTCTGTCTCCAGCGGGGCCTCCTCACAGCTCAGGGTCTGAAGGTAGGAGCAAACGATCCCACATCCTCACAGCTCAGGGTCTGAAGGTAGGAGCAAACGATCCCACATCCTCACAGCTCAGGGTCTGAAGGTAGGAGCAAACGATCCCACATACTTCGTATTTAGCAGGTAGCCAAAAAGCTCCGTCTGCAGAGAGAACAACCTTTACAGCGTCTGTAGTTTTAGGAGTTTGTGAATAGAGGTTATGGAGAACATCTGACCTGTTTCTCTGGACTTCCAGGGCTAACTCTATCTCTGCCCTGTGGGACTAACTAAGCTTAAAACCCTAATCCTGCTTTAAACTCCTCCCCCTCCTGTCGCCTGTCTCTCCTGCTTCATACACTGCAAAAAATTAGAAATCTAAAGTCATTTTTTCTTAAATTAAGTGGATTTTGTCTTGGACTGAAGAGGTAAGTGAGACACTTTTCCAATGGAAAAAGAAAATGTACATTTAAAATAAGAAAAATCGGTCACATTGTCTTATTTCAAGTGTATTTCATCTAATTATCTAATTTTAAGCATAAATACACTTAATTTAGGGAAATCTTTATTTATTTCTGGATTGATTTTGCATTGTAGAAATATGTAAACATTTCTTAAATGAAGTGTATGTGCCCTTAATTGGAGTTAGTAAATTAAATTATCTGCCAATCAAATGAGTTTGTTTAGCTTTAAACTAAGATAATTAGATGATCTGCACTTAAAATAAGAGACTGCTGATGTTTTTTTCCTATTTTAAATGTGAATTGTCTTATTTAATTGATAAAGTGTCTCACTCACCCCCCCATTCAAGAAAAAAATCACTTAATTTAAGGAATTTAACTTACTCAGATTTACATTTTTTGCAGTGTAAAAATGTCTTAATCCGGGCGTCTGCTGTACGATTTTTTGCCCTTTTCGTGCCGATTTTTGAATCGTGCGATAATTTTTCGATGGGGCCAACATTCAGCCTGATGGTGCGTGGTGTAGCATACAGGGGGTAACGAGGGGCGATCGGCCTCTAACGACCGCCTCCCCATCAGGAATCGTAAGGTTGGGAAAAAATTAAACATGTTTGAAATTCAGTCGGCCGTCTTAAGGTGGTCGTGGGCAAATAAGGATTCTTCTTCTTCCTGTGAGAGGAAAACCCAGCAGCATTGCAGGGGTGCGATAAAATGGAGTTCTTTCTGTCAAACTGTCAGACCGTAGTAGCCACGTTAGCTCAGCCATGTCTTTGTCCAAATACGTCGTCTCCTTTTCTCTTTAGGGCTTTCAGCACTAAATTGCCCAAATATCCAAGGCAGCGCGTTTCACTCTAGTGAGCTTCATGTTCCTCTGCTACTGGTTTGGTTTCCAGATCGACGAGTCCGAGTAGCGCCATCTCACTGCGGAGCTGAGTCCCACCTGGTTTATAGACGTACAGCGTGAGCAGGTAGATCGCATCAGAGCGTCGCAGTTTGAGAATAAACATCCTGAGCAGTGAACTTTTAAACTCTGCGGTTTCATCGTACAGTTTGAGCTGCAGCTTCGTAAAATGATTGAAAAAATCCTTCAGTTTGCCCGGCCAAAGGCGGGTTATTGTCCCTCAGCAGCGTGTCGCAGGTATGTTTGATTTCTGCCCTATATTGAAGTGTGGTCTGCGCTATGTTATTCCACGCCACAACGCCAGAGGGCCAATCAGGAACTAGCTGTGGGTCTAGATACGCCCGAGGCGGTGAGGAAGTGGGGGGGCAAGTCTGTGCAACAACAGAAGGAAATGATGGCCAAAAAGAGTGGGGATCCTGGGTGTTCAAAACCTTGGACCCAATATTCAAAAACAGACAGATCTGGATAGTTCAAAACTAGACTTTATTTAACACTCAGTATGGCTGCTCGTCAGCTGGGGTGGATAAACCGGATCCTATGTGGGAACAGAAACTCAGGTCAGTGACTAATAAGGGTTGATAACAATTAAGAGAAAATAGTCACTGACCTGTTTCTGAGTGAAGCTGAAGCCAGCCGAGGGGCAACAGAGTCCTGAAGGGAATGTCCAAAGCTATGTCGAAGCAGAACCAAGTTCAGAGACCAGAGGATCAGAAAGCCGATGAGGTACAGAAGGGGAATCCAAGTCGATGTCAGAAAAACAGTCCAAGTTTGGTGAGCCAGGTTAATCCAAGAATCAGTCCAGAACAGAGCGGATTAAAGAGCAGACTAGGGCAAAGCAAAACTCGGATCCACAGGACAGAAACAGGTCACATTTAGATAATCAGAAAAACAAACAGAAGGCTAGAGTTACTCACACAAAACAGCTTGAGTATTCTGGCACTGGTAGCTGGAAAACACACAGCATACATAGGAGCTGAAAACAGGTGGATCAGATAAGCAGTAATGAGAAACTGGGCGGAGTTAAAGAGGTGAGTGGAAGGAGCAATCAGGCCAGCCATCAGTGCCAGGATCATGACACAGGGGGAAAAGGGTCCCAGCGTTCTGGCGCGCCTCGCTCTGCTAGCTGCTCCATCTTCAACAGTCGTTTTCCACAATGGCGGCCAGACAAACAAAACAAGCCGGTAAGGAACCAACCAGGAAATACGCATAGAGTAGAGCGGATGGAGATCTAACAGATCAGAGGCCTCCTGTCTGCGGTCACCTATGATTTTGGAGGTGCAGCAGAGTGTCTGTGGAAGGGGCGGGGCATATATCTGTGTTAAATGCGACACACATGCAGGCGACCTGGTTTCTGAGCATAAACCAGCCTGTAAGTAAGTAGGTAGTTGTGGGTTTGTTGCTTGGTTTGCTAAATAGATTAAAGTGCGTCAGTGTAATTACACCAGGTTACAGTGCAGTGGCAGAGTAAAGTCTGATGGCAGCAGAGATGAGTGACCTTCAGTAGCCCTCCTTTTTAAAGTGTATTAATCCTTAATCTGAGCAGGTTAATAAGATGATTGCCAGTGGAATTAAAATTTCCACTCTTAATATAAGATAATTAGATAAAATGCACTTCAAAGAAAACAGAGCAATTGATTTTTCTTATTTTAAATGTAAATTGTCTTGTTCCATTGGCAAATAGTCTCACTTACCTCCTCAATAAAAAAAAAAAAGTCTTATTTAGATTGTAATTTTTTGCAGTGTAATGCTGGTTCCTCTCTGCTCTCTAGCAAACCTCTGAGGCCAGAAACAGAACAGCTAATCCGGTTTCTCCTGAAGGCACTTCGGCTGTTTTAAACTGCAGCTTTTAAAGCTAAATCTGCTGCTAAAGTTTTCATTGAAGATCTCATGTTTCAAAGCAACTCTTTGATTCTTCGTGGTCTGCAGCGGTCTGCGGCGGCGGGCTGTCAGAGGATCTGATCTTGGCAGCAGGTTGTTGTTTGGAGGTCAGATGTTAGAAGCAGCAGTTCCAGGAGGAGAAGTAAACTCCATGAGGGATCCGGTCTATCCGATCCCATCCAGGCATCATTCCAAACAGCTGGGTGACAAACACACAGCATCATCCCGGCGTTATAAGGCTGCTCACACTTTGCTTTAAAGAGGAACAGTCCAGCTTGGGTTTTATTTAGGGCTGGAAATTCCAGACTAGTCAGAGTCGGTCAGTTTGGGTTTTTTCCTGAGAAGCAAAGTCACTTTATGAGTCTGACTCTCCTCGTGTCAGGGAGGTTTCATCCAGATGGAATGCTGGAAAAACGGCTGGGATATGACAACCGCCACAAACCCCCCCACCCCCCCAACCCCCGCTCGCCTCCGCCGCTGATTCAGCTCAGCTACGCTCGTCATTCCACCTCCAGGCTGGGTTTCAATGTCACATGTTCTCGAAACCTCCATCCAGGGGGGGGGGAGGTTACCATAAAACTGTCCACTATATTGGATCAGTCCATTTGCTGCACATGTTCAGAAAGGTCCAAACAGACAGCAGCAAACCATTTGAAAACAAACCATGCAAAGAGCAGTGTTGCCAACTTAGCGCTTTAGTCGCTATATTTAGCCACTTTTCAGACCCCTCTAGCACTTTGATTTCTAAAAAGCTCCTAGCGCCAAATCTAGAGACTTTTTTCTGCTACTGGAGACTTTGGAGACAACATCTAAAAGCAGCGAACTCTGCTCTCCAGAGCCAGTAGATTGGTAACCCCGCCTCCTGCTCTCCTCTATCTTGTCTGCTGTCATGATTCATGCAGCTATTATTTCATCCAAATGAAAAATGGAGAACAGATAAGCAGATCATGGCTTGTCTACAGTGAAAAGAAGGACTGGGTTATTTACTTTGGCCTTTTTGGAAACACAGGAAGGAGCAATCAGCTAAGTGAGCTTAGTGCTTGGAAAAAATCTTTCATTCCTTTAGAGACAGCATGAAAAGTCAGCTGAGTACAAAACATAGAGAGGAAAACAAGAAGAAAAGGGACAATTGAATTTAATTTTGATTAAAGGCTTCAACGTCTCGGTCCTGAAGCAGCGCCAGCTGCAGCTTCGCTCATCAGGAGCATCCAGAGGTTTACTCTGCAGCAGCTGCTTTGCTGTCCCAACATTTTAAAATATTTGACTGTAATCTGAGTTACATTGCTGTTAAAAACGCGCGTCACATAACAACTAAAAGCCTCTGCATATTTTGAGGGGTTGAACCGCCCTCGGTGCAAACGATGAATAAATAAAGTTTGCATGTCTGAGAGTGAATCAAGTTATGACTCCAGCTGCTCTATGGAGGCTTTAAAGATTGTTAGAGAAAAAGATTTTGCTGCAGACTCTTGGAGGATTCTGTCATGCTCCATCGATGTAAAGCACCAGTTAATCTCAGACTCCACTATTTGAAAACAAAATTGCACAGAATATTCCCCTCAATGGTCCGCTGATGGCTCCTGGACACTTCTCTTCTGGTCATTCCAAAAAAATAAAGTTAAAAAAAATCCTCTGGACTTGTTTCCAAGTTTGAAGACGTTTCTCTTCCATCCAGGAAGATTTTTCAATTAAAAATGTCAGAAAATCCAGGTTTTATCCAGCAGCCCAACAAAGGATGTTTTTTTAAATAATTTTTTGGAATGACTGAGATCCTCACCAGCATCTGTTCTGGTTCAGGCCCCAGGCTCTTCCAATATGGCTGCCACATTTCCAAATGGTTTTCTGCACATTGATTCCAGACCCCCAGATTATCTGGACACTCTCCATCACTTTGGACCTACTATCCAAACCACTGTGGCCTATGGGATGTATATAGCTAAAGAATTGATATTAAAATTGTGGAAAACTGACAAGTTTCTTCAGTTTATAATGTGGGAAGTGATTTTACTGCGATGTTTCATCTGGAGAAACTGGGGTACGATGTTAGTAGTGTCAGTGTAAATGGTAATCAGTGCATTTTAACCATTACTTAGATAATTTCCCTGACTTGTGTGTGTTTTTTTCTCTTTTCCTCACACTGGAAAAATGATCTAGAAATAAGTTAAAAAAAATTCTTAAATTAAGTGTATTTACCCTTGATTTGAGAAGGTAAAATGAATAGTTTGTCAATGGAATGAGTATTTTTACTCTTAAAATAAGAAAATTAGATATTATGCACTTGAAAAAAGACAATGAAGTTATGTTCTCTTATTTACACTGGAAAAACGATCTAGAAATAAGTAAAAATGTCTTAAATTAAGTGTATTTCCCCTTAATTTGAGTAGGTAAATGAGATAGTTTGCCAATGGAATGAGTATTCTTAGTCTGATAAATAAGATAATTAGATAATATACACTTGAAATTAAACAATACTAATCTGTTTTCTCATTCTAAGTGTAAATTGTCCTGTTCCATTGGCAAAATGCCTCTTTTATTTCCTCAATCCAAGAGCAAATGCTCTTATTTTAAGAAAATCTTATCTAGATTTTGAATTATTTCAGTGCAGTTTTTATATTTATTGTTATATTGGTAAGAGTATATTTTGTTTCTTATTTGTTATTATGTTTATGCTTCCTACTCTTGGGTACGATTTATAATGTACGAATACGATGTTCTATTCTTAAAACTTAATAAACATACAGTACATACATATATATATATATATATATATATATATATATATATATATATATATATATATATATATATATATATATATATATATATATATATATATATAAGAATATTTTTAAAGAGCATTAGAGGCCAAACAGGATCAGAGCAGACGGGTCAGAAGGAAAACCAGTTTCTTTGTTCAGTCCACCTTTTTGATCTCAGTAGAGATTAGCCTTAGAGCTGCAGCTTCTGTTTGACGTTGATCTAAAAAGGAGGACTGAATGCAAAGCATTTCGACATTTGAAAAGTTTGTTATTTGCTTCAACTTTACTTTTACGTCTGATCTTTGTTTTCTGGGACATAGAATCCCATTTAAATCCTCTGAGGTGAGGAGTTGCAACCTGAATAGATGAAAGGTTCACAGAAGCTAATTTCTCTTCCTGCAGAAAAGGACAAACCTATGAAGGGTCTCCGCCAGGAGGACCTGGTGAACCAGGACCTGATCACGGAGCTGAGGAAGGAGTTCGGGATGACGTACGACGAGTTCTACATGGTCCTCACTGACACAGACATGAGAGTCAAGGTAGGGACCAGCTATGGAATGACCGAGTATACTGCGCTAAAAAGCTTTCCAAAAAATCCCATGTAAGGTAATAATGAATAAATAAAGGGAATGAACACGTCATTGTCCCAAAGGAAATTTGTCTCGGGTACAGACTGTGGCTGCTACATAGTCCAAACTATGTGTCACACAGCAGGGGTCGGCATCCCAAACTGCTCAAAGAGTCAAATTGGACCAAAAAAAATTTAAAAATCTGTCTGGAGCCGCAAAAATGTAAAAGTCTTCTATCAGCCTCGTCTGGCAACACAGCCTCTAAGTTTATTAGCCCACTTTAATAAAGGACTACATGGGCTTAAATATATAATTCTATTCAGTTTATTTCTATAGCTCCAATTCACATCAGGTCATCTCAGGTCACTTTCCAGTTCACCAGATCATCCAGTCAGATTGATTCAAAGTTTTCTATCTAAGGAAAACCAGCTGATTGCATCGACTCATTGACTCTTCAGCAATCCCTCACACTAAGCATGCTTGTAGCGACAGTGGAGAGGAAAAGCTCCCTTTGAACAGGAAGAAACCTCCAGCAGAACCAGGCTCAGTGTGAGCGGCCATCTGCTGAGGCCCACTGGGGTTCAAGGAGACAGAAGCAGACATAGAAAAAGAAGCATAGATACAAAAGGCAACTGTCAACCAGCTCCACAGGCGGCCCCGTCCAGGAAACACACAGCCAGGCAGACGAGCTCCGAGCCAGCTCCCATGTCAGAGGATGAAGAGAGCACATCCAGTTAGTCACAGTCAGAGAAACAGGACCACACTGGAAAACATAATATAATAAACATTCATGATTAAATGCTTATCCTGGAGCAAATGTCATGTGACTCTGCTGAACCATATTTAGTGCTTTTAGTAGCATGAGGTGAGGGAGGAGCGGTGGACGCTCTCACCGCGGGGAGTTCACCTCTCGCTGCTTCATTGCGCCGTTTATTTGCATTAGGTTTTGTTGCATTGATGAAATTATAGAAACAGGATTAAGGAATCTTTCTATAATGGATGTGTTTCTGTTTGGAGGAACAAGCAGGAACTGACTTCCATCAGAGCAGAGCAGAGTCTCTAACCCTGAAATCCCACATCCTCCGTCACCAGCGCTCCTTGGTCTTATTTTTTATTTTGAGGATTTGGGGGAAAATGGAAGAAAGTTCCATCCCTCCTAATGACTCTTTTTATTATTTCAAAGCAAACATGCAGGCAATCCTTCCTCATTGGAAATGAAAGCAAATGATTTGCTCCATTCTTCTTTGAATCCTCTGTTCTCATCAGCTACACTATATTGCCAAAAGTATTTGCTCACCTGCCTTGACTCACATATGAGCTTAAGTGACATCCCGTTCCTAATCCATAGGGTTCAATATGACGTCGGTCCACCCTTTGCAGCTAGAACAGCTTCAACTCTTCTGGGAAGGCTGTCCACAAGGTTTAGGAGTGTGTTTATGGGAATTTTTGACCATTGTTCCAGAAGCGCATTTGTGAGGTCGCACACTGATGTTGGACGAGAAAGCCTGGCTCTCAGTCTCCGCTCTAATTCATCCCAAAGGTGTTCTATCGAGTTGAGGTCAGGACTCTGTGCAGGCCAGTCAAGTTCATCCACACCAGACTCTGTCATCCATGTCTTTATGGACCTTGCTTTGTGCACTGGTGCACAGTCATGTTGGAAGAGGAAGGGGCCAGCTCCAAACTGTTCCCACAAAGTTGGGAGCATGGAATTGTCCAAAATGTCTTTGTATGCTGAAGCATTCAGAGTTCCTTTCACTGGAACTAAGGGGCCAAGCCCAGCTCCTGAAAAACAACCCCACACCATAATCCCCCCTCCAACAAACTTTACACTTGGCACAATGCAGTCAGACAAGTACCGTTCTCCTGGCAACCGCCAAACCCAGACCCGTCCATCAGATTGCCAGATGGAGAAGCGCGATTCGTCACTCCAGAGAACGCGTCTCCACTGCTCTAGAGTCCAGTGGCGGCGTGCTTTACACCACCGCATCCGACGCTTTGCATTGCACTTGGTGATGTATGGCTTGGATGCAGCTGCTCGACCATGGAAACCCATTCCATGAAGCTCTCTGCGCACTGTTCTTGAGCTAATCTGAAGGCCACATGAAGTTTGGAGGTCTGTAGTGATTGACTCTGCAGAAAGTTGGCGACCTCTTCGCACTATGCGCGTCAGCATCCGCTGACCCCGCTCCGTCAGTTTACGTGGCCTACCACTTCGTGGCTGAGTTGCTGTCGTTCCCAAACACTTCCATTTTCTTATAATACAGCTGACAGTTGACTGTGGAATATTTAGGAGCGAGGAAATTTCACGACTGGATTTGTTGCACAGGTGGCATCCTATCACAGTTCCACGCTGGAATTCACTGAGCTCCTGAGAGCGACCCATTCTTTCACAAATGTTTGTAAAAACAGTCTGCATGCCTAGGTGCTTGAATTTATACACCTGTGGCCATGGAAGTGATTGGAACACCTGATTCCAATAATTTGGATGGGTGAGCAAATACTTTTGGCAATATAGTGTATCTTCCTTTTTTACATGGAGACCCCCCCATGGCTTTGTTTACAGCAGCCACCTGCCTGGCACCGTGCTGCGCTGAAACCTGCTGCTAAAATTCATTGTTTAAATTTAATTATTATACACATTTTACAGCATTGGACACATAATTAATGTTTGTTTGACCTCCTGAACACCATATTAAAACAAAAAAATACTTTTTGTATTTTCATACATTTTTGAAAAAGCTTCAGGGAGCCTGCACTGGAAAAACAATCTAGAAATAAGTTAACATTTCCTAAATTAAGTGTATTTACCCTTAATTTGAGTAGGTAAGTTAGATAGTTTGCCAATAGGAAAAGTATTGTTACTCTAAAAATAAGATCATTAGATAATATACACTTTAAATAAGAAAACACAATTGCATTGTCTAATTTTAAGTGTAAATCGTCTTGTTCCATTGGCAAAATGTCTCTTTTACCTCCTCAATCCAAGAACAAATGCACTTATTTTAAGAAAAAATGACTGATCTAGAATTGGATTTTTTCCAGTGTGGAGGGGGCGCTAAAGAGCCGCGGGTTGCTGACCCCTGCACTACATTAAAACATGAAAACACTACTATAGTGCAGAGTTTAAATGAAAATCTCTTTTCCTTAAAGGAGCTGCAGCTGAGAATATTTGATCAGAACGAATCGTTTTTAGAAGCTTTCTGCCTCGGTCCTTCAAATGGCCCAAATTATTAGTCAGGTGTAAAAACTAAATTGAAGAACAGCAGCAATAACCGATTGAGTTGGTTTTGTGCATTTTCAAGGGAGGGATTTTGTTTAGATTTTTAATCACGCTAACATTAAGGTGTGATTAAATGGTGTTGATCATTGATTAGTCCCCAGAGAGGCTCTGCTGCGGTGAAGAGGGTTCCAGGGAGAGTAGAAAGTCTGAGGTTAGTTGAAGGACAATAGAGAAGCTCTGAGAGTAAAGCTCTGCAGCGCAGCCTGCAACCATGATTATTAAGGTATTTTCTGTTACATCTCTTTGGTTTCTGGAGGTTTTTGCTTGAATTAACAGAATTATCTTTTATGTTTTTTTTTTTATTGTTTTTTTTTTTGGCAGGTTATGGAGTTTCACTGCCAATCGTTTGCTTCGTACAAACATAAAAAATCGCGTTTTTCTCCTAATTTACTGTATAAACTTGATTCAGAAAGATGTTGTCAACTGAAAACATGTCATCTTATCTTCGCTTCTCCTCAGATATATATTTTTTTCTTATCTTCAGATTAGGGCTGCAACCATTATTGATTCATCAGTCGATTATTTTTTTCATTAATCATTTTATAATCAGATAGCAACAGGTTTCTTTTTTTTTTTTTTTACCAAAAAAGTTGTTTTGCAAAAGATTATTTTAAAAATTAAACCAGGTGAAACTCAAACTTTTCCACTTGAGGAGTTCTGGATAGAGAATATTGACAGACAAAAACTTTTTTTTTAAATCTTAAAGTCGTAGGGAAATTATATTTAAATGTTAAAATCATTCTGGCTTAAAGCTGAAGTCTGTAAGTTTTTAAAAATCACTTTTTTGTCATATTGGCTAAAACTGTCCCTATGCCCAGACAGCGGTACATGTGATATGTAACCTGTGAAAAAAACAGCTTCAATTGGTACCGCCTACTGCCTGTATTTCAATCTGGAAAGAATAATTCGGGACGAGACAAAACAACCAATCACAGCCAGAGGAGCATCTGATGGAGTGTCAATCACAGCTCACACACGCTGAATCCCGCCCTCCCCCCCCCTCTCACCGCTTAACCTGCCGCTGCTGCAGTCAGGAGGACGCGCGTGGAAGTCATGGCGGAGCGACAGCCACCAGCGAAAGAGAAACTGCCCTTACTGCCCCTGCCGACAACTGCTTACACGGCAAACTTCGGTATAACCAGCATCTCATATCTAGCTGCTTGGAGGTGACTGTTATCGCTCTCACCGGTTCACACTCCATGCTGCGTACGCTGCTTGGACGCTTCTGGTCGCATGCGGTAGCCGCGCAGGTGCTGTGAGAGGGGTGGAGCTTGGAGGTGGGGCATGAGTGAAGCAGAGAGGATGGGGGAGTGGCGTGAAACCTGTCATAGCATCTTGATTCATGTGTCGCAGCTAATATACGCAACGGTTGAAACCAGAATCCTTTCCTTTCCCATTGAGTTGCATCCCAGTGTTCACGGGGATGGACGTCTGTGTCTTCGGCAGGCGTAGAGCTAACAGAACTGGCAGCGTTGCGAGGCAAGGGCTCAAACATGTACGGCTGGAAGCCTTCTACACCAAACCAAGCTTCTGCCGCCCTGGCGTCCTCTTCCACAACATCTTCGTCCCCGCTTTCCTCCTCTAAATAAAAAATGGATGACGGAGGAGACTCATCCACGACCTCCGACACTAAACTCTCCTCCTCTTGCATGTTTCCTCTGTCCATAGCGTTCCTTGACAGCGTCGTTTCTAAGCCACCAATTTAGTGCTACTTGGTCCCAATGGAATTTCCCATTGGGAACCTGCTAGCACTAAGTTGCTAACTGGTTAGCAAGATGCTTCCCACAAACCGGCCACAACCAAACTTGCTTGCTAACCTTCCACCATAACAAACCCGCCCCCTTGATAATCGACCAATCACATTCACTTTATTCACTGGTGTAAAGTCGGACACTGAGGAGAATTCAGGAATGCAACGTTTGGAACAGCCGCTTCCATACGCCTTTAAATGCAAAATCTTTGTATATTTTTATAATCTTGATATAATTCCTTTTCAAAGTGGGTCCCTCTGTCAGCTAAAGGCATCTTTTACAGTCTCTATACTTCCTTTAAAGATTAATCTATTACTAAATTAGTTGACAATTATTTCAATTATTGTTTCAGCCCCACTTCAGACGCCTTTTTTTGCAGAGCATCACTTGTGTGTGTTTGCAGGGCGTTTGGCTGTTGGTGGAGCTTTGAACCAAACGCTGCACATCAGCTGTTTAGACTCAGAATCTGTAACTTGACAAAAGGAGAAAAGGTCCAGATGTTGGTCTGGTTCTGCGAATCCTTCCCTCTGAGATGTTAGCATTAGACTTTGATTCAGTGTTAAACCCTCTGAGTCCTTAAATCCACCCTCCCTCCTTTTTAAAGGTGACTGGGCCTCATGCTGCCAGCATAGTAGCTCCACTCCAACACTGTTTTAATTAACATGGCCTGAGTTTGGCAGAGTGGCAGAGTGTGGGCGTTAGTGTAAACCAGCTGGCTGCTTTTGGACAGAGTCATCAAAGAGACCAGTGTTCCCATCCTCTGCTGACAGAGGCAGAGACGGCGCTGTCTGAGAGAGAACGGGCCGTGCTGCAAGTCCAGCACATGGCGAGGAAGGCGTGAGAGCCGCTCACATTTTCAATCAACGTGATACATCCTCCTCTCACTCCTGAGTGTTTTCACTGCTTCTCAGGCCAAACTGCGAAGACGGTCGGGGTTTCTGTGACCGATGTGGCGATAAAGGTTTCTCTGGCTCCAAACTTTCCAGCCACTCTGTAAAGTTCCAGCTTTCCTCTAAGTTTCTGAATTAAACTCTGGTTTCTGTTATGCTTTTTTTTTTCTCTCAGCAATCCTATGAGGTTCCCATCGCCATGAAAGCCGTGTTTGATTACATCGACACCTTTTCCTCCCGAATCCGGGAGATGGAGCAGCAGAAGAGAGACGGCATCGTCTGCAAAAAGGAAGACAAACCCCGATCTCTGGAAAACTTCCTGTCTAGGTAGGATTCAGAGCTGCTCAGTGCAGCAAAAAAAAAAAAAAAACAGGTTTGGCTGCTAATTACCATTATTTGACAAATTAATTCATCCGTCCAATAATTTTTACATTAATAATCGGGTAGCAACATGTTCCTTATAGATGATTTTTTTTACAAAATTAAACCAGATGAACTTTTCCACTTGAGGAGTTCTGGAAAGGGAATTCTATAATGCAGACAAAAAGTTTTTTTTCATAAATGCAAAATGTTTACATGTTGTTCACAATTTTTGTATAATTACTAAAGCATGTTTTACAGTCTCTATTGACTCGAATGGACAGAAAATCTGGTCGTCGTCAGCAAATTGAGGCAATAAAACTAGAAGTAATTGTGATTGTGACTGCAGGAAACATTCAAGTTCAGCGTGTGAAATCCAGAGCGGTTCAAAGAACGGTTCGGCTCCCTGTGGCAAACGGAGCAGAAAAAGGCCCCATGCCTCCTTATTGGAGCTGATATGAGCAGATTTGACCTAAATGATGTAATAATGACTGTGTCAGCATCATTTAAAGGCACACTATGAAACATTCTCCAGTTAATTAATGTGTTCCATAACGTTTTGGATGATTAAATGAGTCATTTTAGGTCAAACAAAGGTATTCTCGGCCGCCCTGGTGGTCTGTGGGGGAAATACCGCACTTGCAATAGCAGGAGCCCTCGGCCCGCACCCACAGGCTCAGAAGTCTCGTGCATCGCGAGTCGGTCTTGCTTTACGGCGAGAACTGCTACACGACCCCAGTGAAAGGCATGCTCGTTGCTAGCACAGTGGCGATATTTGTGCAGTTTTGATGGCGGAACCAGTGAGAAAACAACGAAAGCCCATGTCGGAGCGGGCAAGAAAGAGGAAAAGGGCTCTCTACCGCAGTAGACATGGTGATTCGTTGCGTTCGCCTGTCTGCTAAGCTCAAAACAACCGCGCCTGGCTTGACGGAGAAACCAGGGCCGTTTCTCAATTCACGAGAACACGAGTACGTACTCGCGTTCTCTCAAGCACGTATGTGTATTGGAACAGAAGCGTACTCATGACGTCATCACATGCAACGTTCTTTAGCATTTCTTTAACAGTCAAAACTATTTATTCCCTACACAAAACATTTTGAAAACAATATTTTTAATTTCTAAAGCTTAAAAAACATTAAAAAAAATTACCGAACCGCAAAAAACCGCCATCAGAACGAGTGGTAGTTCACACATAACTAGACCGAGAGAAGTGCACTACAGACGGGGTAACATTAGCCCTGGCTGCGGTTACCCTCGGAGGTCTGCTGGTCACTCTGGTCCGCTCAACGTCGGACTTTTTTTTAATTTCGCACTAACTCTGTAAACAGACCACACAGGGAGGCTTAAATGTATAATGTTATCGCCTCAAACGATTTCAAAACGTACTTTTGAAGAACAACAGCAGCAGAAAAGGGAATGTTTAACTTACCACTGTGAGCGCTGTCTGGAATCAAGCTGCGGCCGCGGGGCATTCTGGGGAAGCGGTCAGTCTGAAGAACGCACAAGTCTGCTCTGATGCATGCTCGATATGGAGGGCGGGGCAAGAACAACATCCGGGGATTTGGTGCGTTCTTGAGAATTGGAACGGTACTAGGGCTGAGGCTGATGACGTGCCACGAGCACACGAGAACGCTCAAGAACGCATATTGAGAAACGGCCCAGGAGAACAGCTGAGCATATTTACGACAGTGCACTTTTAATTTCGCCCTCTGGGGGGAGCCTCGCTGGAAAATCAACACCGGTTGCATAGTATACCTTTAATTAAATTCATTTTCAATTCAGTTTATTTCTATAGCTCCAATTCACATCATGTCATCTCAGGTCACTTTCCAGTTCACCAGATCATCCAGTCAGATTGATTCAAAGTTTTTCAGTCTGCTTCATCACCTGCAAAGAGATGTAAAAAGAACAGAACAACCAACAGACATAGTATGAGACGTACAATAAAGTATCACCTAGATACGATCGCATTCTGCACATCTCTGATGTTGCTGCTATTTTCAAATATCCATTACTATTGTTTATATTTTAACTCTTCACTATTATGTTATTCTTATATACTTGAATTCGAGAGAATGGCTTTTGATGCACAACTTGTAGAACAGAATTTTTGTACTTGTACTAAAAATTTGAACAGGTGTAAAAAAAAAAATTTTGTACTTGTGATTTTTTTTATTCTACACTTGCAAAAATTAGAATGTAAATCTCTCCACAACTTCAAATTCACACTTACAATGCAGAAATAGTTTTGAAACGAAATAACCTTCATAGATATTTCTCTCCAGGATGGAGTCACAGCCAAACAGGAACAGACCAGATGAAGCTACTATGAGAAAAAGCAGAGAGAGCAGAACGTTAGAGATTGAACTAACAGATTCTGCAGTGGGAGAATAGAGATAGAATGAAGCAGAATGATGAAAAAGGGGTCCCTATGTCCTCCAGCAGTCTAAGCCTATAGCAGCAGAACTATAGAGATAGAATGAAGCAGAATGATGAAAAATTCAACTGGTTTTATAAAAGTCTAATAATGTTTTAAAAGATCCGCTAAGAAACGGGCCATTAGATGCTGAGTGGTGCAGTTTTCTGCTCTGCAGACATTCAGAGGAGCTCCAACCCCTGCAGTTTGTCACGGCTAAATCAAGCCTGTCACATATTTTCACAGGATGTCTGAAGGATGTCCCGTGTTTCCATGGAGACCATGGAGAATTTAGTTTCCTTTACTGCTGGGATGTGACAGGTTTCTGACCATAATTTGGGGTTGACAGCTCCTGGAAGTAATTGCATGGGGATATGCCGAGTACATGCATACGCTGCTCATCTTGGAGCAGAGCTTTCACTGCTGCACTAAAGTGCCACTTAGATCCAGGCTGAAATTTACTGTGATTGCAGGTTCAGATGGAGACGTCGGCTGTTCATCATCTCCGCCCCCAGTGACGAGGAGTGGTCCTATCAGCAGCAGCTCTACGCCCTGAGCAGCCAGGCATGCAATCTGGGTGAGCCATCTGAAACAAGCCTGTCGCAGTTTGCAGCAGACGCTCAGCTGCGGCCGATCACTTCGTTCTGTTCAAGTTGGGAGGAAAAAAAAGCTGCAAAGTGAGGCAGTGTAGCGTTTCCAGGCGAGGTCTGAAGATCCACATCAGAATCTGGTGGACGACGTTAACCTGACTCCACCAGATGGATTTGCTCCTCATATCCATCTGGAAACCTTCCGTTGAAGTAATTTTGGGAAGGGGCGAAAATACTGGTTAGCTGATTGGCCTATGTTGGTGATAGACGGGCCAAATAAACCAATCAGATCAACGAAGCATATGACGTACTAACAGAGCGACGACGAAGAGGAGCCAATTGATAGATCAAACTCTCGCTGAAACCAGTCGGGAGAAGAGCAAAAACATCTTTTCCTCTGAGAAAAGCCTCCAGAGCAGTGTTTTGCTCTTCTTTCAGTGAAGAAATACTCTGTAATTCCCATAAAACTTGCTCCATAGCCACGCTAACGCTAGTTTCATCGGCTGAAGCCGCCATGTTCTTTAGACTGAACTGTCGCGCTTCTCGTTGCGTCACACCTCAACCTGCCTCAAAGCCAACGCTGATTGGACGTTCGTTTGGTGAATGGCTCCAAATTTTCTTTAACAGAGAGTAGCCAGACTAATCTGCGAGTGAAACCTTGAAAGCTCGTGAGATCAGGATGGTCTCAGAGGCAGCATCACAGGTCCAGGTGGGAAACCTAGATATCATCTCCTGACCAACACCAGCAGTCCTGATGACGGTTTGTTCAATCCCTCAAAGAGAAGCGATTCGAACGGCCTGGAGGCTGCAGCCACCACCTGGATAAGAGGCTCTTCTTCATTCTTAGAGCCCATCACCGTCTATCTGAGGCTAAGTGTCACGTTCACCTTATCTCCTGACCACAGGTGAGGGTTAGAAGGTAGAAGGTCAGGTAACCCTGAAAATGTTTCCGTTTGGCCCGGCGCTCTCCTCACTGAGCTCAGTCAGCTGCAAAAACCTTGACCAATCACAGCACTGCTCTCAGACACGCTGCAAGAAAAAAAGCTTCTCCACAGATCAGAACCAGCAGCGAGAACCCTGAAGATGGGACTGTGCGTATAAAAAGACGCGGTTTAGTTCTGCCGGAGCAGGACCTCCAGCTTCTCATGGAGGATGGTGCAGAGCAGGTTCCTGTCTATCCATCCATCTTAGGCTCCAGTCTGCCAGCGAGCCAGAAGGTAGAGATTGACCCAAACCAAACCAAGACCTCCGGGTTTCAGGACCGTCTCCTCTTCATGACCTAGCAATGAGGATGGCAGACTAGAGGAGGCCTGGGTGAGGCCAACCTAGACCAAAAACATGTTGAACCAATAAAACATTTCTGGTCCGACCAAAGCCCTTTAAAGCCGCAATCTAGTTCTGATTTCTACAGCAGGCAGATCATCCATCCTCCATCAGAGGCCTGGCCCCTGCATCAAAACAGTTAGCTACAAATTTGAACTCACTGCAAAACTGATCTAAAAATAAATAAAACTTACTGATAATAATTGTCTCTGAGATTAGATGAACAGGTGAATCAGAGCATCTGCCAATGGAAGGAGTATTTCTACTCCTAAGCGGTGTTGTTTTTTCGTCAAAGTTGACGAAATCGTTTTGCTGACGCTCCTTTTTTTCAACTGGTGAGCTAATCGTGGATCTTTGATGAATAAAACATGACTGGTCATAGGTTTGAGTTTTCGTCAATCAGACGAGACTAAATAAAAATTAGCAGGTCATCTGTCAGAGGTTTAAAATGCATCATTGCTGTAATCTGATCAGTATCAGCCGTGCTGCTGCGTCCTGTTTGATCCTGCCGCTCAGCGTTGCTCATTCTGCAGCAGCTCAGATGGATCATGGCAGCAGGGAGAAAATAACCCAGAATGATCCGGTACGGCGCGCTGAACTCTGACTAACTCTGATCTTCCAGCTGTGCAGAAATGCGTCGTTAGCTCAGAGTCTGCACTTTACGCTCCGCTCTGATGCTTCGCTCTCAGCAGTACAGCTCCTCCTGCTGTCGCTACTTAATAAACTAGATGTGGCTGATCATCCTCTGCCAAGCGTAAAGAATCCCTTTGTCTAACTATCTAGATTTTATTTCTTCCAGCTCACAGGAGGTGATGCTAAACATTCCTTCATTTCTACCAACAGGAATCCCTAAATTATATCCAGAGCAAATATTTCATTGTTTTCAGTTTATTTCTGGATAAAGATCCAGATGAAAAGGTTCATAGATCTTTGAATATTTCTCTCATTGTTCTCATTTATATCTATTTAAATATGATGTAAATGTTTCCTTGTATTTTCATTAATACATTTTCTCTTTTTCCTTTAAATATTTCAACGTTTTAGATAACATATTCATTCATTTAGGGCTGGGTTGCCATGGCGTTACAAGGCAGTTATGGAGGATCTCTGTATTTTTTATATCAAACCCTGTGAATTTAAATCTACTTTGACTCCTGAGCAGCAGGAACCGAGGGGCAGATTGAAGAAATAAATGACCAAATAGAAAGAAGAATGTTTTTGTTCTTTGCTTCTTTGCAGTTATGCAGATTTTATAGATCTGTGTTTAATGCAGAATTCATAGCAGATCAGGAAGTGTTTGCTTTGGGATGGAAACCTTGGATGATAAAATCATTCCTTTATTGGACATTCTGTTAGCTTCTGTCTGCTATATTAACCAATAGGATGTGTTGAACTAGATCTGCAATTTTTTAGCATTTGTGAGACACTTTTTTTTATAAAGTAGGGCATTAATTCACAAAAACAGTTTATTCTAATTCTATAGTCAAAGTTTTCTGTCCAACAGCAGTGATGATCTGCACGGCACCGTTCTATACCCAGCTATTGTAGCATCTAGGATAGAGCTGCAGGCTGGGAAAGAATCTGGTTGGTATTACAAATTATAAAGGTTCACGTTTTTAGCAACATAAAACTTTTAGTCGACTAAAACTATCATGTATTGTACATAAAATTGTCTTACCTGCTGAAATCAAGGGAATTTATTTAATTTATGTACTTATATTTCAGTATTTACTCCATCTTTGACAATCTGCGTTCTCCACCAACAGCTGAAGATTTAGGGTTGGATTTAAAGTCCAACAAATAAAAATAGGATTTTCTGCTCCATAGATTCAGTCAGAGGAATATCTCGGAGCGCGTTGATGTGATCCGCTGGTTCCTTCAGTAGATTTCACCAAAGTTGCTGTGCTCCATTTACTGTTTCGCTCGTGTGTTTTTTTTTTTTTTACCTGGAATATTTTCCTGCTTCCTTGCATCGTCTGTACTTCAACAGATCTAAAACAAAAAATCAAAGATGAGATTAGCTTCAAACTGGAAACTTTCTCTCTGGATTCCTCAGCTGTGTGCAGGAATTCTCAGAAAGATCCAAAAATTCCCCCAAATCTCCAAAGTTCTGGAAGTTTGTGCTTCCTGGTGACATTTACCTCATCCTGCCATAAGTTTTTCCTCCGGTCTATAAATGTATAAATAAATCCATTCTATGAGGAACTTTCTGGGATGTTGGAGCCGTATTTCTATGTGTGGGTCGGTGTGTTTGCTCAGAGGATCCCAGATGGCAGAATTGGCACCGATTAGTTTTTGTTTTTCCTTCCTCTGCAGGTCAACCTTTCCTCGCTTACTTAGAACTCAGTACCGTACATATCAGACAGGGGCGGGTGAAGAGGGGTTTACCATTAGGCAATACTACGCAGGTGCCTAGGGCCCCAAGTTCCTGGGGGCCCCATAAAACTCTGTTTCCATGTATGGTTAATACAACTATTGCTTATTTCTGCACATTAATTATGTTTTTGATAAAAATCCTTTGGCTAAAATGCCATCAGAACGCTGATAATATTAAGTGTGTCTCAGCCCCCCCCCCCTTCAGTGTCCACCATATTGGATCAGTCCATTTGCTGCACATGTTCAGAAAGGTCCAAACAGACAGCAGCAAACCATTTGAAAACAAACCATGCAAAGAGCAGTGTTGCCAACTTAGCGCTTTAGTCGCTATATTTAGCCACTTTTCAGACCCCTCTAGCACTTTGATTTCTAAAAAGCTCCTAGCGCCAAATCTAGAGACTTTTTTCTGCTTCTGGAGACTTTGGAGACAACATCTAAAAGCAGCGAACTCTGCTCTCCAGAGCGAGTAGATTGGTAACCCCGCCTCCTGCTCTCCTCTATCTTGTCTGCTGTCATGATTCATGCAGCTATTATTTCATCCAAATGAAACATGGAGAACAGAGAAGCAGATCATGGCTTGTCTACAGTGAAAAGAAGGACTGGGTTATTTACTTTGGCCTTTTTGGAAACACAGGAAGGAGCAATCAGCTAAGTGAGCTTAGTGCTTGGAAAAAATCTTTCATTCCTTTAGAGACAGCATGAAAAGTCAGCTGAGTACAAAACATAGAGAGGAAAACAAGAAGAAAAGGGACAAGAAGAGATGAAGATGCTGCAGTTATCAGCAACTTTCAGACGATTATACTAAAAGTCCTGGACAGAAGCGTCCCTCATGTCTAATTTTGTGAAATCAGCTGTATAAAATCATGGTTTCCTGTGGATGGCGGGACAGAGGAGGGTTAAACCTGCAGTTTCTCCATTTCCTGTCCAAAACAGAAAAATTAGGCATAAAACGACTTAAGAATAATCATCTCAAATGTGGGCCCCCTGCTGTCTTTGCCTAGGCCCCCAGTTTTTCCTTAATCCGCCCCTGCCCTGACTGGGCCTGAGAAGTTTGATCCTGATGTTTAGCAGCTGCTGAGGCCAGCGAACCTCCTCTGTTTGTGGAACAGCGATTGATTTTGTTCTGTCGCCATGTTTAGGTCTGAGGCACATCGCCGTCCTGAAGCTGGTCGGTACGGAGCTGCCGGACATGGGCGGAGTCCTGGAACTTTATCCCATCAATGGTAAGCTTTATGTAGAAAAGGAGATTACTAATGAGCACACAAGCTTTGGTTATCCTGGGAGGCACTAAACAGTGTTGAACTCATATAGGTAACCATGGAAACGGCGAACATTATTCACAGTCAGGGCAGTTTGGGATGACCTCAGTCTACCGCATCACTTTGATAGAAGTTATTTAAAGTATTTCTTCTATAATAGCTCCATCAATCAGCGGACTGCTGCAGGCGGTCAGACTGAGGTCTGCACCAACGGGACACTCAAACACCACATTTATCAGACCCAGCCTCATGCATGCAGCAGCTGGCCCCTCATTCATCTCTAAAGTGGTTTTAAAGAGTCGCTGGTGGGAAATATTCCCCAGCTGTCTGCAGAACCGGCCAGTTCATTTCCAGCTCGTTCCACACAGAGTGAGCGAAAGGTGGGAATGTTTAAACTGTTTCCAGGGGAAATCTCTGAAGGTATCAGCACCCTAAAAACTTTAGGCAGTCAGAAAATGATGCAGGAAGTTCTTTTCATTAGGAAACAAAACAGTAAAAGTCTTTTAGGGCAGAGCTGATGGTTTTCCAGCTGGAGCTGCTCACAACCTCAGCACCAGATCTGAGACAGAAGAGCTTCGACATCGTGAAAACGGTGGAGTCATTATCCAGCGATCAGCTCCATCCATAAGGACCAGAGCAGAGCTGCTGGACGGGAACAACCAGGGTCGGCTTGTTGCTTCACCAAATATGGATCAATCCATGTTTGGATTTTGCTTGATACGCGATACAATGAACTGTTTTTACCCTTGATTTGAGCTAGTAAATACGATTCTTTGCCAATTAAATTATATTTACTCTTAAAATAAGATAATTAGATAATAAGCACTTAAAGTAAGACAATGCAATTGTTTTTTTCTCATTTTAAATGTAAATTGTCTTGTTCTATTGGCAAAGTGTCTCACTGACTTCAGTTTAAGAAAAAAGGAACCTATGTTAAGAAAAAATTATTTATGTAGAATTCCTTGTTTTGCAATGTGTAACAGATTGAGATCGGGGGAAGTTTTTAACCAAGAAATGGGTCAAAGTGACTCAAGTTGGAATAACAAACGTGTTTCTGGGCTCTGGAGGAAGCTGGAGTACCTGGAGAGAACCTCTGTGTCCGGAAGGAATGTCTTTTTTTTCTTAAAATAAGTGCAATTGTTGTTGAATTGAGGAGGTAAGTGAGACCCTTTGCCAATGGAACAAGACTATTTACATTTAAAATAAGAAAAAAACAATTGCATTGTCTAATTTCAAGTGCATAATTATTTAATTTTAAGAGTAAAACATCTCATTCTATTGGCAAATCATCTTCTTTACCTCAAATTAAGGTAAAAACACTTAGTTTAAGAAATGGTGACTTATTTCTAGATCGTATTCGTGGTGCAGTTGGGATTTGAACCAAGAACCTTCTTGTTATGAGGCAGCAATGCAAAGAGCTCCTGATTTAAGACTTGAAGGTGATGAGGATGAGTCTCCATATGAGGCTGTAGGAGCTCCAGACAGCGTAGATGATAAGCAGAGCTAACGCTGGACGAACCCTCCTAGCTTCCAGGTAAAATGATGATAGCATCTTAAAGCTAAAGTGGAGGATGTTGTTTTTTCGGGTGGATCATCTACATCAGTGGTCCTCCTAACTGTCAATCATTCTGGTGATATGTTTACGTAAGGCCGTCCTACGCGCTCGTCCCCATTTTCACTGACCGCTGGTGAGTCTGACATGGTGGAAAAATTGCAAATCTTCTTTCGTAAAGTAATCTTGTTTGAGTGAAGCAAACAGCAACTTTTAAACCGAGCGGGCACGAGGAGAAACGGGCTCCTGCACGCTCTCGCACTGTTCAACAGGCATTCCCTCTCAGGAGCGGGTGCAGAGTTGTGCATGCTTTTTTTTTTATTTGAAGTGGAGAGGGCGGGTCTTTTTTAAAAGTTCCACTATAGCTTTAAATTAGCATCTTTAAATCTGAAAGCTTGGGATTTGATTCCAGCTTCCTGCTGCTAATTGTCCATGAGCCCCTGAGCAAGGCGCCTGACCCCTGGTTGCCCAGCGACCTCTGTGTTAGTGTTTGGCTTTCAGTGTGACTGGGTGTGGTTATAGTGCAAAGGGCTGATTGGTGAGACTGCATCTGATTCTGCCCTGACAGCCTTATTACCACTGACTGATGTCCAGCACAGAGCAGGAGGCCCATAAATGATCCTCGGTGTCCAAAGGTTCATAAACGTCTGTCCTCAGAGGACGGAGGATCAGCCTCTGCTTCTGGGAGACACACAGCTCAAACTGAACCATTCCTGTGGAACAGCAGCTCTCAGAAAACACTTCCAGGTGGGAGTGAGAAGCTTCCTCAGCGTCTCCATGAGTTTTCTCTGTGTGGAAGGAGGCGGCCATGTTGAACCCTCCCCCGCTGTTTGCTGGTGACGCCTTCACATCCCTGCTGTTCTGTGAAAGTTGACCTCAGCGTCGGATAAACTGATTCCAGATGGTCTGTGTGCTGCAGTTGGTGGATGGTTCTCCGTAGAAACGTTTGTGCTGTCAGCGCACACACGATGAGTCACGCTGATGTTCTTCAAGATGGAAGATATTACTGGAACATCCTGAACAGATGGAGCGTGCTATCAAACCTTTGGGGGGGGGGATTCTGACACCTGAGCTGCAGCCTTCATCTCCAGGCCTCCTCTGGCTTTCTGGAAGCGTCCATCTGTGGGTTAGCCCTGCTTAGATCAGGGATTCCACAGGCAGCTCAGGCCGCAGCTTCTCCTGGCACATCCAGGGCTTCTGGGTGTCATAAAGTCTGAATAAACAACCTTTGGTTCTTTTGGCTCCAAGCACAGATCACAGCTGACTCTATAGCGTCCAGATTCTTATTTCTTTCCTCTGTTTTGGTGTTTTTCAGCAGCTACTTTTCTTTAACAACAGTTACATTACTCCTCTCATCCGTTATTTTTAAATTAGAGGAACCACATCTTCAAGAAGCAGGACAGGTGGAGCTTCTGACATTCTGAAACATCTGGTAACAATGGCTAGATAATAAAATAATGTCATCTTATGCCATGCAAAAATAGTCTGCTCTCGTAAATATTCAACTACTAAAGGAGGCTCTGATCCCTCCCATTGGACTGGCCATGGAGGTCAGCAGGGGGGGTTAATGGTCGTTAGCGGGTTCTGAACTCCCTCAAAATCACTCTGACAAGGGATTTTGGTCACATGGCTTAATGAAGTGTGAGTCAGGTGAGGGCGGATGGGAAGTGAATCATCGAGTATTCTTCCTAAAAGGTCTTTTTGAAGTCCTAGGGAAGCAGCCGTTCCAACCGTTGCATTTCCGAATTCTCCCAGTGGTGCCCGACTTTACACGAGTGAATAAAGTGAATTTGATTGGTCGATTATCAAGGGGGCGGGATTGTTGTGGCGGAAGGTTTGCAAGCAAGTTGTGTTGTACCCGGTTTGTGGGAAGCATCTTGCTAACCAGTTAGCATCTTAGTGCTAGCAGGTTCCCAATGGGAAATTCCATTGGGACCAAGTAGCACTAAATTGGTGCCTTAGAAACGACGCTGTCAAGGAACGCTATGGACAGCGGAAACATGCAAGAGGAGGAGAGTTTAGTGTCGGAGGTCGTGGATGAGTCTCCTCCGTCATACATTTTTTATTTAGTGGAGGAAAGCGGGGACGAAGATGTTGTGGAAGAGGACGCCAGGGCGGCAGAAGCTTGGTTTGGTGTAGAAGGCTTCCAGCCGTACATGTTTGAGCCCTTGCCTCGCAACGCTGGCAGTTCTGTTAGCTCTACGCCTGCCGAAGACACAGACGTCCATCCCCGTGAACACTGGGACGCAACTCAATGGGAAAGGAAAGGATTCTGGTTTCAACCGTTGCGTATATTAGCTGCGACATATGAATCAAGATGCTATGACCGAAAACATTTGAGAGAATATCGTCGATAAAGAGAACATTTATATACATGTTTAACCCAGAATGATTTGACATTTAAATATGATTCAGACGACTTTAAGTAGGTGAAAGGTTCTGTCCTCCTCTGTTGAGAGATTGTTTTTCCAAGTTTTCAAAGATGGCTTCCTTAACCCCTCTCTCAAACCATCTGTCTTCTTTAGCCAGATTATATATCGTTGTTGTCCTCAAATGAGTGTCTTTTAAGCCGGGCGTACACTGTACCATTTTTTGCCCTTTTCGGGCTGATTCTCCAGTCATGCGAGACTTTTCAGCCTCATCGTGCGTGCTGCGTGGTGTAGTGTACAGCGGGTAACAAGGGCCGATCAGCCTCTAATGACCGCCTCCCCATCAGGAACCATAAGGTCAGGAGAAAATCAAACACGTTTGAAATCCAGTCGTCCCTCCTGAGGCGTTGGTGGGTAAATCCTGCTGTTGAAGCAGAGCTACGAGCTGATTTACCAGAACCTCCAGCACTGGGCAAACAAGGGAAATCTTCTTCCAAATTGACGAGTCTGACTAGAGGTCCATCTCTCTGCGCTGAGTCAGAAGTGTGGTTTTTGGCTGCACAGTGTGAGCAGGTAGATCGCATCAGAGCGTCGGGTCGCAGTGTGAGAGCAAACTTCGTGAGATGTGAGCTTTTAAACCCTGAGGTTTCATCGTTCAGTTTGAGCTGCAGCTGCGTGCAACAATTGAGAATATCGCACAGTGGATGCCCGGCTTTAGCCTTCAGGTGTGGGTGAATAACTGAGTCCTTTCTTGAGGAGTTATCCCTCCTGTGTGGAGCCATGCGTCTGTGTAGTGGTTGCTTGGTCTCTCCAGTGTACAATTCTGGCCACTTCTTCACTGCACTGACTGGTGATTTATGCCATAAACCACCAAGACGTCTCCCTTTGTTTCCTTAACAATAAGCAAAATGGTGAAATGCTTTGGGTTACAGAGCTGCACAGTTCTGTAAAGCCTCATTTAAGACTTTAGATACCAAAGCCAGAATTAGAGTCCAGGATAAGATGGAGGTCCAACAAAAGCCAAAAGAGGCTGCAAAGCCAACTTTGACTTCTGCCGAAATGCGTCTTACTCTCCTTCTTCTGTTCTGTCTCCAGGCAGCGCTACTGTGGAGCGTGAAGGCCTCTCTGCCACCCTGGTGAAGGACATGAGGAACTACTTCCAGATCAGCCCTGAGTACTTCTCCATGCTGCTGGTGGGGAAAGACGGCAACGTGAAGTCCTGGTATCCTTCGCACATGTGGTCCATGGCCATCGTCTATGACCTGGTGGACTCCATGCAGCTTCGCCGGCAGGAGATGGCCATCCAGCAGTCGCTGGGCATGCGCTGCCCAGAGGACGAGTACGGTGGATACGGCTACCATCAACACGGCTATGAACATGGTTACCAGGACGGCTATCACCAGGGTTACGGTTACTAGACAATGAGTGACAGTCCTGTTTGCTGCTTCTCTGCACCTTTAGCTCAGATATCCCTTCATCGTGTTCTCTAACCATCCTTTACTCCTTAGTCGAGGATGTAGACAATCTTTTGAAATGTTCTGTGGCACTTAAAGGAAGCTCTTTTCATGTACCCACTTCTTTTCCACATCAGGTGCGTGTAATGGGCTCGTATGCAGATGAGGCCGGAGGATCAGGGACGCTCTGCGTACTGCGGCAGCTTTTCACGTATTTGTCGCCGTCAGGCATCAAGTACTCTTGTAGGGTCGTCTACCCCCCTCACATGCTTCGTTGAATCCACGTGTTCACGGTTTCAGGACTGGTGGTTTTGTTGTAGATACTGGGCTTAAAGACGTATTTATTGGAAATCTGTGGCATCTCAAGTGCAATTACTGGGCTTTGTTAGACTTTTTTTTTTTTACATTACTTCCCTTCTGGAAAGTCTCTGTCGTTCTACGAGAGTCCTATTTATACCATTTTAGCAAATATGACAAATAAAAATGTGTACTGTTTGTGTTTTCAACTGGAGGACTTTTTGAAGTAAAGCCTGATTTAGTCCCATGGATTCTCACACTGATCCTTCCTGACTGCGATACCTTCTGGTTTCCTGCTGTCTGGATGTTAGGATACTATTAGAATAAAACTATTTAAACCTCCTGCTTAAAACGCTTTTGCAGAAGTTAGAGGATCAACTTCAGCTTTTTACTATTTACTCTAAAAGTGTAAAAGTACAATTATTAAAACTACTTAAAACATGAAAGTCAAAGTAATGCAGGAAAAACTATTAAGGCCAGAAGCTTTCCTGCTTTAAAGGAAGATTTTTCTACACTTCTGGATGATAACTTTTATAACTAATGGTAACAGCGTCACATTTACCTTTGCATAATCTTGAAAAACTATTTATTTTGGTATGTGGTGAGCAACAAGTTGGGGCAGCACCGAGTCCAACCACAGAGAAAGTCTGGGAAAGACTGCTCCCCCCCGGTCCCAGATAAAGCAGAACAAAATGGAAACTAATTATTCTGATGTTTTTTTATATTTTCTTGGCCATAATAAAAATTTGCTTAAATTAAACAAAACTAACGCGTCTATTTTTAAAATTTAAGGAGTAGCGAGTAGTAATAAGTACAAAAAAATGTAAGGAGTAGAAGTAAAAAGTTGTCTAAAAAAAGAATTACTCCAGTAAAATAACGATAGCCAATATTCCTACTTAAAGGCTTACTTGACACCTCTGCCCCCCCAAAGATAACGTTTATTTTAACGCAACACAAACGCAACACTGACAAACTGATCTAAGAGTAATTTCTACATTAGAGAAGGTCATTATAAATTTGCTCCACATTGAAAAATGACCCAACTATGTTGCATTCATACATTTTAACTGAATCACCTGCAAAAGCTGAAAGTGTGAGTTGCATCCTAAAGATAAACATCCAGACCTAATCTGAGCAGAGTGTCTGCAGTTCAATGCAGTGAGGAATGCTCTGATCTTTATATTAGAGAAACCAAACAACCTCTCCACAGACGCATGGCCCAACACAGAAGAGCGCCCTCCTCTGGACAAGACTCCACGCTACATCTACACCTGATGGACAAAGAAGGACCAGAATGTTCACATTTTGGACAAAGAAGACAGGTGGTTTGAGAGGAAGGAAGCATCTATGCTAAGAAAGAAAAATCTGGACTCAGATTTCAGCTTCCAAAAACATACATTTAGCGACTGAGTTGATCCCTTTTCTGCAGCCCTAAACGCCTGTACAGGAGAGTGGAGGACCTCACCTGTTCAGCCAGGCCAACTATTCCCTCTAACGACCCCCCTTTCAGAGACATAGACAGGTATGGGGCATTGCAGGCTAACAAAGAAGCCAAGCGACCCCCATTCCAAAGGGGGGGACCCGTTCATCCGTTTCTATCTGCATGTTTTCTAAACTAAAACCAGGCTTTGTTGGGCTGCTGGATAAAACCTGGAACTAAACGCTATTTCTGACATTTTGGATTGAAAAAGCTTCCTGGATGGAAGAGAAACGTCTTCAAACTTGGAAACAAAGTCGACTGTTTTTTAATGTTTCTTTTTTGGATGACTACCACCTGAATGACTGAGAATCTTCACCAGCATGTGGTGCATTCCTACGTTTTAACTGGACCACCTGCGAAAGCTGAAAGTAGGAGTTGGAGAGTCGATGCAACAGGAAGTACCTCTGCATTCAGGATGACGGCTGTTCACACGGCAGGCAGAGCAATCCCACTCTTCACCGTTTCCACCAGGCTGAAGGAAAAGAAGAGGATGTGTGAAGGAGTCCAGCGGCCCTGAGCGGCGCCGCTTTGAGCCGGCGGTTCTGTGAGGCTGCTCCCTCCTGCAACAGCTGCTTCTAAAATATCCAAACCAAACTCTCTGACAAATAAACATAGAAAACTTGCATGTCCTATTACACAAAATAACCCTTAATAATTCATCTAGAGCAGAAAGAGATTTTTTTTGGTGTGAGCAGATTGAGCGTCAGATACGTTGATATGCATTGGAGAGAAGTTCTGGACAAGTTATGCAGAAGTTACTCAGAGGTTTAGGATCAGCTAGACGCCACGACTGATGAGGAACTGATGCTGAATGGATGTCAGCCATCAGATAACTGACGCTTAAAGGAAAAGTCTGGTCAGCAGGAATAACCAATGTATCATTTTTTATACCTAAAACGAATATATTTGCGATGATTTAATGAATTTAGCGTTAATCAGTAAAAAATAGTAATTTTCCTTGTGATCACAGAGTCTGGGAGCGGCCATCTTTGCCCAAATCTAGTAGCCCCTCCCTCCTGCCATCTTCCAGCAGTGACGTCACGGTGCGGTAAGCCTAGCGCCATTCTCCCCGCTTTCCAAGCTAAATCAATGGGAACTACTAGACACATCTGCAATCAACAACAATTATTGAAGATTTCCAGAGGACTTCACCATTGAAATTCACCAGAGCTATAGTGAAACTGACAATGCCCACGTGCATGGCAGCTGGATGCTGGAATACATCGGGTAAAAGTGGAAAAAAGAGTTATCCACCTTTCTGATTCCTGATCCTCCACGGACGGGTTGGTCGTTGGATCGCCAACTTGAAGAGGGAGGATTTGCCATCGAACTTCTGGCCAGAGAAAAAACCCGTAATATGTAGCCAACATTTGGAAGAAGAATGTTTTCAAGATGACTTGGATAATAGCGCGTTGTGACAAACACCAGATACAGCACTGGGACTTGATCAACAGCCGATACCGCACCGTGACAATGTCACTAACCAGTAGGTGGCAGTAGTGTTCTTTGACAAACATGGATGCCTCCAGTAAAGCACATTCACATGAAAATTACTCTGAATTAAAAACACTGATCATTTATTGAACATGATCTGATATATATTTAATATTCATCATTTCATATTTTTAGAAGTTTGGATTCTGAATATGAACATACTTTTAAAGCCAAAGGGAAAAGGTGGACAAAGATTTAAATCTGCTGTGCCGAGGATGTTCATCCCAGATCTTTGGAGCTGAAACAGTGAAGCTCGGTTCCTCTGATCTTCGTTTTAGGATCTCAGGATCAGCTGAGCTGAGAGAGCGAGTCGGTCTATAAGGATGATGTACGGTATGGAGGACCAACTCTGCCATATTAAAAAATAAATACAGAAATAAATAAATGCTCAATAAATAAATAAGCATACAATTAATTGCCACCAAAAATACAATAAACAAATAAATGTAAGTAGAAATTAAATTATACAGTGAGACATAAATGTAAATAACTCTGTCATTTATATTCTTCAACTTTATTTTTTAATTACTTATATTTTTAAGTATTTATTTATGTGCATGTTATCATATTTTTGTCTGTTTTATTCTTCCTTTGTATTTTTTTACCCTAGTTATTTCTTCTCCGCTATTTATTTCTGCCTCATTATGCAAATGAGGAGGGGGTTGGTCCTCCATAAAGAATACGGTTATAAACAACATAAAGTGAACTAAAACTTTTCTGTTTAGAGGCTCTGAATTCTGTGTAGAATACTTCCATCAGCTTTACAACGACGGCGGAGTTTAGTGACGAGTACGGAAGACGATTAGGGCCACTGGAAAAAAGTTAACTGATTTTTTTACTTTTATTCTGACTTTAGTTAGAATTATGACTTTATATTTATTTATTTTTAGGAATAAAGCCACTGGAACATTTTTTAAGTTTTTTTTTTTATTTTATTTTATATACCGGTAAGAAAAATGTCAGAATTCTGGGGGAAAAAAAGAAAGAATTCTGACTTTTTTCGCAATTTAAACTCAAAGTAAATCTGTTAACTTTTTCCCGCTAATCCTCTTCCGTATGACAGCAACCATTGAGCACAGCAGCTTTTTAACCGACATCACGTCCTACTGGCTTCACTATGGCGCTGAAGAGAACATTTCCTAAAGGTGAGACATTTAAAATGCTTTTGGTTATAATAATGATTATAATTTTATAAAGATTAACAAGACCAAGACACAGCTTCGCTTTAAAAAGCTCTTATTTGAAAAAAAAGTTGATTTTACAACAAATGGAAAACATTATTAAGGCATGAAGAAAAATACATTCAGAGTTAAAATAAACATTTATGGTCAAAGCAAAGCAGATTCCAGCCCAGTTTACCTTCTGATCGGCTGCATCGTCTAAAACCACTTAAGTTTTTTTTTTCCCATAAAACATTTTAAAGAATGTCAGCAATGAGAGGTTCTTGTGCTTCTATGGTGGATTTTGTTTAATGAAAAACAACAAACTCTTTTCAAAAAGCATCTGGAAAAACTGGCTGATAAAACATCCAACATGTCAGCATTAGTCGAATGTCTTCCTTCAGCAAACCGTGCCGCCCTGCTGTGTGTCTGTATATATATATATATATATAGTAATTATTTTTATCTGAATGCTTTATTTTATTAACCTAAAATCTGAAATCTAGCAAACATTAATTCTGCATTTTAAACAAGTTTTGAAGAGTTATAGCTGTTTTTAATTCTTTTTATATTTGTATATTTCCCTGTATTTTTTTACGGTTTTAGACAATTAAAGATCTGTCCAGGAATAAAGATGAAAAATAGCCATTTGGCTAATTCTGCTGCTTTTGCAGGAATGCTTATTAAAGGAGAATTCCGTTTTTTAACACTTTTAGCCCATTTTCTGTAGTGTCCAGGATGAAATCGAATGATCGACACCAAAATTTTGACGATTGCTCCTGTCTCTGCTATTTGGCTCATGCAGAATCCCCCCCTGGCTGCTTCAGAATGGCTTCCATAGTGCATGTCCGATAATGTCCTTAAAACAACCTTAAACGTTCTTTTTTTTAAATATGCTACTCACCGGGTCGTCAGCGCTGTTCAATGACGTTCCAAAAAAAGTTTCGTAAAGAAAAAACGTTCCTGTAGTGTTTTATTTAGCATTTTGTAAATCCCATTGAGTTCTGTAGGAATAGTCAATATTCCGCTGCCACCAGAAACGGAAATGGGGCCTGTTTACACAGTTGTAGTCTTTTCGCTTAACTCTGTGTACTCCGACGTCGAGGTGCTAACGTCTCTGTTAAACACTTTAAAAAACTCTGAAAAGGGAATACGAAAGGTGGATTCTTGAGGAGGACATATTGGACTTTGAGTTTGACGGTAGAGGATACCGTCGCCAACTAGTGGTCTGGAGTGTGCAACGCTTCAGATTTGAACGGGAAGCGGAAGTTTATAAGCGGTTGTGATGTATCGGAAAAAATAGTTCTGGGATTTACAAAATGCTAAATAAAACAAGACAGGAACGGTTTTTCTTTACGAAACTTTTTTTGGAACGTCATTGAACAGCGCTGACGACCCGGTGAGTAGCATATTTTAAAAAAAGAACGTTTAAGGTTGTTTTAAGGACATTATCGGACATGCTCTATGGAAGCCATTCTAAAGCAGCCAGGGGGGGATTCTAAATGAGCCAAAAAGCAGAGACAGGAACAATCGTCAAAATTTTGGTGTCGATCATTCGATTTCATCCTGGACACTACAGAAAATGGGCTAAAAGTGTTAAAAAACGGAATTCTCCTTTAATAAACACTTTTCCCATCAATCAATAAATCATCATTTATCAGAGCCCTAACACTTTAATCACATTAAGTTTTCAGGAATCCATCCTCCCGGGTGGCTTCGGTGGCGCAGCGGTTAGCCGACCAATGGAGGCCTTAGTCCTCGGGTTCGACTCCCACCTGTGGTCCTTTACCCCCCCTCCCTTCCTGTCAGCCCACTGCGTAATAAAAACAACCCACTAGTGTTTTAAAAACCTCAATAAATAAATATTCCTCCAGTGTCGCTTTATTCCAGATCAGATTAATAACCGGATCCTTTCTGACTCTGGAGCATCACAGCAAAGACAATCAGAGCCATGAGACACGACCTCCAACAGGTCAATAAACTCTGCATGAAGGTGATCAAAGAGAAAAAGTGGATAAATGTTTTTAACCGTTTTAAGCAAGAAAACTAAAGATTTTCTGACTATTAAAGACTTTAATGCTTGATTCCGTTCATGCAGAAGGAAGCTGGATGCTTCCAGTCTGCTGGGACTTTATGTCCAGCTTTGATGGTTAACGCCCATTAAAATAAAACAAGACGTGACAGGACCCCCCCCCCCCTCCAGTTTTACAGGCATATTTACACAGGAAACTCCCACCAACAGCCAAACGCTGCTGCAGCTTTTAATAACATCTGTTTTCTGTCCAAACCACAGCAGTTCTGCACAAACAGGCACGTTTATCGCTTCACAGAAACGCCGCCAGACGGCGTCCTGGTCCAGGAGCTTCAGCGCCGCCGACATCCCCAGAGATCAGGATTCACAGGGAGTCCTCGTCAGAGTCGCTGTCTGTGTTGGTCTTGGTGAGGAGCTCCAGCTCCTCGCCGTCCTGCAGGAGCAACGAGCAAACAATGAGCAAAACGAGACAGAAAAACATGAATGAAAAACTTTCACTTCTAAACATTTGATACTTTTCATCAACCTGAAGCATGATGCTGCCACCGCCTTGCTTTACTACAGGCCTGGTTTTCTGTGCAGCCGTATTTTCTTATCTCCCATAAATAAAAACACTCCCAATATCTCTGTAAATATTTGATTGGATGTTTTTTTGGAAATAAATCAATTGTTTTAAATAAGCAACTTTCCCTCCTCAGTCATGAAGATCATTAAGTTTTCTAACTGATCCAGCTAGAAAACAGGCTCTAGATCTGCACCTTCAGAGGCTCAGAGACACGAACACAGTGGAGCTTCTACCTGAACAACATCTGGAGGATTAAAGCTGCAGCTGATCCAGACGCCGCTGCCTGCGTCCTCACTAGAACTATAGAAAGTAGATCAGCAGCAGTAGGCTCCCTATAGATACGCCCTCTTTACTCCTTCAATACGATCTGGTGTGTAATTAAACTTAGTATGGATGAAAATGATCTATGAAGGTTTATCAGAGAACATCATGCAGACCGAGGGACGCAGCAGGTCAGTCTGGGGGAGAAACGGAGGGTAGAGAAACTTAAGTTTAAAGTTTTAAATGAGGTTCTTAAATAACATTTCACCCTTTAGTTCAGATGGAAATGTTTTAATAAGACTAAAAATGGCTTCCAGAGGCAAAGCAGCTCTTAAAGAGCCACAGAGATTCACTGGTTAAAGGTAAAAAGTGAGATTATATGAAATGTTTTAAGCTCAGATAACTGCGGCCTCCTGCTGTAATATTTATGATTTTCATGTTTTAAGGTTTTTTATTTTTTGCCCAGTTTGTCAGTAATTAAAATCCATCAGTTATTTCCAGTATCAGTGGAGGTATAATGAACAGGGAGTCTTTCTCTCCCTGATGTTCTGACAGGAGATTCTGGAGGGGATTGTAGATGACTTCATTAATACAGCTGGTCTTTGAGGTACAGCCAGCAGATGGCGCCACATCTGCTCGTCCAAACATTGGATTATAAAATGGCTGTAAAGCTTAGAGGTCAGATTTGCAGAATGCTAAGAGCCACCAATGCTAACGTGCTCTGGTCAGATGAGAGCAGAACAGGAACAGTTTACATCATTGTCCCTGTCCTGCATGTTTTAGTTGTTTCCTTGTTGCATCAAACCAGAAAAGGACGAATGATCAACAGTCCTGATCAGAACCAGCTGGAACATCCCTGAGGACCCGGCTGGGAACCACTGGATTACATGAAACTTGACAGAAAACAAACAGCTTAACGCCTGGTTCTCCTCCCCCAGCAGTGTGTCGCAGAGAGATCGTCAGATATGTTTGATTTCTGCCCAACATTGAAGCGCGGTCTGCGCTATGTTATTCCACGCCACAACGCCAGAAGGCCAATCAGGAACTAGCTGTGGGTAGCTCTAGATACGGCCGAGGCGGTGAGGAAATGGGGGAGAGTTTGTGGGACAACGGAGGGACATGAGGGACAAAAAGAGCGGGGATCCATGTGGAAAAAGGGTCCCAGCGTTCTCACCTCGCTCTGCTAGCTGCTCCATCTTCACCAGTCGTTTTCCAACATGGCGGTCAGACAAACAGAACAAGCCGGTAAGGAACCAAACAGGAAATACGCATAGAGTAGAGCGGATGGAGATCTGACCAATCAGAGGCCTCCTGTCTGCAGTTGCCTACAATTTTTGGAGGTGCAGCAGAGTGTCTGCGGAAGGGGGCGGGGCATATCTGCGTTAACTGCGACATAAACGCAGACAACCTGGTTTCTAAGCATAACTCAGCCTTAAATGTGAAACATGGCGGTGGCAGCGTGGTGCTGTGGGAGTGGAAGCTGGTTGTGTTGCTTCCCGTCCAGCAGGCTGCACTGAGGCTGTGGGATCTGGAACGGCCTGGCTGGTTTTAAGCTACAGATGCTGACTCACTGTTTGACCCGTAGTTCAGGAAAAGAAATGTTTATTCTGTATAACAGCAGGACTCCCAGAACCCTCATCCTACTAGAACTTCCACTGCATGAGCAGCAGGGCGGGGTATTGTTAGGAACCTCACAATTCGATTTTGATTATTGCTGTTGCGATTCGATCCGATTCATTTCGATTTGATTCAATGCTGATTTTTTAAGAGCAGCCTGAGATGCCAAGTTGAGCACATTGGCAAAGCAGCCAACATATAACAGCTCATTGCTATGGACAGCATGTTGGCAGCATTACCTGTAACAACAGCGGCTACTTTTCCCGTTATGCCCCATTTGTTTATTGCCTCCATCAACATGTTGGCCATGTTGCTCCCTGTGTGACTTCCGTGAAGCGGCCTGATCTGAAGCCCATTGGAAACTAATTCCCACTCATTTGATATGAAATTAGAAGGGATGGTTATGTAGAGGTCAGTCGTGCTTGAAGTCCAGCCATCGCACGTCAGCGCCACTCTTTCAGCAGCGTTTAGCGACTCCATCACAGCCGTCTTAACCTCTGTGTACAGTGTTTAAAAGTTGCTCTTGCGTAGCGTGGTGGAGTGTCTTTAAAATGTTTTTGAAACTCTCGTTTTTAACAACACTATACGGCCGTAGATCTTTGCAAATGAACACGGCCACAGATTTTCTCTGTGCGAGCAGAACTTTGCGGCAGAACTCATCAATTTGTGTCTGTCTGGAGTCTAGAGGTTGTGCTTCGGTTTTTTGTAGCGCTCTGCAGGATATCTGATCAAGTGGTTGCGTAGGTTCGTCGTGTTACTGCAGTACGTTCATTCTGTCTGGCACAAACTACTTTGCTTTTGTCGATTCCCTGAGGTCCGAATTTCAACGGGGGGACTTAAAAGTTGGTGTTCTGCTGGGGCTCGCCATGACTTGTGTGCTCTAATTCAGCCTCTGCACCAGCTGAGAATGGTAACCAAACCGACAGCGCCCCCCAACGGTCAGGAGGTGAATCGATCCTGAGGGGCTCCTGCATCGATTATCAATTTCCGTGTAATAATCGCGATGCATCGATTCTTCAATTATTTTACCCACCTCTAGCATTAGCCAAAGAGTTCTAGATAAAAATGTTGGTTGCTAAGCAACGGTACCCAACATTAATCAAACGCGGGAAGAATTTACAACACAACTACTAGAGCCGTCAGAATGAGCGCTGTGGGACATCGAGTTAAAATAAACATATTGATTTTTTAAAGTTTTTATTCTAATAAAAAACTACCGTATTCTAGCGACTATAAGGCGCGTATAAACGTCTTTTTTTCCCTCAAAATGTGCGGTGCTCACTATGTGTGTTGTTACTGCGGACGTTGTTGAGACCGCCATGAGAACGTTAAAGAGGGAAGTGTGGGCGTGGATTGGCTGCCACGCAAATGGACAGAAACTGCCGCCTACGGTGATTTTTAAGCAAAACACTTTGCCTAAAGAGACTTTTCCAGCTGGAGTCGTTATTAAGGCAAATGAAAAGGGCTGGATGGATGAGGAGATGATGAAAGAGTGGCTGAGGGAGGTGAATGTAAGGAGACCAGGTGGTTTTTTCCACTCATCACCATCGCTGTTAATCTGTGACTTCATGCGTGCCCATCTCACAGCCGGATGACCGACGGAGACCACAGTTTCACAAAAAGTGGAAGGCAGCGCCGGGCAAGTTACGCCACAGTTTGCGGATGGATTGTAGATGCTTGGACTAACGTGTCTGCTGGCTCTGTTGTTCCAGCTTTCGCAAAAGCCGGCATCATTTTCCGAGGAGCCGCTCTGCACGGAAAGTGACTCTGACAGCTCAGACTCTATCCCAGACACCGCGCAGGACGCTAGTTTGTAGCTCTGAGCGACGGTCTGTTGGTTTGAACCCAAAGCCAAAACACGCAGCGCCACGGCCAGTCTTTGGGGGGAACTATGTGTGGCCTGGTGTTAGATGAGGGGTTGTAGACGGCGAAAAAGCTCATCAAACCGACACACAGACACCCACAATCCTAGCTAGTTCCTGATTGTCCCTCATAAATCACAAGATATCTGCGTCATACCTGCGACAAGCTAACTGCAACACACTGCTGCGAGAGGATAACCAGCCCTTTAGACCTTACAGCTTTCATCAGAAGCGTGTTTGTTGTTAGTGGCATCAAACAGGATGTGAGGTCAGCTTCTTACCCCCCTGGACCTCTCGAACACCTCCCCATTGATGACCCGCAGCTTCTCCTGCTGCAGGCTGTACTCGGGGTCCTTTGGACGGCTGGCGTTGTAGATGAAGATGGAGAGCAGGACCATGGGGGCCTGCAGGAAGAAGTCCAGCGACGGGCGGAAGTCAAACAGGAAGAGGGAGAAGCCGGTAACGAGTACGGTGGTGATCTGACCCGCCAGCACGTGGAACATGTTGTCTCTGAACTTTAAGATGAAGGCCACGGATAAACCCAGAGCAGCTGAGGGAAGAGTTGGAGAAGGTGACTGGAGCTCAACCAGCAGCAGCAGAAGCTTCATCTGCCAGAACTCACCGGTGACCAGCACCAAAGCCAAGGAGTAGACGTTGTGTCCGTGGAGAAGGCCGCAGTGAACGGTGAGTCCTCGAGCCTCGCGGCTGAGCCCCAGAGTCAGAAGGTTGAACACCACCCCAAAGACGTACCTGCGAAGCAAAGAGGGCGGTGAGGAGCACAGAACACCTGCTGCTTCATTGTGTTCTCCACGCGCCAAGCCTCACAGTTTACTGTTCTGGATGAAGATGCTCTCCGTCAGCTGGTCGCCCTCTTTCAGGATCTTCTCGTTGTAGATGTTGGCCATGGCAGAAATGAAACACTGCAGCAGGAGCAGGAGGTGGCCCACGCCGAGCGACTGCAGCCTCGCCACCATCCTGTCCCTCCAGGCCTGACCGGGCAGCGACGACATCCACGATTCAGAGGCGCTGCACGACACGAGCGACAGGAGGTTACCTCGGGTTTACGGGATCAAACCTTTTTCATTTCAATGCCACCAACTGTCTGCACATGTAGCCCCTCCCTGGAACCTCCTCTTCATCCACAGACTTCCAACCTGAACGAAGCGCTCTGCCTCTAAACTGCATTTAATTAGATTCTGAATAAAGAACAGTATCGTGCTATGATGAGAATTTGGTCAGAAACAGCCTGATTAAAGAATCTTCTGCTCTTTTTCTAGCTGTGAAAACTTTAACAGCCACATTTTAGCTTTAATGGTTTTAACATTAGACAATAAAATAAAGAAAGGCTCTACTGGAAGCAGCAAATACTTTCTGATCGGTTTTCCTCCATCAGAAAGGAGGAGGACTAAGCAGCTGTTGGTTTCAGCTCTACTGCAGCTAACATGAATATCCTGCGCAGATGGAGTCAAACAGAAAATAACTCCTCAGAGATCCCATACGTTCCTGTTCTTCCCTCCTCTAACAAACCTTTGGTGGTTTTCCCGTCTGCAGGTGAACGTTACCTGCTGTTTTTCATCTCCTCCAGCAGCTGGGTGTAGAGGATGCAGGAGTTGGAGGGGGTGGAGAGGGGATTAGAGTGGAGGCCCGGCACTGCTATGGAGCTCTGGTTCCCCCCGGATCCTGTTGTCAAGGAGACGATGGCCAGGAAAAGCACAAGCAAAGATGCCCACTGAACCCAAGACAGGCGCCTCCTGAAGGAACGAGAAAACCGTGAGGTGGGTCTGGGTTTCAGTCCGACGGAGATGACTGTCAGAACGTTTATGCTGCTAACAGACGGAGGCTGCTTACTTTAAAACGACTCGAAAGAGAACGGCTGTGGTCAGGATGACAAAGTTGGAGAACAGCACGGCCATGGCCTGGAAACAGGAGAAACAGCCGCCATAAACGAAGGAAGATTTTAGCAAATAACAATCACAGAAATCTGCTTTATTTGGGTTCAAGGAAGATGACTGGAAATGCCACTTTAATTCCAGATTAACGAGGCGCTAAAGACGCCTCGTTAATCCTCGTTAATTTCTAAACATCCGGATGAACTGAGATAATCTCTAAACATCCGGAGGAACCGAGATAATCTCCGAACATCCGGAGGAACCGAGATAATCTCCAAACATCCGGAGGAACTGAGATAATCTCCAAACATCTGGAGGAACTGAGATAATCTCCAAGCATCCGGAGGAACTGAGATAATCTCCAAACATCCGGAGGAACTGAGATAATCTCCAAACATCCGCAGGAACCCAGATAATCTCCAAACATCTGCAGGAACTGAGATAATCTCCAAACATCCGGATGAACAGAGATAATCTCCAAACATCCGCAGGAACTGAGATAATCTCCAAACATCCGCAGGAACTGAGATAATCTCCAAACATCCGGATGAACAGAGATAATCTCCAAACATCCGGACGAACCGAGATAATCTCCAAACATCCGAAGGAACAGAGATAATCTCCAAACATCTGAAGGAACAGAGATAATCTCCAAACATCTGGAGGAACTGAGATAATCTCCAAACATCCGCAGGAACTGAGATAATCTCCAAACATCTGAAGGAACAGAGATAATCTCCAAACATCCGCAGGAACTGAGATAATCTCCAAACATCCGGATGAACTGAGATAATCTCCAAACATCCGCAGGAACTGAGATAATTTCCAAACATCCGCAGGAACCGAGATAATCTCCAAACATCTGCAGGAACTGAGATAATCTCCAAACATCTGAAGGAACAGAGATAATCTCCAAACATCCGCAGGAACTGAGATAATCTCCAAACATCCGCAGGAACTGAGATAATCTCCAAACATCCGGATGAACAGAGATAATCTCCAAACATCCGCAGGAACTGAGATAATCTCCAAACATCCGGATGAACAGAGATAATCTCCAAACATCCGCAGGAACTGAGATAATCTCCAAACATCCGGAGGAACTGAGATAATCTCCAAACATCCGGAGGAACTGAGATAATCTCCAAACATCCGGAGGAACTGAGATAATCTCCAAACATCCGGACGAACTGAGATAATCTCCAAACATCCGGACGAACTGAGATAATCTCCAAACATCAAGATGAACTGAGATAATCTCCAAACATCCGGAGGAACTGAGATAATCTCCAAACATCCGGAGGAACCAAGATAATCTCCAAACATCCGGACGAACTGAGATAATCTCCAAACATCAAGATGAACTGAGATAATCTCCAAACATCCGGACGAACCGAGATAATCTCCAAACATCCAGAGGAACCGAGATAATCTCCAAACATCTGCAGGAACTGAGATAATCTCCAAACATCCGAAGGAACAGAGATAATCTCCAAACATCTGAAGGAACAGAGATAATCTCCAAACATCTGGAGGAACTGAGATAATCTCCAAACATCCGCAGGAACTGAGATAATCTCCAAACATCTGAGGGAACAGAGATAATCTCCAAACATCCGCGGGAACTGAGATAATCTCCAAACATCCGGATGAACTGAGATAATCTCCAAACATCCGGATGAACTGAGATAATTTCCAAACATCCGCAGGAACCGAGATAATCTCCAAACATCCGGATGAACAGAGATAATCTCCAAACATCCGCAGGAACAGAGATAATCTCCAAACATCTGCAGGAACTGAGATAATCTCCAAACATCTGAAGGAACAGAGATAATCTCCAAACATCCGCAGGAACTGAGATAATCTCCAAACATCCGCAGGAACTGAGATAATCTCCAAACATCCGGATGAACTGAGATAATCTCCAATCATCCGGATGAACTGAGATAATCTCCAAACATCCGGACGAACCGAGATAATCTCCAAACATCCGGATGAACTGAGATAATCTCCAAACATCCGGATGAACAGAGATAATCTCCAAACATCCGCAGGAACTGAGATAATCTCCAAACATCCGGAGGAACTGAGATAATCTCCAAACATCCGGAGGAACTGAGATAATCTCCAAACATCCGCAGGAACTGAGATAATCTCCAAACATCCGGATGAACAGAGCTAATCTCCAAACATCCGCAGGAACTGAGATAATCTCCAAACATCCGCAGGAACTGAGATAATCTCCAAACATCCGGATGAACAGAGATAATCTCCAAACATCCGCAGGAACTGAGATAATCTCCAAATATCCGGAGGAACTGAGATAATCTCCAAACATCCGGAGGAACTGAGATAATCTCCAAACATCCGCAGGAACTGAGATAATCTCCAAACATCCGGATGAACAGAGATAATCTCCAAACATCCGGATGAACAGAGATAATCTCCAAACATCCGGAGGAACTGAGATAATCTCCAAACATCCGGAGGAACCGAGATAATCTCCAAACATCCGGACGAACTGAGATAATCTCCAAACATCAAGATGAACAGAGATAATCTCCAAACATCCGGATGAACAGAGATAATCTCCAAACATCCGCAGGAACTGAGATAATCTCCAAACATCCGGATGAACAGAGATAATCTCCAAACATCCGCAGGAACTGAGATAATCTCCAAACATCCGGAGGAACTGAGATAATCTCCAAACATCCGGATGAACTGAGATAATCTCCAAACATCCGGATGAACAGAGATAATCTCCAAACATCCGGATGAACAGAGATAATCTCCAAACATCCGCAGGAACTGAGATAATCTCCAAACATCCGGATGAACAGAGATAATCTCCAAACATCCGCAGGAACTGAGATAATCTCCAAACATCCGGAGGAACTGAGATAATCTCCAAACATCCGGATGAACTGAGATAATCTCCAAACATCCAGATGAACAGAGATAATCTCCAAACATCCAGATGAACTGAGATAATCTCCAAACATCCAGATGAACTGAGATAATCTCCAAACATCCGGACGAACCGAGATAATCTCCAAACATCCGGATGAACTGAGATAATCTCCAAACATCTGGAGGAACCGAGATAATCTCCAAACATCCGGATGAACAGAGATAATCTCCAAACATCCGCAGGAACTGAGATAATCTCCAAACATCCGGATGAACTGAGATAATCTCCAAACATCCGGACGAACCGAGATAATCTCCAAACATCCGGAGGAACCGAGATAATCTCCAAACATCAAGATGAACTGAGATAATCTCCAAACATCTGGATGAGCTGAGATAATCTCCAAACATCCGGATGAACTGAGATAATCTCCAAACATCCGGAGGAATTGAGATAATCTCCAAACATCAAGATGAACTGAGATAATCTCCAAACATCAAGATGAACAGAGATAATCTCCAAACATCCGGATGAACAGAGATAATCTCCAAACATCCGCAGGAACTGAGATAATCTCCAAACATCCGGATGAACAGAGATAATCTCCAAACATCCGAAGGAACTGAGATAATCTCCAAACATCCGGATGAACTGAGATAATCTCCAAACATCCGGATGAACTGAGATAATCTCCAATCATCCGGATGAACTGAGATAATCTCCAAACATCCGGACGAACCGAGATAATCTCCAAACATCCGGATGAACTGAGATAATCTCCAAACATCCGGATGAACAGAGATAATCTCCAAACATCCGCAGGAACTGAGATAATCTCCAAACATCCGGAGGAACTGAGATAATCTCCAAACATCCGGAGGAACTGAGATAATCTCCAAACATCCGGAGGAACTGAGATAATCTCCAAACATCCGCAGGAACTGAGATAATCTCCAAACATCCGGATGAACAGAGATAATCTCCAAACATCCGCAGGAACTGAGATAATCTCCAAACATCCGGATGAACTGAGATAATCTCCAATCATCCGGATGAACTGAGATAATCTCCAAACATCAAGATGAACTGAGATAATCTCCAAACATCTGGATGAGCTGAGATAATCTCCAAACATCCGGATGAACTGAGATAATCTCCAAACATCCGGAGGAATTGAGATAATCTCCAAACATCAAGATGAACTGAGATAATCTCCAAACATCAAGATGAACAGAGATAATCTCCAAACATCCAGATGAACAGAGATAATCTCCAAACATCCGCAGGAACTGAGATAATCTCCAAACATCCGGATGAACAGAGATAATCTCCAAACATCCGAAGGAACTGAGATAATCTCCAAACATCCGGATGAACTGAGATAATCTCCAAACATCCGGATGAACTGAGATAATCTCCAATCATCCGGATGAACTGAGATAATCTCCAAACATCCGGACGAACCGAGATAATCTCCAAACATCCGGATGAACTGAGATAATCTCCAAACATCCGGATGAACAGAGATAATCTCCAAACATCCGCAGGAACTGAGATAATCTCCAAACATCCGGAGGAACTGAGATAATCTCCAAACATCCGGAGGAACTGAGATAATCTCCAAACATCCGGAGGAACTGAGATAATCTCCAAACATCCGCAGGAACTGAGATAATCTCCAAACATCCGGATGAACAGAGATAATCTCCAAACATCCGCAGGAACTGAGATAATCTCCAAACATCCGGACGAACCGAGATAATCTCCAAACATCCGCAGGAACTGAGATAATCTCCAAACATCCGGAGGAACTGAGATAATCTCCAAACATCCGCAGGAACTGAGATAATCTCCAAACATCCGGATGAACAGAGATAATCTCCAAACATCCGCAGGAACTGAGATAATCTCCAAACATCCGGACGAACCGAGATAATCTCCAAACATCCGGATGAACTGAGATAATCTCCAAACATCCGGATGAACTGAGATAATCTCCAAACATCCGGATGAACAGAGATAATCTCCAAACATCCGCAGGAACTGAGATAATCTCCAAACATCCGCAGGAACTGAGATAATCTCCAAACATCCGGAGGAACTGAGATAATCTGCTCTGTGAGCCCAGACGCGAGCATCACCTACCGGCTGCAGGTAGGTCATCACATAGAAGATGATGAGGTTGTCCAGGAAGTAGAGGAAGGCGGGGACAGCCCACTTCAGAGAGATGAGGAAGGAGGAGCTGGAGGCGCAGCCCAGATCTCTGCAGGATCGCCCCTCTGAGGACACACACACACACACACAGCATGCTACTGTCGTCTCCTTTCTAAACAGTCCAACACAGGATCAGCCGTTTCCTCTGCTTATGGGCTTCCTGCTTGGTGTCTAATATTTCCCATAAAGACGTTTAGACCTTTGCTGTCCTCCTCAGAAGCTGCAGGAAGCTTCTCAGTCATTCTGAGTGGAATGAGAAAAACATCCACTTCTAACTGGATTTATCTAAAGTAATAAAACTATCACACTAAAGGTTACACCCATCATATAGGTCACATGACAGGAAGTGAAACCTGCTGTATGAACCTGAGTAAATGACCTAACGATGACGTAGACTAAAAAGTGGGTCTTATCCTTCTAAATCCACAGGGTCCGATCTTTTCCACGAGTTTAGATAGGAGACGACGGTCGTCTTCAGTCGGGACAGGAGTGGGCTTTGCTTAGACTGATGGAGGATTCTAGACACCAAACCGTCTTAACAAGCTAAAACATTAATGATGGCGCCTAAAGCTTGATAAAACGCAGTCAGACATTGTTAGAAAAATGTAAATGTCATAATTTTATTTGTATTAACTTCCAGGCATTAGGCCTGTTAGGAACCTTCTGTTGTTTTAACTTCAAATGGGAGAGCCAATGGTTCTCCCAGGGCCCGGCCTTATGCTGCTGCATCTCACTGATCATCAGTCATCAACTGTCACGCTTTATCATGTGTAAACTTCTGACTCCTCCTGTTACGCTTTTGAAGTCTGAAGGCAGCGGACAGAGAGGTCCCAGCAGATCTCACCACAGACATTTCTCCAGATCTTCTTTCTCCAGTTCCTTTTCTGCAGAAAAGGAACTGCAGAAATCCTGAGCTAGAGAGAGTGAAAGGAAGATTGCACAAATGATTGAAGACTAAATTTGACATTTGAAAATCCAATACAAAAAATGGCCAGAAGATGGCAAAAGTGCGTCTATATCTACCTACAGGAACCACATTTCTTTTGATATCCAGTTTTGCTGCTAAGCGTTGTTCGATGAGCAAAGCATAAACCCTTAATTTTAATCGTATAGACGGTTAGTTATTTACGCTGCTACATCAGCTGTTGCCGTAGCTCCTTGTAGTGTGTGCGGCCGCACGAACAGCAGCTTGATGACCAGGGTCTACCTCCTGTTAGCGTAGCACCTTTTAGCCGCTGGAAGCATAAATAAGCGTTCCTGGAGCGCAGCGTGCAGAAGCAAGCGCTTGGTTGACCTAACTTCCTGCTCCAGCTGCTAAACGCCATCTGGCCCCCCGTCTCCTCCAGCCACGCCCAGCGCCATTTATTTTTCAGACCTTTATCTATGGTGGTGACATCTTCCCAGGAGTTCATGAACTGCCCACTCCATGCCATTCCGTTCACTCTATCGTCCTTCTCTCCAAAAACGTTGTTGGGCTGCTGGATCAAACCTGGAACTCAACGCTATTTATGACATTTTGAATTAAAAAAGCTTCCTGAATGGAAGAGAAACGTCTTCAGTGAGCTGGACTTTGCACCTCTGAGCAAAGTCCAGAGGATTGTTTCGAATTTTTTTTGGAATTATGATCTATTGATTGCTGCTGACTGGACTTTTCCTTTATGATCAGAGATTTTGGAGCAGCCTAAAAGCAATAGAAACCTTTCAGCCGTTGCCTTTTTAATTTAATTTTCTCGTTGTGTCATCCTTCTCCACTCGATGTATCTGAACTAAAGTTACTTTCCAACAGACTCTTAGTTTATTTACTGTTTTTACTGAACTTGATTTAAAATTCTGGACCAGCAGCATCCTCATTCACATTATGATAAATGTTTACATTATTTTTTGCCTGCATCTAAACATATCAAAGATATTTTCAATTTAAATGTAGACATGAAATAATACAATATAATCTATAATAACTAGCTCATCAGATCTATTCAGTTTAATCTGTCCATTCAGCTGCCTGTAGTGTCTCTAAATGTCCAGCAGGTGTCAGTATTCTGTCAGACAGCATCAATGCAGCATCAACACAGTTTGGTTCAGGATGCCTCATTAACCATCATTACTAAATCAAATACTCTTAGTTTAGATTTCTGAGCAGAAACCAGAAGCTGCTGCTCAATACCAGAAAATAAAATCTGAAGGTCTGATAAACTATAATCCTGGTGGAAAGGTGACTCCACTCCGTATTTCTACATCAACAGACGTTTCTGCTTTTTAGAAACGACCGTTGTGGAATTTTAAGCAACAACTTCCTGTTTAATGCAGCAAATGTTTTGTGGAGCAGAAATCAGAGCAGCTCCCAGATCTGCTGGGTGTTGCTTCATGCCGGTGACGTTAAAACCTGAAAGTTTGTTATTAAGCTACTTTTAACTTCCTGTTAACAACTGTTCATTTTCTACAAGCAGAATAACTGTTTTATTAGCCTAAAATCTCTATGAAAGTCATTTTTTAAGATCTTAATAAAAATAATGAAAATCAGCTGAGCCTTATTCTGTCACCTCGTTAAATAGCAGAGCTCAGTCAGCCTTTCCTTCCAGAATAACAACGATTGTTTTCTACTTCCGCCTACTTTAGATCGCAGATGAAACGTCAAATAATAGCAAATTTAGGAAATAATGTGTTGAGACTCCAGAAGAGATTTGATCATTAAGAAATGGGTAAAACACAGTTTGTTGGAGTGGAGATGACGTCATAAGAAGGGGCGGGGCCCCGAGCAGATCTGGTTCCTGCAGCAGAAGTGAGGCTCCTTCCAGCTCCTCTCCTGTTTCAGCCTGATCATCCGTATCATAAAGACGTTTTTAAGTCTAACATGTTAGAAATGATGAAGCTGAAGCATAAATGACGCCTACCTCGGACTATCACTCTGACTGACATAACCAGGCAGAAGAGCAGCTTGAGAGCTTCAGCCAGCAGGTTGACAGACGCAGGCAGGAAGTCATACTTGTTCTCTGAAAATAAAGCAAAAAAGAAAAGAGTTTGAAGAAGCTGTAAGAAATATTATTATTAATAATATAATCGGTTCCTTCCCTCACCGGCGTTGGCAGAGAATTTGAGCAGCACAATGCGACTGGTCCCCAGCGTGACAAAGCCCAGGCCGAGGGCCAGCGTGTAGGCCGAGAAGCGGGAGCAGAGCCTGGGGCAGGACGAGCGGCGCACCATGGCTCCAACCGGCCGGAAGCTTCTCACTTCCACCTCAGGTTTTAAAATCTGAAACGCAAATAATGAGGATGATGTCAGAGGAAATCACCCGATTCAGCATCATCTACAGAACGCAGCTTAAAGTGGAGCAAATTAGCGGGAATACAGATTAAAAACTCATCATACACACGCCGAAGGGCCTCGTTCATCCTGGATGCCGTTAAAGGTCTGGCTGGGGCGTTACAGGGTGGAGGGGGGCTCACTGCAGAGCGTTTCAGTGAGACTCAGGAACCAGGACTGGTCCATGGGGTCCAAACCAACATCTCAGGACCAGCTGGTCCAAACAAGCTTGCTTCTTATTTCTCAACATCCATCCCAGCTTTTACTGTCGTTCCACCATCAGAAGCTCGAAGCAATGAAATGTAATCTCTGCATTTAACCACTTGGTGAGCAGTGGGCTGCCATTGTGCAGCACCCGAGGAGCAGTTTGGGTCAAAGGGCTGGTTCTCCTCCTGCAGCAGTGTGTCGCAGATATTTTTGATTTACGCCCAACAATGAAGCATGGTCTGCGCTATGTTATTCCATGCCACAATGCCAGATACGGGTCTAGATACGAGGCGGTGAGGAAGTGGGGGTAACAGGCGACCTGGTTTCTGAGCATAAATCAGCTTTAAAGGGGTGATAGAATGATTCTATAGGGTATCTGGTCCTTCAGGTCTCTAATAGGGTGATAGAATGATTCTATAGGGTATCTGGTCCTTCAGGTCTCTAATAGGGTGATAGAATGATTCTATAGGGTATCTGGTCCTTCAGGTCTCTAATAGGGTGATAGAATGATTCTATAGGGTATCTGGTCCTTCAGGTCTCTAATACGGTGATAGAATGATTCTATCGGGTATCTGGTCCTTCAGGTCTCTAATAGGGCGATAGAATGATTCTATAGGGTATCTGGTCCTTCAGGTCTCTAATAGGGCGATAGAATGATTCTATAGGGTATCTGGTCCTTCGGGTCTCTAATAGGGTGATAGAATGATTCTATAGGGTATCTGGTCCTTCAGGTCTCTAATAGGGTGATAGAATGATTCTATAGGGTATCTGGTCCTTCGGGTCTCTAATAGGGTGATAGAATGATTCTATAGGGTATCTGGTCCTTCAGGTCTCTAATAGGGTGATAGAATGATTCTATAGGGTATCTGGTCCTTCAGGTCTCTAATAGGGTGATAGAATGATTCTATAGGGTATCTGGTCCTTCAGGTCTCTAATAGGGTGATAGAATGATTCTATAGGGTATCTGGTCCTTCAGGTCTCTAATAGGGTGATAGAATGATTCTATAGGCTATCTGGTCCTTCAGGTCTCTAATAGGGTGATAGAATGATTCTATAGGGTATCTGGTCCTTCAGGTCTTTAATAGGGTGATAGAATGATTCTATAGGGTATCTGGTCCTTCAGGTCTCTAATAGGGTGATAGAATGATTCTATAGGGTATCTGGTCCTTCAGGTCTCTAATAGGGTGATAGAATGATTCTATAGGGTATCTGGTCCTTCAGGTCTCTAATAGGGTGATAGAATGATTCTATAGGGTATCTGGTCCTTCAGGTCTCTAATAGGGTGATAGAATGATTCTATAGGGTATCTGGTCCTTCAGGTCTCTAATAGGGTGATAGAATGATTCTATAGGGTATCTGGTCCTTCAGGTCTCTAATAGGGTGATAGAATGATTCTATAGGGTATCTGGTCCTTCAGGTCTCTAATAGGGTGATAGAATGATTCTATAGGGTATCTGGTCCTTCAGGTCTCTAATAGGGTGATAGAATGATTCTATAGGGTATCTGGTCCTTCAGGTCTCTAATAGGGTGATAGAATGATTCTATAGGGTATCTGGTCCTTCAGGTCTCTAATAGGGTGATAGAATGATTCTATAGGGTATCTGGTCCTTCAGGTCTCTAATAGGGTGATAGAATGATTCTATAGGGTATCTGGTCCTTCAGGTCTCTAATAGGGTGATAGAATGATTCTATAGGGTATCTGGTCCTTCAGGTCTCTAATAGGGTGATAGAATGATTCTATAGGGTATCTGGTCCTTCAGGTCTCTAATAGGGTGATAGAATGATTCTATAGGGTATCTGGTCCTTCAGGTCTCTAATAGGGTGATAGAATGATTCTATAGGGTATCTGGTCCTTCAGGTCTCTAATAGGGTGATAGAATGATTCTATAGGGTATCTGGTCCTTCAGGTCTCTAATAGGGTGATAGAATGATTCTATAGGGTATCTGGTCCTTCAGGTCTCTAATAGGGTGATAGAATGATTCTATAGGGTATCTGGTCCTTCAGGTCTCTAATAGGGTGATAGAATGATTCTATAGGGTATCTGGTCCTTCAGGTCTCTAATAGGGTGATAGAATGATTCTATAGGGTATCTGGTCCTTCAGGTCTCTAATAGGGTGATAGAATGATTCTATAGGGTATCTGGTCCTTCAGGTCTCTAATAGGGTGATAGAATGATTCTATAGGGTATCTGGTCCTTCAGGTCTCTAATAGGGTGATAGAATGATTCTATAGGGTATCTGGTCCTTCAGGTCTCTAGTAGGGTGATAGAATGATTCTATAGGCTATCTGGTCCTTCAGGTCTCTAGTAGGGTGATAGAATGATTCTATAGGGCATCTGGTCCTTCAGGTCTCTAATAGGGCGATAGAATGATTCTATAGGGTATCTGGTCCTTCACGTCTCTAATAGGGTGATAGAATGGTTCTATAGGGTATCTGGTCCTTCAGGTCTCTAATAGGGTGATAGAATGATTCTATAGGGTATCTGGTCCTTCAGGTCTTTAATAGGGTGATAGAATGATTCTATAGGGTATCTGGTCCTTCAGGTCTCTGATAGGGTGATAGAATGATTCTATAGGGTATCTGGTCCTTCAGGTCTCTAATAGGGCGATAGAATGATTCTATAGGGTATCTGGTCCTTCAGGTCTCTAATAGGGCGATAGAATGATTCTATAGGGTATCTGGTCCTTCAGGTCTCTAATAGGGTGATAGAATGATTCTATAGGGTATCTGGTCCTTCACGTCTCTAATAGGGTGATAGAATGATTCTACAGGGTATCTGGTCCTTCAGGTCTCTAATAGGGTGATAGAATGATTCTATAGGGTATCTGGTCCTTCAGGTCTCTAATAGGGTGATAGAATGATTCTATAGGGTATCTGGTCCTTCAGGTCTCTAATAGGGTGATAGAATGATTCTACAGGGTATCTGGTCCTTCAGGTCTCTAATAGGGTGATAGAATGGTTCTATAGAGTATCTGGTCCTTCAGGTCTCTAATAGGGTGATAGAATGATTCTATAGGGTATCTGGTCCTTCAGGTCTCTAATAGGGTGATAGAATGATTCTACAGGGTATCTGGTCCTTCAGGTCTCTAATAGGGTGATAGAATGATTCTATAGGGTATCTGGTCCTTCAGGTCTCTAGTAGGGTGATAGAATGATTCTATAGGGTATCTGGTCCTTCAGGTCTCTAATAGGGTGATAGAATGATTCTATAGGGTATCTGGTCCTTCAGGTCTTTAATAGGGTGATAAAATGATTCTATAGGGTATCTGGTCCTTCAGGTCTCTAATAGGGTGATAGAATGATTCTATAGGGTATCTGGTCCTTCAGGTCTCTAATAGGGTGATAGAATGATTCTATAGGGTATCTGGTCCTTCAGGTCTCCAATAGGGTGATAGAATGATTCTATAGGGTATCTGGTCCTTCAGGTCTCCAATAGGGTGATAGAATGATTCTATAGGGTATCTGGTCCTTCAGGTCTCTAATAGGGTGATAGAATGATTCTATAGGGTATCTGGTCCTTCAGGTCTCTAATAGGGTGATAGAATGATTCTATAGGGTATCTGGTCCTTCAGGTCTCTAATAGGGTGATAGAATGATTCTATAGGGTATCTGGTCCTTCAGGTCTCTAATAGGGTGATAGAATGATTCTATAGGGTATCTGGTCCTTCAGGTCTCTAATAGGGTGATAGAATGATTCTATAGGGTATCTGGTCCTTCAGGTCTCTAATAGGGTAATAGAATGATTCTATAGGGTATCTGGTCCTTCAGGTCTCTAATAGGGTGATAGAATGATTCTATAGGGTATCTGGTCCTTCAGGTCTCTAATGGGGTGATAGAATGATTCTATAGGGTCTGGTCCGATGCAGGGAGCCAGCGGGGGACAGAGCGAAAGAACCCGACCCAGTAGCCTGGACACCAGCGGCCCTGTGCTTCCCCCCGCCTGCCTTACCAGCCCCCCTCCTCTGGCTGAGGATGGGCAGCAGTCCAGTGTTGGATGTCAGTTTCAGGGCGTGATAAAAGTCCAGACCAGAACCAAATAAGGCAACATTCCCGAGTTTACATCAACTCAGTGCTTCGTTTGGATTCGCCTGTTTTATGGAGGAAGTTTAAAATAGTGAGATCTGCAGAGAAAGGAGGAGTTAATGGGGTTTGAACTTCTCTGAACGTCCATTTCACCCACTGAACTATTGTTATTCATCAATGACAGTGGAAACTAGGTTTTAAAGGTCTGTGGTGACATCATCAATGACCCCTCACCCCCCCACCATGGACTGTTCTCCCTGCTGCCCTCTGGGAAGAGGCTTCACAGCATTCAATGCAGGACCAGCAGGTTCTGCAGCAGCTTCTTCCCCACCGCCATCAAACTGATGAACTGAGGTTAAAAAATTTATTCTGGAATCTTGGAAACTGTTCATCATATCTCAGTCTAATGTTTACATTTTATCGCTGCTGCACTTTAAAAATGGAAATGTCTTGAGAGCTTTATTGAAATAAATTTATTTTTGTATAAACTCTGTGTGGACAAAACGGCAATAAAGTCTGTCTACGTTTAAGTCTTGCTCAGAGCCAGACTGTGGGACTCGAACTCAGAACCTCTGGACTCCCTGCTTTACCCGCTGGGCCTGAATCCCCTCAGGTACCATCTGACAGGCGGTCAGCTTTAGCATCGACCGGCCGGCAGGCAGCAGGCCTCAGTCCGGATAAAAACAAGCTCCATCCTATTAAAACAGCTCAGAGATCCATGAGCCTGATCCAGTCTGTCGGTGGTTATGCTATGCTAGCTTTAGCATAGCATAACCACCGCTGAAGGTCTGCATTCAAACAACAGCAGCTTAAATAAAGTCTCATTACTGAAAATGACAAAGGTTTAATTCACAGACCTACCGGTTATTCCCTCTTTAATCCCGAGCATCATTTTCCACCAACAAATAGAAGCACCGGAGACAGAAAGCAGAGCACTTCCTTGTTAGCGTGCATACGTAGGCGACGCAGGCGCTGACGTCATTACGCGTTGGATCATATTGGTGAGAAATTTGAATTTTAGACTTAAATAACAACTTAGAAAAAAAATTGATTAAAGAATGTCTCGAAACTACGGAAGAGGATTAGGGCCACTGATGAAATAAAAAAGTTAATTGATTTTAAAATAAATTTTCAGTTTAATATGGGAAAAAAGTCAGAATTCTTACTATAATCTCAGACATTCTGACTTTTATCTCAGAATTCCGATTTTATCTCAAAATTCTGACTTCAGTCTCAGAATTCTGACTTTAATCTTATATTTTTGACTTTAAACTCAGAATTCCGACTTTAATCTCAGACTTCAGTTAAAAAAAAGAAAAAAAATCTGTAAACTTTTTTGTATTTTTTCAGTGGCCCTAAACCTCTTCCGTACAAAACCCCTAACTAACTCCATTTGGTTTTTATTCCGAATAATATATTTTTTTAAATGAAGTAGATTTTTACTATCAAAGTACTTTTTACTCACCTGTAATTACAGTGTTACAAAATGACCTTTAAAACTTCCACCAACAGGCTCTCTTAGAATGCAAACTCTGTTAATCCCAAAACTTTTCTCCTCATAAAACCTTCATTTGGAACAATGAAGATATTTACGGAAGAGGATTAGGGCCACTGAAAAAAAAAAAAAAGTTAACTGATTTTTAAATTTTATTTCAGTTTACATAATATGGGAAAAAAGTCAGAATTCTAACTTTTTTCTCAGAATTCTGATTTTTTTCTCAGAATTCTGACTTTTTCTCAGAGTTCTGACAGCTAACAAACATGTTAGCATCAAGCCATAGCCATGTCTGTTTTAGAGACTAGCTCTCTTGTCTTAATGACCTAAAGTCAGAATTCTGAGAAAAAAAGTCAGAATTCTGAGACTGAAGTTAGAATTCTGAGATTAAAGTCAGAATTATAAGATTAAAGTCAGAATTCTGAGGAAAAAAGTCTGAATTCTGAGATTAAAGTCAGAATTCTGAGGAAAAAAGTCAGAATTATAAGATTAAAGTCAGAATTCTGAGATTAAAGTCAGAATTCTAAGATTAAAGTCAGAATTCTGAGATTAAAGTCAGAATTATAAGATTGAAGTCAGAATTCTGAGATTAAAGTCAGAATTCTGAGGAAAAAAGTCTGAATTCTGAGATTAAAGTCAGAATTCTGAGGAAAAAAGTCAGAATTATAAGATTAAAGTCAGAATTCTGAGATTAAAGTCAGAATTCTAAGATTAAAGTCAGAATTCTGAGATTAAAGTCAGAATTATAAGATTGAAGTCAGAATTCTGAGATTAAAGTCAGAATTCTGAGGAAAAAAGTCAGAATTATAAGATTAAAGTCAGAATTCTGAGATTAAAGTCAGAATTCTAAGATTAAAGTCAGAATTCTGAGAAAAAAGTCTTCTTATGATAAATGATGTTGATCTATTGGACTTGAAATGCAACAACAAATATATACATAATTCTTTCTATGAAATGAGGAGGATAAATCCAGGAGGAAAAGCATTTTGGGATAACATCTTTATGGAAGAAGGCCTGGTTATTATTGCCCTATAAGTTCTGTATCTCCAATAAGATAAAGGAGATTCACATCAAAATTCTACACACTATATATCTATAAATGTATATGTTTCTAAATTCTCTGATATTGAAGATAAATGCAGTTTTTATTCTGTCACTGTACCCGCTCTGTTAATGTTTGGACTCTTCTAGAACAATATATAACGTTTAAACTCAGAACTTAGATTATAATTGACTGTAAGAGTGTAATACTGTGTTTCATTCTAATGTTGCTTTTATTTCAAACCTACTCCTTTTTTATTGGTCATTTCACATACGCAAATGTAAATATTTAAATACGTCCCCAACTTAAAATGTTTCTGGCATGAATTTAAAGAGTTCATAAAATTTACTTTAAATGATTGGAAACAGATAAAAACTTCCATGGATATTTTTCCAGAGATTTTTCAAGGATAAATTATTTTGTTTTTTGCATGTTGTTTTTTATTTTAGAGAAACTGTCTATTGTTCTTCTCTATTACCGTTTGCTTGTAAGCTCTGTATATTAGTTTGTTAGTAAAATATTTCAATAAAAAAGGGAAATTTAACATGAGGACATTTCCTTTTGATGTTAATGGAGGTCTCAAAACTAATGTTTATTCCTCCAGAATAAATCCTGCTGTTTAAAAACAGAAGTTAGAAGATCAAAAGTAAAAGTAAAAGTAATGCAGGATAAAGTGTTAAGGCCAGAAGTTTTACTACTCTACTCTATTAAAGGAACATTTTTCTATAATTCTGGATGAAAACTTCCTTAGACTTTATTTTCTTAGTTTTATAACTGATGGTAACAGCGTCACATTTAACTTTGCATCATCTGGAAAAACTAAAAGTTGGGGCAGCACCGAGTCCAACCACAAAGAAATGAATGATCTGGATGAAACTAATTATTTTGTTGTTGATTTTTTTAAACACCAACAGGCCATAATGAAAAAGAGCTTAAATGAAACAAAACTAAGGAGTCTATTTTTAAAATGGAAGGAAATTAAAAAGTTATGTAACAAATAATGACTCCAGTTTAGTACAGATAGCCAACATTTCTACTGAAGGTAAGAAAGTATTTCTACTTTGTTACTTGACATCTTTGGACGTCTCTGACTCTGTCCGTCCGTCCGTCCGTCCGTCCGTCTGTCTGTCTGTCTGTCCGTCTGTCTGTCCGTCTGCCTAATAGAACAGTCAATCTTTCTTCTTTTAAACATTAGAGTTTTTCTTTCCTTCTGTCTTTTATTTCCTGATAGTTTGGGCCTCCCGTCGTTTAGGGATGAATTGTTCCTGCATCCTGGGATCTCTCCATCCAGGACCAACTGTCCATCATTGGTTTTGCTCTCTGCTTGCCTCCCAGTCCAGGACTTCTTCTGCCGACCATCATCTGCTTTCACCGCCTTCTGATGGCGTCTCGGCAAAGTGTTTCGCTTTAGTTGACGAGCTGATTTAGACGTTTTACACAGAGGAGACAGAAACATCTCCTTCCTGAACGGCTCAGCTGGAGGTGTCCTTTGTGTTTAAACCGATTTGAATGGATGAATGTGGCGCCTTCAGCAGGGGCGGAGCTAGATGAGGGGCCAGGGGTGGCCATGGCCACTACCATTTTTTACCCTCTACACTGCAAAAATCTAAATCTAAATGAGTAATTCATTCTTAAAATGAGTGCATTTTTTCTTGAATTGAAGGGGTTAGTGAGGCACTTTGCCAGTGGAACAAGACAATTTACACCTAAAATAAGTACAAAATAATTGCTGTGTCTTATTTCAAGAGAATATTATCTAATTATCTTATTTTAAGAGTAAACAATCTTGTTCCATTGGCAGATCATCTTATTTCCCTACTGAAATTAAGGACAAATTCACCTAATTTAAGACATTTTTTACCTATTTCCAGATTGTTTTCGCAGTGCAATACAGACGGTGGCAGCAGTAATACTCTCAAGTGGAATATTCATTTGAATTGTTAATGTATTTCTTACTATTTTTTGTTATATTCATAATTACTGGACAATAAAAACACTGTGGTTAATTATGCACATCAATATATTCATATTAAAGATGATAAGTACAGAATTAATGCTCTTTTCAGAACTAGATTTTGTGTTTTATGGGGTAAAGAGAAAATAATGTGTCTGCAAGTCATCTAGGAGTCTTCAGTGAAATCATAGATAAATAACTATTTTAATAAAAACTTATTAAATAATCCATTTATGTAGATATTAGTACTTGTAATTATACATTTTATGCAGAATGATAATTGATGACAGATGTTCGTCTCAGAACTCAAACCTGAAAGAATTTTATCCACTATACCTTTTATCTAGAAAGATGTTTAAATCTATTTGTCAGCAAAGGCTGCAGGAAAGTAGAGTTTGTCTTATTTTTGTCCCTGAGGTCCTGGTGTCCACCTTCTTTCAGCCCCCCATCACTGTTCATTGGTTATTACATGGACACCCTTATAAAAATGTCCTGGCTACGCCTCTGGCCTTTAGGTATCCAGAGTTTGGACCCAAGGATGATCCAGACCTTCTGTGGGGGGGGGACAGTTCTCTTCCTGACAGTTTGACTGACAGCTTTATGATTTCCCAGCAGGCCACAGGAGGAGGTCTGACTCTATGATTCCCAAACTGAGCCTCTAACTGAGCAATCTGAGAAACTCCAAAGTTTGAAGGAAACATTTTTTTGTAGATATTTGTTTTTCATTTGCAGAGGATCAGTCATAGCGAGGAAACAGACCACATTAAACGTGTTAAATTATTACACAGAGACTTTGTATAGTTATAGTTTAAACATTTTTTCTTTTTCTCAGAGCTCTGATTCATATGTACAAATAAACATGTGTGTTCTGTCTCTGTCTTAACGCCCAATCAGTGTGAGGGAAAACCCCGGCCTGGATCTGCAGCATGTGGATCTAACTTTCAGCATTCTGAGGGATCGTTTCAACACTCCTCCCCACAGCGAGGATGGGATGGGCACGACCACAGGGATGATTCAGGAGTAAACACATTCGCCTGCAATTACAAGAGAGGGAAAAGAGCAGAGCTGAGTTCATTGCCCCGGGACATAATGTTTGGAAACAGACGGGTGCATGAGTGTGTCCCAGTGTGTGTGTGTGTGTCAGTGACAGATAAAAACACAGAGTCCTGCCTCTCTGACAGATCACAGCCAAACAGACTTGTGGCACGGAGCGGCTTTCACCTGGAGGATCCATCCCAGACATGAAGCTGTGTCTTTGGCCTGGAGCCGTCCTGCACGTCCTGCTTCTACTGGCAGCCCTGACTGTGGAAGCGGAGCAGCTGGGATCCAGAGAGAGACACTATTATATCGCTGCTGTAGAGATAGACTGGAACTATTCTGGCTATGACACCAACAGGTGGGCTAGAAATCAATCACCATTTGTATCACATCTGTTCGTTGTTTAATTTAATTCATAGAAATATGTGAATTTACCAGTTCCCTTCATTTTAGACACATGTATGGTTGCAGCCTGTGATTTGATGAGGGAAGGGAAGCCATTTTTCACTTCCAGGAACTTTGGGTCAATAATGGTTAAGAAATAAAAGGCAGTGTTTAATATTCATTGGATTTGGTCCTTTTAAGGCGCAAACATACAGCAGAATAATGCGTTTATTATTGAATAATTACTGATGTTTTTAGCGTTGGCGTTTAGGGCGTAATCCAACAGGTAGAGAGTGAGCTGTCAATCATGGAAATATTCTGAAATAATAAAAATGATCAACATGTGCTGCTTTGGAAGTGAGAGTGAAAGCATTACATAGTAATAAACATTGTTATTATTGGCTTTTATTGCTGAGGGGTCAGAGGGGGACCCAGGCTATCTCTGAAAGGGGGGGGGTCTATGGACTATATCGTCTATGTTGTCTGAGTTTCATTTATCCAGCTTTCATTTTGATATGAAACCATCTTCATTTTTTATAATTCTTTTGATAAATAAATCTTATTCTCTCTGAATAATCATTAATTTATCATTTTAAAATCTTTAATGAGGCAAATTGCATGCAAAGAAAAGGAGCAGGGGCGGATTTAGGAAATATGGGGCCCTAGGCAAAGACAGGCAGGGGGCCCTCTGAACTGAGAAGACAACACATAAAACAGCCCCATTATAGAGAAATGTTAATAGAATAGACATCCATTATCTGTTCTAGGTTGTGTCCCTCTCTTCTTGTCCCTTTTCTTGTTTTCCTCTCTATGTTTTGTACTCAGCTGACTTTTCATGCTGTCTCTAAAGGAATGAAAGATTTTTTCCAAGCACTAAGCTCACTTAGCCGATTGCTCCTTCCTGTGTTTCCAAAAAGGCCAAAGTAAATAACCCAGTCCTTCTTTTCACTGTAGACAAGCCATGATCTGCTTCTCTGTTCTCCATTTTTCATTTGGATGAAATAATAGCTGCATGAATCATGACAGCAGACAAGATAGAGGAGAGCAGGAGGCGGGGTTACCAATCTACTCGCTCTGGAGAGCAGAGTTCGCTGCTTTTAGATGTTGTCTCCAAAGTCTCCAGTAGTAGAAAAAAGTCTCTAGATTTGGCGCTAGGAGCTTTTTAGAAATCAAAGTGCTAGAGGGGTCTGAAAAGTGGCTAAATATAGCGACTAAAGCGCTAAGTTGGCAACACTGCTCTTTGCATGGTTTGTTTTCAAATGGTTTGCTGCTGTCTGTTTGGACCTTTCTGAACATGTGCAGCAAATGGACTGATCCAATATGGTGGACACTGAAGGGGGGGGCTGAGACACACTGAATGTTATCAGTGTTCTGATGGCATTTTAGCCAAAGGATTTTTATCAGAAACATAATTAATGAGCAGAAATAAGGAATAGTTGTATTAACCAAACATGGAGACAGAGTTTTATGGGGCCCCCAGGAACTTGGGGCCCTAGGCAGCTGCCAGGTATTGCCTCATGGTAAATCCCCCCCCCCTGTGCAGGATGTGCGGGGACATGTCACATTTCTGGGCAGCAACTGGGTTTCATATGGAAGAGGATTAGGGCCACTGAAAAAAAAAAGTTAACTAATTTTTACATTTTATGTCAGTTTAGTATGGGAAAAAAGTCAGAATTCTGACTTTTTTTGCAGAATTCTGACTTTAATCTAAAAATTCTGACGTTTTTTATTGTCAGAATTCAGTCAGAATTCTGAGAATTCTGAATAAAAAGTTAGAATTCTGAGATAAAGTTTTTTTTTCCCATACTAAACTGAAATAAAATGTAAAAATCAGTTAACGTTTTTTTTTTTTCAGTGGCCCTAATCCTCTTCCGTAGTTTCAGGAACTGGATTTTTGTGCATTTTGTTTTTAACATTATTGTTACCCGTCTCCTAATTAAGCAGAAGGAGCTAAAGGGTTTAGACACGTACTAGAGGAGATCTCTCTAACTTAAACTTGAACTCATGTGGTCTATGAGTTAAGCTTAGCTGAAACTGGATTTAAATCAATGTGGAAAAACTCCAAACTAGCAGCTACTAAATGAGGCGTTTTTAAAAAACAAATTAATGAACCAAAGCTGCACTGGGATGGATCACATCTGCTCCACAACAACAGATAACGTCCTTCAGATAATGTCTTCTATAAGATATTTCAGCTGAAAATGAGCCTGGAGCCTCCAGTCACACAGCTGGAGGATTTTTGTGAGCCGCAGCATAATGGGTCACTTGTCGGCCATCGCTGGTTGCATGAACCCCACAGAGGTGGAAAAGACCAGCTCGGATCTCCAAAGGAGAGCTGTGTATGTTAACTATTACTAAACTTGATAACTAATGTGTTTTATTTTTCCACCATTCCTCAGAAGAGATTCCACCTACAAGAAAGTGGTTTTTAGAGAATATGAGAAAGACTTCCGGCAGGCTAAAGCTCATCCCTCCTGGTTAGGTAAGTGCTGCTGCAGAAACAAGCGCTTAGTCTGGCTTTTATCATGCGGATATTCTGCTTCACAATTTATTTCCCACAACATGACACATTATCAAACACTTTTCCCTAGACGAAGGGCACTGTGGCCCAGACGGTGTGATAGAAGGCTGGGAGAACATCACTGCCCGTAGAAGGATTTAACCTCTTTAAGATTTCTTTTATCCATGTTTTCTTTGGTTTTTTTGTTTTTTCTTATGGTTGTTCCAAAAACTCAAAGTTAAAAAAACAATCCACTGGACTTTTTTTCCCAAGTTTGAAGACATTCTTCCCATCCAGGAAGCTTTTTAAATTCAAAATGTCTGACTTAGCGTTGAGTTCCAGGTTTAATAGAAAGCATGCACATTAAAACTGGAAAACCAGCCCTTAATATATGAAAACAAAGTCCAGTGGTTTGATTTTTAACTTCACTGTTTGGAATGACTGACCTGGATGACTGAGAATCTCCAGCAGCATTTTTCATGGTTGAATATTTTCAGTCATCCAATAAATAGAGGAGGGTCGGCCAGAGGAGGCCGTGTTTTCTAAACTAAAAGTGCTTTCAGTCAAAGAGCCTCTGCAGTCGCAGCAGCTCAGGAGAAGAACTATGTCCCTCAGAACATTAGAGATCCTACAACATTCACTCTTTTTAAAAAGTATCTAAAAAACTGGCTCATAACACGTCAGTTACATCAACATTGATTCAATTAACAAACCATGCAGCCCCTTTTTATTTCAGTGTTTTATTCTATTTTATTAACCTAAAATCTGCAGCCCAGCGAACATTAAGTCTGTATTATTAAGTTCTGAAGAGTTATAGCTGTTTTATTTCTTTTCATGTTTGTATTTTTCACTGTAAAATTCTTACTGTTTTGTTTTTAGGTTTAGGCAATTTTAAAATCTGTCCAGGGACAACAGATAAAAAAAATAGTCTTTTGGCTAATTCTGCAGCATTTGCAGGAATGTTTATTAATGTACACTGACCCTGTCAAATCAATAAATCAATAAAAAATAAATATCAACACCTGACAACAATAACCTGAGAAAATATAGAGAATAAAAATGAATTCAAGTTTATTTTATTATCTACATCAAGACCTGATTGTGGCTAAGCAGGTAGCATCATCAAAAATGAACATGAAGTTGGTTAAATTAGCTCCAAAAGCAACGCATCATGGCCCCAAGGAGGGGAAACAACTTTGTTGTCCTCTATCAGTGCTAAAAGGGCTGCATCGCCATTTCTTGGGTTTGGGAATCTCTAAAAGGAAAGCTGGAACCAGCATCAACAAATGAAGAGCAATGGTGGACCATCACATTTCTTTAATTACACAAATCAAACAATGGCATCAATTAATGATGTAAAACAAGTGTCAGCTAAAAATCATTAAATGAGGATCTTGTTAAATTGTAATTCTCCATCATCAAATGTTGTTAAAACCCCACAGCTGAATAAATCCTCCATGTTCTGCGTGTCTCTGTGGAAGTTAAACTCCTCAGAGCCGCAGCGTCAAGCTGAGCTCACACCTGCAGTCTGTCTCCAAGGGACAATAAACGGCCATCTTTGCTTCACTGATTAAAGCATTTTTAATAATTCTTATTTTTCCTATTCTGGCAAACTCCTCCTATAAAAAAGAGATGTTTGTAAAAAAAAAAAAAAGACAAAAAACACTAATTAAAAGGTTAAAAATGGTCTTTAGTCTTGTGGATTCCATAAAAACATGGAAGATGTTTTCAGACAGACCGTAGAAAGGACACTAGTTTAAAACACCCCGATTAATAAGCGATAAAAACCAGTTAGTAGCGATGGCGGCGTGTAAAATCGTCCACTGGAGATCACCCGTTAGATTTTTAATCAGAGGCTTGTATAAAGGCCTGCACTGGAGGCTTCAGACCAGCCGGTTCTGAAGATGTCTTTGGTTTATTGCTTCTGTGCAGCTGTGGTGAAATAACCTGACTCCACCAGATGGATTTGCTCCACATATCCATCTGGAAACCTTCCGTTGAAGTAATTTTGGGAAGGGGCGAAAATACTGGTTAGCTGATCGGCCTATGTTGGTGATAGACGGGCCAAATAAACCAATCAGATCAATGAAGCATATGACGTACTAACAGAGCGACGACGAAGAGGAGCCAATTGATAGATCAAACTCTTGCTGAAACCAGTCGGGAGAAGAGCAAAAACATCTTTTCCTCTGAGAAAAGCCTCCAGAGCAGTGTTTTGCTCTTCTTTCAGTGAAGAAATACTCTGTAATTCCCATAAAACTTGCTCGATAGCCACGCTAACGCTAGTTTCATCGGCTGAAGCTGCCATGTTCTTTAGACTGAACTGTCGCGCTTCTCGTTGCGTCACACCTCAACCCGCCTCAAAGCCAACGCTGATTGGACGTTCGTTTGGTGAACGGCTCCAAATTTTCTTTAACGGAGAGTCTCCAGACTGATCTGCGAGTGAAACCTTGAAAGCTCACGACATCAGGATGGTCTCACCAGGCTAGTGGTGAAAAGCTTTTTCCTCCATATTCCATAAAACTATTCTCTCTGTGAGACAAAAGTCAAAGTAAAGTTTTTCCTGTTTTTTTCTTTTTTTTTCAAATCTAATCGAGATTATTCAGTTTCATTTTCTGTTGGATTTACTTTTATATCGGATGATTATTTATACAAATTTTTTCACCCCAGAAATCCATCAGGTTCGCTCTACTGAAAGCACAGAAACAAATTGGACCAATATGATTTATCCCGACTATTGTTCAGCTGATCATGCTGATTCTGATAGAAGACGCAGAATTAGCATTAAGTCTTTTCTACCACAGCTAAATCATCAACCACCCAGAACGTCTGAGGCTCCAAATTTGTTTCTGAGCGTTTTGATGTTGCATCACATCCCAAAGCTGCAAACAATCCTAATGAAACTTGTGGCTGTGCTTCTCTGCAGGTCTGCTGGGCCCCACGCTGAGGGCCGAGGTGGGGGAGACCATCGTGGTCACTTTCAGAAACATGGCAAACGGAGCGTACAGCATCCACCCACACGGGGTGACTTACGGGAAGCGGTCAGAGGGTGAGCACATTTTCAAACAGGCAACACACTGTACTATAGGGTCACTGTTAGTGATCCTGCTGCTAGTGGCTCTGTTACACACACAGCATTGAGCAACACAACAAACAAAAGTGTTTATTTTCTCCTAAAATATTAACCAGGCTATCAAAGCAGACGGTTCTGAAGTCCAACAGGAAGAAGCCTTTTGGAATCGCTCTGCGTGTCCTGATACAAGGAAAGCAGCTCAGAAGAACTAGATATTATGAAGATTAACATCTAAGACCCCCCCAAATCTGGAATTAGTCTCTAATTGATTAATTTAATATCACATAGGTTGATAAAGAAACATGTTTACAGGAAGCAGTTTATTTCCTCTTCATTAATTTAAAGGAATTCAGATAATCAGATTAACAGTCGGTCAATAATCTACTTAAGCCTCTGCAAACCCTGCAGGATGTTATTCATCCAACCACCAACCATCTGTGCTGCTGGGGAAAACAGCAAATGCTGTCATCATGTGCATGAAGCTACTTGCTTAGACTATTTTCTTTTTCAGATACCAAGATAATGATTGTAATGAATAAGAAAGTGGTTCAAAAGTTTCAATTTATTGTAGATTTTGTTCTTATCTGCAGCAGTTAAAACATTTATAAATACAACTGTAAATATAATGTACATGGAGGGGCACTCCCTGTTGGGATCTACAAAAAATTTATAATATTTTTAAAACCGCTACCAAAAATAATGTGACATGTATCCTCATCATGACTTTATGTTACAAACGTACCAGGGAGGATAAATTTGTTTGGGTTGTTGGAGACAATTGGTTTAATTTTATATAAAGGACCTTTGATTTCTTATTTTTATTCATACATGTATAAAAACTTGTACTCAGCAACCGTTTAAAATGGCCGTTCCCAGTCCAACACCAGCAGAATGGCAGCCCACTTCCCTGCAGCTCCCAGCAAAATACCCTCCAACTTCCAGCCACTGCAGTGACCCCCTCTAGCATATTTCTTTACTCTGACTTCATTGAATTACAGGGTCTGACCAGCAGATGGCGCTTCTCTTTAGATCATAATGTCCACAAATCATGACAGAAAGAATATTTTAGTGCAAAGATTGATGTTTAAAAGGGAAATGTAGAGGACCACCCAAGGGCCAACCAAGGACCTGCCAACAGCCAGCCATGGACCAGCCAAGGACTAGACAAGGGCAAGCCAAGGGCCCACCAAGGACCACCAAAGGGCCAACCAAGGACTAGACAAGGGCAAGCCAAGGGCCTACCAAGGACCACCAAAGGGCCAACCAAGGACCTGCCAAGGGCCAACCAAGGACTAGACAAGGGCAAGCCAAGGGCCCACCAAGGACCACCAAAGGGCCAACCAAGGACCTGCCAAGGACCACCCAAGGGCCAACCAAGGACTAGCCAAGGGCCAGCCAAGGGCCCACCAAGAAACACCAAAGGGCCAACCAAGGACCTGCCAAGGACCACCCAAGGGCCAACCAAGGACTGGACAAGGGCAAGCCAAGGGCCCACCAAGGACCACCAAAGGGCCAAACAAGGACTAGCCAAGGGCCAGCCAAGGACCTGCCAAGGACCACCCAAGGGCCAACCAAGGACTAGCCAAGGGCCAGCCAAGGACCACCCAATGGCCAACCAAGTACTAGCCAAGGGCCAGACAATGGGCCAGCCAAGGACCACCCAATGGCCAACCAAGTACTAGCCAAGGGCCAGACAATGGGCCAGCCAAGGACCACCCAAGGGCCAACCAAGGACCACCCAAGGGCCAACCAAGGACTAGCCAAGAGCCAGCCAAGGACCTGCCAAGGACCACCCAAGGGCCAACCAAGGACCACCCAAGGGCCAACCAAGGACCACCCAATGGCCAACCAAGGACTAGCCAAGGGCCAGACAATGGGCCAGCCAAGGACCTGCCAAGGACCACCCAATGGCCAACCAAGGACTAGCCAAGGGCCAGACAATGAGCCAGCCAAGGACTAGCCAAGGGCCAGACAATGAGCCAGCCAAGGACTAGCCAAGGGCCAGACAATGAGCCAGCCAAGGACTAGCCAAGGGCCAGACAATGAGCCAGCCAAGGACCAGCCAAGGGCCCATCAAGGAAAGTGGGGAAATTTTGAATGGCTACTACTGTATGTCAGTAGACTCAGCAGAGACGCTGAGACTGTCCTCTCCCCAGACACCTACCAGACCTTCTTCGGGGGAATCCTGAGGTGTTCCAGGGCTAGCCAACACACACAGCATGTTCTGGGCTGTCCGCTGGGACTCCTCCCTGTGACTCGTGCCTCAAAACTTTTTCTAAGGTAAAAGGCCATGGCCCATCTGGAACAGATGTCCTGATCTACCTGCTCACTCTGTACGTCTAAAAACCAGGTGGGACTCAGCTCCGCAGTGAGATGGCGCTACTCAGACTTGTCTATCCGGAAGCCAAACCAGTTGAAGAGGAACATGAAGCTCACTAGAGTGAAATGCGCTGCCTTGGATATTTGGGGAATTTTGTGCTGAAAGCCCGAAAAAGAAAAGGAGACGACGTATTTGGACAAAGACATGGCTGAGCAAACGTGGCTACTACGGTCTGACAGTTTGACAGGAAGAACTCCATTTCACTCATTGCCCCCCCGCCATGCTGCTGGGTTTTCCTCTGAGAAGAAGAAGAATCCTTGTTTGCCTACTGAGCGATTTGCCCACGACCGCCTTACGACGGCCGACTGAATTTCAAACTGATCGCCCTTTGTTACCCCCTGTACACTACATGACACAAGATCAGGCTGAAAGTCGGCCCTATCGAAAAATTCTCACACGACTGGAGAATATCTAACTATCTGGGGCATTTAGGCCCCTCTAACATAGCCTTTGGGATCATCAGAGCACCGAAACAATTCCAACACTTTTAGGTACTGTTCTTTAGTCAGGCCAGGTTTAGCCATTGAAAGGATTTTCTAGATATTTGTCATATATTATACAATTACCTTTGCTTTGAAAACCTTCCTTAAATACCAAGCAATACAATCTGTACATTTAATGTTAAATGGCCCTAATGGTTCATGTAGCCCTGATTAAGCTACGTTCACACAGCAGCCTGAAGTGACCAAAATACAATTTTTTTTTGCTCATATGCGACCTGGGTCTGATCTTTTCTGGGCAGTCTGAACGACACAGATCCAATGTTTACCAATACGATCCACGCCACTTGGCTCTGTGGTCCTGAATCCAATACATATCTGATCTTTTCAAATGCGACCTGTGACGGAAGGCCAGGTCGCATTAATCCGACCTGAACGTCATCAATACTCAACAAAAGTCATTATTCTGGGTCACAGCTGGCATGTGACGTCATTGCGTCCTCTACTGCGCATGCGGCATGAATGCAGTTCACACAGGAGATCACCAGTCGCATATATTTAAAAATGTGACAAACATGTCATTGATTAACAGCTGCTCAGAGCGATTCGGAGGCATTCTTTACAGGTCCATGCACAGGGTGAGTGTATGCAATCTTCTGACCGGCTATGTAATTAAAGGAGAAGGTTCTTCTCTTCTTGTTTTATTTTTCACAGGAGCTAACTACTTTGACAACACTTCACAGAGAGAGAAAGAGGACGACATCGTGCAACCTAACAGGGAACATGTTTACTACTGGGAGGTGACTCAGGAAGTGTCCCCGCTGCCCGATGATCCCAACTGTCTCACCTACACCTACATCTCCCACCGAAACGTGGTGCAGGACTACAACTCTGGCCTCATTGGTGCCTTGCTCATCTGTAAACCTGGTCAGTGTTGTGCTTAACCTTTGAAACAGATTCTCCCGCTTTGTAAGAAGTAATATTCCATGACGCTGCTGTCTGGTGTCCCTGTTGTTTTAAGGCACCTTGGATGAGCTGGGGGAGCAGGCTGGCCTTCACAGGGAGTTAGTTCTTCTCTTTGGAGTTTTTGATGAGAAAGAAAGTTTGTTCAGCCCAAACGGACCTTCTCCAGATGACCACGTCAAATACACCATCAACGGATACACAGAGGGAGCCTTACCTGGTCAGTGGGTTCGCCCAGCGCCACCTGAAGGCACACCTTATATTGTCTAGATTGGTAGAAACAAAAATACTATATGATCAATTCTTCATCATATCATCATCATCCGTCATCATCCAAATATCATCCTCAATCATCCATCATCCAAATCAACATCAAAAAACAACACATCAAAACCACAAATCCAAACCCAAACATCATAACTCCACAAAACTCACACATCATAACACCACTCCCACAAACACACCAAACCAACAACATCACAAAAAAACCCATTAAATAAAAAAAACACCACACACACAAAAACCAAACCTCCAACCAAACCAACAAATACAAAACACCCCAACCAACAAACACTCTTCAACCCACAAAACCCCTCACAACCCACACAACAAACACAACAATCATCATATCATTCATATGAATCATCATTAATATATCATCAAACAAATCCTCCAAATCTCAAACTCACCTCTCCTACATATTACATAAACAAAACAATAAAAAACCACAACATAAACAAATAAAAAAATCTAACACAAACAAATCAAAATATCCAATAACAACATCAACAACAAACACACCCACACTCCCTAAATCAAAGCAAAATCCACCACCACACACACCAACCACCAATCACCAACACAAAAAACTACACACCAACACACTCACTCATCAAAATCCAACATCATATACACACCCATCCACATATAACTCATCCAAAATCTAACACATATCATCAAACAAAACTCCCAAACATAAATATCATCAAATCAACATCAAACACCAAAACCAATCTTAAATCATATCAATCAACTATCATCATTATAATAACCTCCATATCCATAACTCAAAATAACAATCACATATCAAAACAAAAAAACACTATCAACATCTAACATACTCATCAAAAACCATATATATCAACCAATCCATCCAATACAACAATCTCTCAATCATCCAATAAACCATTCTATATTTACAACCATATCACAAAAAAAACCATATCATCATCATCTAACATAACATCATCATCATTATCTCAACCCACATCCAACATCATCCTCATCAAATCTCATCAATATCATCTCCATCCACCATCATAAATCATCATCATCATTTCCATCCATCCATCCATCAACTCTCCATCCACAAAATATCATCCATATATCCATCCATCCATCATCCATCCATATAACCCTCATCAACTATATTATCCAATATCATCCTCATCATATCATCCATCATCAAGTCCATCCATATCCATCATTATGTCAACCATATCATCATATCCAATATCATCAATCATCCCTATCATCATCTATCATTATCCATCCACATCTCATCATCAATCCTCATCCTTCCATTATCCATCCATCATCATCCATATCATCCAACCCATCATCCATCATCCATCCACCATTCATATATCCATCATCATTCATATCATCATTCATATTAATCCTCCAATCCATCCATCCATCATATCATCCAATCCAATCTATCATATCTATCAATCATCCATCATATCATCCATATCATCATTATCAACCATCATCATCCATTATCATCATATCACATTATCCATCCACCATCATCATCATCATCATTATCAGATCATTATCCATCCATCATCATCCAATATCATCCATCAACCATCCATCATACATCATCCATCCTCCAGCCAACCATCTATCCATTATCCAACCATCCATCATAAACCATCATAATCCATCATCCATCATTTATATCTTTTTACATCCATCATCCATCATCCATCCATCCATCATTACATCATCATCTCATTCATCATCATCATCCATCATCATCCATCATCCATCATCCATCCATCCTTCATCTATCCATTTTCCATCCATCCATCCATCATCATCCAATCATTCATCCATCCATCATCCATCCTTATGACCATCATATCCATCATCCATCCTTATCCATCTCATATCAACATCCATAATCCACATCAACCATCCATCATAATCAACAACCATCATTATCCACAACCATCCATCTCCATCATCACAATCCTATTCCATCCATCCATCCATCCATCCATCCATTTATCCATCCATCCATTCATCATCCCTAACCATCATTATATCTACATCCATAATCCCTCCATATCATCCTCCATCCACTTCATATCATCCTCATATCATCATCATCATCCTCCTTCATCAACCATCATCCATCATCATCATTCTCCATCAATATATTCCATTATATCACCATCATCATCAACCATCATTATCATCATATATCATCCATATTATCATTATCATATCATATCATCCATCATCATCCACTAAGATCCATCATTATCCATCTCATCCATTATCCCTCCATCTCATCATATCCTCAGAACATGATCATCCATTATCCATCTTCCAGATTCCACTCATCATGTATCCATGCACATATCTATCCAATCCTACCACCAAATCCAAACATCCTCCATAACAACATACAACAACATGAACTCCATAACACACAAACCACACCACAACCTTAATATCCAAATCCACTTTATCCCTCATCCAACCCTCCAACATCAACATCCAACCATAACCCTCTCAAATCCTAACAAAAAACCAATCAATCCCTAATTCATAAACCAACCATCATCATCTGTTAACACAACCACCACAAAAACCTCCATCAACCACAAACAACCCACATCCAACCATCATCAAAACCAATTCCATCCAAAACAACAACCAACCATAACAACCAAAACTATAACCATATAAACATCATCATCATCATATCATCCATCCAATCATCCACCTATCCATCACAACCAACCAACATTATCATTATCCATCAACCATTATCATATCCTATATCTCATCCATCCATTATCCATCCATATCATCCATTATCATCAACATATCCAACCATTATCCTCCAACCTCCATCATTATCCATCCCTCATCCATTATCCATCATCATAACATCCCACTTCATCCACCAACCCCATCCATCTTCAAACCAACCACAACCCATCCATCATCATCCATCATTATCAACCATACATATTCATCACAACCAACAAAACAACATTCATCATCATCCACCATCCTTCATCCATATCCATCCATATCCATCCATTATCCATCATCATCATCATCCATCATCCATCCATCATCCATCCATTATCCATCCATCCATCATCATCATATATATCATCATCTCTCCATATCATCATCCTCCATCCAACCTCATCCATCTATCCATCCAATCATTCCATCCATCATCGTCATCCGTCAACATCCATCATCCATCATCTAGCCATACCACCATCCATCATATCATATCCCTCCCAACATTATCCATCATCCAACTCAATCCATCAAAATCCAACATCCATCCAACATCCTCATCCATCATCCATCATCCATTCCATATCATCCATCCATTATCTATTCATCCATCATCTCATCCATATTTCTCTCCCATTATCATCCATTCTCCATCCATATCCATCCATTATCATCCACTCCATCCATCCATCCAGTATCATCCTCAACATCATTATCATCATCATAATCCATCCATCATCATCCATCATCATATCCAATATCATCCATATCCATCCATTATCCATCCATCCATCATCCCATCCATTATCGGCATCCTCATCAATCCATTATCCATCCATCCATCCATTATCATCCATCATCCATCATCCATCATTATTCATCCATCATCCATCATCATCATCCTCCATCATCATCCATCCATCATTCATCCGATTATCCATCCCTTCATCATCCATTATTCAGCCATCCATCCAAATCCAACATCATCTCATCCATCCACCAATTCCATCATCCATCCATCATCCATCATCATCTTATCCATTTCCATTCCATCATCCATCCATCATCATCCATCATCCATCATTATCCATATCCATATCCATCCATTATCCATCATCATCCTCCATCCATCACATCCATCATCCATCATCCATCATCATCCAATCATCATCCATGTCCATTCGTCCATCCACCATACATCATTATCATCATATCATCTCTATCCGATCATCATCCATTATCCATCCATCATCATCCAATATCCATCAACTCCATATCATCCATCATCCACAACCATTTTTTTCCCCAATCCCATCATCCATCTCCAATCATTCATCCATTATCATCCATATCCATCATCCATTCCAAAACCACATCATCCATTATCATCCATCGTTACATCATCCAGCCATCAATCATCATTCCGCATCATCATCAATCATCCATCTCCTCCATCCATCATCATCCGTATCCAACCATCATCCATCCAATATCATCCATCATCATCCATATCATCCAATCATCATCCATTATCCATCCATCCAATTCCATCCATCTCATCATTCATCATCCATATCCAACCATCTCCATCCATCATCATCCATCAAGTATTCCATCATCATCATTCCATCCATCCATCCATCTATTCATCCTCATCATCCATTATCCATCATCCATCCAACTCCATCCTTCATAGATCATCCTATCCATCCATCATCCTCAAATCCATCATCCTCTCATCATCATCCAACCATCATCCATCCATTATCATCCTCATATCATTCACATACCAACCATCATCATCATATTCCATCATCTCTATTCACCATCAACATCCATATCATATCATCATCCATCATCAACATACATCATCCATCCATCATCCATCCATCCATCCATCCATCATCATCACGCTATCACAAATCATCCTATCGCCACCATTATCATCCACCCAACATCATCATCCATCATCATCATCCATCATCCCTCCATCCTATCCTCATCCTCCATCCATCCATCATATCCATCCATCATTATCAACATCATCCTCCAACCATCATTCCTATCCATCATTTATCCTCCATCATCAATTATTATAAATCCATCATCCATACATTATCCATAATCCCATCAACATATCCAACCATTCATCACCATCCATCCATCCATCATTATCAATCCATCCATCCATCATCAATCATCCATCCTCATCACTATCCATCATCCAATAACATCCATATCATATCATCATCATCCATCATCATCCTCATCCATCATCATCCATCATCATCCATCATTCATATCCATCCATCCATCATCCATACATATCATCATCTCCTCATCCATCCAACATCCATATCATCCATCATCCATCATATCCCATCCACTCCTCAATTTATCAGTCCATCATCCATCCATCATCATCCATTCATCAACCAACATCATCATCTCTTCCCAATCCACATCCATCCATATCCATCCATCCATTCATCCATCATCATTATCATCCATTCATTATCCATCCATCCATCAATTATCATCCTTCTCCATCCATCATCAATTCATCCATATTCATCAAACCATATCCATCATCCATCCATCACCATCCATCTCATATATCCTCCATCCATATCCATCATCCATCCATCATCATTATATCATATTATCCATCCAAATCTCATATCCATATCACATCATCATCCATCCATTATCCATATCATCCATCCATCATTCCATCTATTCCATCATGCATCATCCATCATCCATCCATCATCATCCATCATCCATTCCATCCCATCCTCATCATATATCATCCATCTCATCCATCCATCCATCATCATCCATCATCAATCTCATTCATCATCCAACTTCATCATCATCCATCCATCCATATCATCCCTATCCATATCATATATCATCATCATTCATCCATCCATCATCCATCCATCATCCATACATCCATCATTCATATCATCCATAATTCATCCATTATCCGCATCCATCAATCCATCCATCATCATATCTATCATCATGCAAATCATCATCCATCCAACATCATCATATCATCCATCAATCATCATATCCATCATCATCCAACCATCCATCCATCATCCATCATCCAGCCATCATATCCAATCCATCATGCATCATCCATCCATCCATCATCCACATTATCCATCATCATCCTCATCATCATCAATCATCCATTCCATATCCATCCCTCCATCATCCATCATCATCATCCATCCATATCCATCCATCTCATCCATCAATCCATCATCCATCCATCCATCCATCATCATCCATCCATATCCATCCATCATCCATCCATCCATCATCATCCATCCATCCATCATCCATCCATCATCCATCCATCCATCATCCATCCATCATCATCCATATCCATCCATCCATCCATCCATCATCCATCCATCATCCATCCATCATCCATCCATTATCCATCCATCCATCCATCCATCATCCATCTATCCATCCATGCATCATCCATCCATCCATCCATCATCCATCCATCATCCATCCATCCATCCATCATCATCCATCATCCATCCATCATCCATCCATCCATCCATCCATCATCCATCCATCATCCATCCATCCATCATCCATCCATCATCCATCCATCCATCCATCCATCCATCATCCATCCATCATCCATCCATCCATCCATCATCCATCCATCATCCATCCATCCATCATCCATCCATCATCCATCCATCATCCATCCATCCATCCATCCATCCATCATCCATCATCATCCATCCATTATCATCCATCCATCCATCCATCATCCATCTATCCATCCATGCATCATCCATCCATCCATCCATCATCCATCCATCATCCATCCATCCATCCATCATCCATCCATCATCCATCCATCCATCCATCCATCCATCATCCATCCATCATCCATCCATCCATCATCCATCCATCCATCATCCATCCATCCATGCATCATCCATCCATCCATCCATCATCCAGCCATCATCCATCCATCATCCATCCATCCATCCATCCATCATCCATCCATCCATCCATCATCCATCCATCATCCATCCATCCATCCATCCATCATCCATCCATCCATCCATCATCCATCCATCCATCCATCCAATGCAGATATGCAGCAGTGTAATATTGAGAATAATGGCCATTTGCTATCAGATTGTCAGTCCTGGCCTTCAGGGAACCCAGCTTGCATGTTTTAAGTTTATCTCTGTTGCAGCAAACCTGATTGTTATGACTGATGACCAGGAAGTCATTAACCGCTCGAGAAGCCTGAGTTTATTGCTCAATGAGTTAAAATAGTATGAAATTGGTTTGATGCTAGTTAAAACAAACAAAACAACCTTTTTTTTTTTCTTTCCCAGATATAAGCCTGTGTTCTCACGCCTCTGTAAGCCTGCACCTGGTAGGCATGAGCTCAGAACCAGAGGTGTTCTCCGTTCACATGAATGGCCAAGTCCTGACCCAGAGTGGCCACAAAGTGTCGTCAGTGGGGCTCATCAGCGGCTCCTGCGCCACCGCCAGCCTTGTTGCCCCCCATGCAGGCCGCTGGCTGCTTTCCTCTCACACCTTCAAACACAGGGAAGGTGGGTAAACCTGAACATTTAAAGACATTTCTAAAACCCAGGTGTAAAGACTCTAATGCATTCAAACAATTCCAGCTGGCATGCATGCCTTCGTGGATGTGAAGAAGTGCGAAGAATTCAAGGGACCTTCGAGGAGGTTGACGATCTTACAAAGGCGACTAAGCAAAGAGTGGAAATATTACATTGCTGCAGAAGAAATAGTCTGGGATTATTCCAACAGCATGAGAGAGAAATCTGATGAGTGAGCTACCTTATTTCCATATACAGTACTACAAAAAGTATTTGCATTCTTTTCTGTTGTTCCTGCTTTTAGATTTCTTAATTTTCTGAAATGCATCCACACTGTTCACTTTTTATGTTTAACAAGGATTCCATCCATTAGTAGAAGTAAGCTTTCCAAGCCATCCGGGCCCTATTTAGAAAAGGAGCAATTTCCAACAGAAGCCTAATTAATTCAATTCTATTCAGTTTATTTCTATAGCTCCAATTCACATCATGTCATCTCAGGTCACTTTCCAGTTCACCAGATCATCCAGTCAGATTGATTCAAAGTTTTCTATCCAAGGAAAACCAGCTGATTGCATCGACTCATTGACTCTTCAGCAATCCCTCACACTAAGCATGCTTGTAGCGACAGTGGAGAGGAAAAACTCCCTTTGAACAGGAAGAAACCTCCAGCAGAACCAGGCTCAGTGTGAGCGGCCATCTGCTGAGGCCCACTGGGGTTCAAGGAGACAGAAGCAGACATAGAAAAAGAAGCATAGATACAAAAGGCAGCTGTCAACCAGCTCCACAGGCGGCCCCGTCCAGGAAACACACAGCCAGGCAGACGAGCTCCGAGCCAGCTCCCATGTCAGAGGATGAAGAGAGCACATCCAGTTAGTCACAGTCAGAGAAACTTTTTCATTTTCATCAGAACTCTGGCTGCAGCATTTTGGATCAGCTGAAGGCTTTTAACTACAGTTTGTGGACTTCCTGATAGTAAAGAATTACAATAGTCCAGCCTTGAAGTAACAAATGCATGAACTAGTTTCTCAGCATCACCCCTGGACAGGAGATTGCTCATTTTTGCAATATTCCTCAGATGAAAGAAGGAAATTCTAGAAACCTCTTTGATCTGGGATTTAAATGACAGGTCCTGATCAAAAACAACACCAAGATTTTTTTACTTTATTATCTGAAATCAGTTTAATTAATGTTTATACCATTAGAAACAGTGCCATGACCAGCAGTGGGTCTTCTGTGTCAGTGAGGAGGATTTAGTGCAACTTCGTCGGTAACACTGGATGATGTTTAACATCCAGTATTATAATCTGATCAAAGTCCAGACTTTGACTGGGCACCATCACTTTTGGCCTTGGTATTTTCCCATGAATGTCATAATTGGTTTAAGCGATCTGACCTACATGCAGAGAGCCACTCAGAGACCAAGGGAAAAAGTTGAACAGGTTTATTAAATGTAGATAAATAACAGAAGTTGGACCTGGAACTCGGTGGACTGGTGAACCGGAACTGGAAAGTCTGAAGGGGAGATCACAGTGATCAGTTCAGGGACCGTAGGACATTTGACTGAGACTTGAATATTACAGGAGAGGGACTCATGTTTGAGGGGGCTCTTGTCAATCCTTGAATCCAGCTTGTGGGGGTTAATCCAGAGAAGTGGGAACTTGTTGGAGGGTGGACAGATAGACAAGCGTTGGACCCAGAGGAGTAAAGGAGCGCACTGTCACTTGGATTTCCGAAGAGGACTTGAACGGATCATGTTGGGGTTTTCCCCTGCTCAGTGTGTTCTCAGTTAATCCTTCCAGCGGGAGAAAGTCCAGGTATCCAGTTAATCAGGAAGGCTTCCTGCCGAAATCAAAGACAAAAACTAGATAAGACTAAGAGAAACAAAGCTTAGGTTAGACTCAGCTAATCTCAGCTTGGCTAGAGTACTCAAAACTGGCAAAAACTCTGGCCTCGAGGTAGTGACAGCCCACAGCTCAAATACTCCTCCAGTAATAGTCCAACGAGCCGCAGGTGAGCAGGGAGGCCCAACGAGGACAGGGCACCACCTGGTGGTGGAGAGAGAGAAAACACACAAACAACCCACACAAACTGGATTCCTAACAATGAACGCCTGTTTTTTTTTAATAATGATGAACAATGAACTCCAACATTTACTGAGGGGGCCAGTGGAGCTAAGATGCTGTTCTTGTTCAATTTGTAACCTCCTCCTTTAGCTGTTGATTAACTAAAAAGGCCTGGTTATCCTCCTGCAGCAGTGTGTCGTAGTGAGCTTGTCGCAGACAATTTTGATTTCTGCCCAATATTGAAGCGTGGTCTGAGCTATGTTATTCCACGCCACTACGCCAGAGGGCCAATCAGGAACTAGCTGTGGGTCTAGATGAGGTGCTGAGGAAGTGGGGGCAAGTTTGTGCGACAACGGAGGGACATGAGGGCCAAAAACAGCGGGGATCCAGGTGGAAAAAGGGTCCCAGCGTTCTCACGCACCTCGCTCTGCTAGCTGCACCATCTTCACCAGTCGATTTCCACAATGGCGGCCAGACAAACAAATCAAGCCGGTAAGGAACCAAACAGGACATACCATAGTGTAGAGCGGATGTAGATCTTCCAATCAGAGGCTTCCTGTCTGCGACACTGTTAGCGGTCACCTACAATTTCGGAGAGGTGCAGCAGAGTGTCTGCGGCAGGGGGCGGGGCATATCTGCATTCACTGCAACATGACCTAGTTTCGTATAAATCAGCCTTTAGTCTTCGTATACCAGACAAGCCTTCATCTGACCAGTGAAACTGAACCATCTATCTTCTCCTGCTGAGTCTTGTCAGGGTCGCAGTGGCGCCGGTGCCTATCTCTGGCAGTCAATGGGTGAGAGGCGGGGTACATCTAGGACAAATCGCCAGTCTTTCACCGGGCTACACAGAAACACACAAAGACAAACAACCATATACACACACTAAAAACACCTGAGGAAAATTTAGAGAAGCCATTTAATCTAATTGGACTGCGGGAGGAAGCTGGAGTACCCGGAGAGGACCCACTCATGCACGGAGAGAACATGCAAACTCCATGCAAAAAGGTCGGGAATCAAACCCAGAACCTTTTTGCTGCAAGGCAACTGTGCAACCCACTTCTCCACCATGCAGCTTGAAATCGAACCAGATTTCACAGATTCCTTGGAATAGATTATCTTTAACAACATAAGGGTGATAACCACTTTAAAACACTATTTTGTATTTCCTTTTGCTGTGTTTTAAGTGTTACCAGAAAGCATCAACTAAAGGCATCTGTAGGTGGATAACATTCTTTCTAGATGCTGTGATTAATCTATGTTGTCATCATGTTTTCTTTCCCCACCAGGAAATGGTCAATAAAAGGCTATCTCTGAATTATGCTGAAAATGTTTCTCTTTGTTTAGAGACTTCAAGCTCCAGAACATCAGACATTCAGCAAACTGTATTGGGGAAAAGTACAAGAAGGTGGTGTACACGCTCTACAAAAATGAATCATTCACCGAAAAGTCAGAAAATAAGCAACGGAGGACTGAGCTGGGCATCCTGGGTCCGGTTATCAGAGCGCAGATCAGAGACGTGATCACGGTGAGACCGTGATTATAGAACTCACAACCTCAATGTCTCATTTAGATGCAAGCCAAACTAAAATACAGAATATTCCTAAACCTTTTGCTGACATAATATTAAACAGGACAGTAGGCACTGTACGATCATTTCAGCCCGATTAGATTGTTGCTTCATGCTCTCCTTTTTTTCCCACAGATTGTTTTTAAGAATTTGGCCTCAAGGCCTTATAGTATCTACCCACATGGCCTGACTGTGGAAAAGTCAGAGGAGGGAGTGAACTATCCAGAGGGAGGTACGGGTTATTTCTGAAAGAACATCGAACAGATTTTATTTATATTACATTCAATTGATGGAGGTTTTGGTAACATGATCACCAGGAAACCAATCTCACGCCGTTCAGCCTGGTGAAACACGCACCTACGTGTGGAAAGTACTCGAGGAGAATGAACCGTTGGAAGCCGATCCTCGATGTCTGACACGGATGTACCACAGTGCTGTGGACGCACCGCGGGACATCTCGTCAGGACTGATAGGACCCATCCTTATCTGCAAGAGTCAGTCTCTGGATGTCAGGAATGTACAGGTAAAAACCTGCATGTTTTCACTTAAAAAAAAAACCTTGATTAGTCCAATAAGAATCCAACAAAGACATTTGTCCAACTGCAAACATTTACCCAAATAAAAATAAAAAAATTACTTGCAATGAGAAGGACACTGGGAAGAACAAGATTAACACCAAGAGTTTAATTCTGAAATATGTAGATGTCACAGGGGCCTGATGATGGAGCCACAAATGTGGGAAGAAATCCAACAAAACCACTGACTAAGATCCCAATGAAAGAGCACTAAAAGAAATCACACTGGAAATGACTGTGTGTGACACAGGTGACTTAATAAGAGTGAGTGCAGCTAAAGCCGGGGATGCACTGTACCATATTTTCTATCTTGCACACAGCTACAGCTCAAATTGTATAATGAAACCACAGGGTTTAAAGGTTCTCAGCTCACCATGTTTGTTCTCACGCTGTGCGACCCGATGCTCTGATGCGATCTACCTGCTCACGCTCTACGTCTACAACCCGGGTGGGACTCAGCTCCGCAGTGAGATGGCGCTACTTGGACTCGTCTATCTGGAAGCCAAACCAGTAGAAGAGGAACATGAAGCTCACTAGAGTGAAACGCGCTACCTTGGATATTTGTGCAATTTTGTGCTGAAAGCTCTAAAAAGAAAAGGAGACGACGTATTTGGACAAAGACATGGCTGAGCAGACGTGGCTACTACGGTCTGACAATTTGACAGAAAGAACTCCATTTACGGACGGGTTGGTCGTTGGATCGTCAACTTGAAGAGGGAGGATTTGCCATCGAACTTCTGGCCAGAGAAAAAACCCGTAATATGTAGCCAACATTTGGAAGAAGAATGTTTTCAAGATGACTTGGATAATAGCGCGTTGTGACAAACACCAGATACAGCACTGGGACTTGATCAACTGCCGATACCGCACCGTGACGTGACTAACCAGTAGGTGGCAGTAGTGTTCTTTGAAAAACATGGATGCCTCCAGTAAAGCACATTCACATGAAAATTACTCTGAATTAAAAACACTGATCATTTATTGAACAGGATGGAATCATTTCAGATTTAAAGAACTTTCAGAAGTTTGAATTCTGAATATGAGCGGACTTTTCCTCTAAGACTGCAGAAACTGCTTTCAGTGTAGCCCGGTGTAAGGTAGGTTATTTACCATTGAGAACCACCGGCTGCATTCCTGGATGTGAATGATGCTTCGAAACTTCAGCTTCTGCGTTTGACTCGCGGTAAAAGATGTCGGACTGTATTTTTGTGTCAGAATAAAAAACTGTTTGGTTTTTTACTTTTCTCCAAATGGAAAAGTGTCAATGACGGGCTGGTTATCCTCCCGCAGCAGTGTGTTGCAGTTACCTTGTCGCAGGTATGATGCAGATATTTTTTATTTATGCCCAATATTGAAGCGTGGTCTGCGCTATGCTATTCTACGCCACAACGGCAAAGGGCCAATCAGGAACTAGCTAGGATTATGGGTGTCCGTGTGTCAGTTTGATGACCTTGTTCGCCGTCTACAACCCCTCATCTAGCACTGGACGACACACAGTTCCCCCGCGAGGGTTCTCCGGCGCTGCGTGTTTTGGCTTTGGGTGCAAACCAACAGACCTTGGCACAGAGCTACAAACTAGCGTCCTGCACAGTGTCTGGGATGGTGTCCGAGATATGCCAGGCGCTGTGGACGGAGGTACAGCCAGAGTTTCTGCCATTAGGTACCAAACAGGGAATACGCACAGTGTAGAACGGAGGTAGAATCGACCAATCAGAGGCCTCCCGTCTGCGACACTGTCTGAGGTCACCTACAATTTTTGGGAACTGCACCAGAGTGGAAGTGGGGGCATATCTGCGTTAACTGCGACACACACACAGACGAGATTGCCAGATTGGAGAATTTAGAAAAGTTTGTGTTTGGTTGGAGTGGTCAGCAGCAACCTGACTGGCTTACCTCTGGGTCCTAGAGGTGTACAGTTCCTGAACAGGGCAGCCAGTCACACTCTCTGCAGTAGATGTAATATGCTGCATCTTTCTCCTGACTCTGGCCTTGGCAGCAGCTACCAGATGGTGATAGAGGAGAAGAGATGGACTCAGTGTTGGTGGAGTAGTAGGTCGCCATCGTTGGCTGGCTGAGGCTGGTTGAACTTCTTCAGCTGCGGCTGGAAGTACATCCTCTGGTGTGCCTTCTTGGTAGATGAAGTGACGTTCAGCTCCCGCTTGAGCTCCTGAGCAATAATCGTGCCCAGGAAGTGGACGGCGTCAACGTTGGAGACTGGAGAGTTGCGCCGGATGAGTAGTGAGGGTAGGGCTGTACTCATGCACGACCATTTCCACCGTTTCCAGAACGTTATTCCAGACTGTCCACTTTACTTCTGTACAATCTGAATGTGAACGTGAAACTACCATTAAGGCAACCGAGGTCATGCCCTCTGTATTTTTTTGTTCGTATTTTGCCTTGATTGTGATATATAAACTTAAATCATATTACAGTGAAACTGACTGTAGGACAATAATCTAGGTCTCTCACAGACTGTGAGGTGTTTAATGTTTGAAGTGCTAAGATTAGCGAGACACTCTAATAAAAAAAGTAGCATACTTCATTGTCAACATGCACTGTCGCTATAGTTACTGCCACATACATGCTACAGATGGCGTTAGTGGGTCCATCATGAAGCTACAAATGTAGGAGGAGAGCAGTTAAAGTTTTGGATGACTGTGACAAAAACAAGAATTATCATGAGGAAAGAGAGCTACTCATACAGCAGGGGAACATCAAACCAAAGTACCCATCGGTACTGGTCTCAATTCAGTTTGCACAAGTTGAATCAACAATCATTATGCAACTGAGATGTTAGCGACGTCTTGAACTCAAAATGAAACCTTTAGCGTTCAGCCTCAGTGTTGGATGTGGAACCTGTGTGGAGGCACATTTTTCCTTGGCGAAAAATTGTGAGGTAAAATATTTTGAGAGAGTCTTTCCTCTTCCTAAATAGGGGTGATATTTTAGAAGTCTTGTTCCAGTCTGTATGCTGGAGTTACGTTATGTGGTTAAGAGTGGGGATGACAGAAAGCAGTGAGGGTCATGAGAGATAAGAATGAGTTCACACAGCCTCTTCTCCTGTTCTGACTGATTATCTGGCTAAAATTTATGTCCTTGATGAATTGAAGTGTTTTTTGCCTGCTAATATCCAAATGTTCAAGTGTGATAAAGTTATTTATGCAGGGGGTGTGTTCTTTCTCCTGCGGGGAGTGTGTGTGTGATTTTGTACTGTATAAATGCATGTACTGAAATGCAGCATTCAGAGAGCTCTATATCTACGTCTGAGGACGTTAAATACATTTGAACCTTATTTCTTGCCAAAAATGCCTCTGTCTCAGCTTCCTAATTTCACACCTGTTTCATATTTCTACTGGATGCTGAAGCTCAGTAAGTTTGTACAGAGCAGATTGCACGGAAGTCGTACACAGAAACAAAATAAAACGTCTGGTTAATTTTCAAAATAATAAATATTTTTCCGTGGTAACTAAACCTTACTGCTACGTTCAGACTGCACATGATTTCAGAAGCAAAAAAGCTTATGCTGCTTTATTTCTTCTGCTTGTCCTCATTAAGGTCAGCCGTCCAGTAAAGTGAGTCCAGATGCTTCTGCTGCTCCTGTGTTCGATGCCAGAGAGCAGCTTTGCTATATTAGCTGTGATCAGCGGGTAGAAAGTAGTTAGAATCTATGTTGAAGTGAGAAAGTCCTCCTGAAAACATGGTCTGTGCAGTCAGTTCATCCAGATTACCATCCTGCCTTCAAAGATTATTTCTCTGTGGGAGCCGCTCAGACCCCCACATACCGGCGCTGCGCTGTCACTGGGAATCCCCAGCAGCAGCTGCCTCAGGCCCGCTCGCCTCTCCAGGGTTTTCCCCTCCTGTTGGTGGCGGCTGGAAGTAGATGTTAGCGTTTTTCAGGTCTGTGCTACAAACTGCAGGCTGCAGGATAATAAAAGCCAACATATTCTGCCGGCAGGTTTCTACATTTGAAGTTAATTTAGGCGTTAATAAACTGTTTCAGAGGAGTGATCATAGCGCTCTGCATCAGCAGTGCTGCGTCTGACTCCCTGCCAGCTCCCAGATCAGCTTCTCTCATTGGTTGATGCAGCGCATCCAGCAGCTAAAGTTAAATTTTTCCAACTCCAGCAGCTGCTGCTTCGAAGCGCCTCAGATGCTCAGAAGCTCATGATCTTATACAACTGCGTAAATGTGCATATTTTATCTTGTTTATTTAATATTTATACTTAAACTTATTCATAGCTATTTTTACTATTCCACACTTTGAAATTGGGCTCCTCTGCAACCCTCAAAACTAAGTTTATTTCATGTTAATGAGCTGAAATGACAAAACTGAAGTGCTATATTGGTTTAATTTCTATTATTTTAGTACTGGACTGTGTTGATATTCTTCACTAAAGGGAAAACAGGAATGGGAGGAAAAGACTGAGTAAAACCAAGCTCCTATTTGGGCCGAACAGCAGGAGGAGGAGTAAGGAGGAGCAGTGAGGAGAGAGATAGAGGGAGAGCAGGAACTAGAAAAGGAAGATACTGCATCTGAACTATATGTTTTTTTAAAAGTCAAATTTTTATTGCATGATACTTGATGTATTGTGATTATAACAGAAATATGTTCTTGTCCTTGAAGCAACTCCTTTTAATTATACTGGAATCTCTTTTTTGATACATTTCTAACCGCCTAGATAGAAGCTTAAAAAGAAAGATGATATAAAGACCAAGTTTCTACTTTTTAATACCAGGAATGTCTGGCAGGGAAAGAGGAACAGAGAAATGCACTAATTAGCCTTTTCAAAATCTGAGTGATGTTTCTTTTGCTGCTTAAGACTCTGAAAATGGACAGATTTAAATAATGGAATTTAAAAAATAATTTCTGGGAGCATGCAGCTGATCACTCCTAGAACTGAGTGACCCCTGACCCCTGCGTACGGCCCTGGCTGTGTGCAAATGTTGTGTATAACTCAAAGACTTATTGTAAGTTGTTTCAAGCAAGCATAATGGTTCCCCTTAAAAGAATGGCCTTTAAAGTTTGCATAACCTCATGACATGTTCTTCATATCAAGATGACATGAGGTTTGATAACATGAACATTTTAATATTGAAGAAGATGCAAAGGTTGGAAACTGACAAAAAAAGGTTTCTTTTTGTTTTTGCAGCTGAGAGCAGACAAGGAACAGCACGCTGTGTTTTCCGTGTTTGATGAAAACAAGAGCTGGTATCTGGAAGACAACATTCGGCATTATTGCGATCGATCCAAAGTCAACAAAGCCGACCCAGACTTTTACAAGTCCAACGTTATGCACAGTGAGTTTACCCTTAACACACCAAAGCTAACAGCATAGATCCTGTTATTCTCCTCTGCATTTTACAGCATCAGTAGCTGATAGTCAAAAGTTCCAAACAAAGAATGTCATGTACATAGAAATACTTCTGTTTACTCATTAGAAATATATTTTCCAACCCAATGATTTACAGCAGAGCATTTTGAGCCGGAGAGAATATATTTTAAGACATAACTCAGTTTTAGGCAGGCACAGTAGTAGCCATTCAAAATTTCCCCACTTTCCTTGATGGGCCCTTTGCTGGCCCTTGGCTGGTCCTTAACTGGTTCTTGACTGGCCCTTGGCTGGTCCTTAACTGGTTCTTGACTGGTCTTTGGCTGGTCCTTAACTGGTCCTTGGCTGGTCTTTGGCTGGTCCTTAACTGGTTCTTGACTGGTCTTTGGCTGGTCCTTGGCTGGTCCTTAACTGGTTCTTGGCTGGTCCTTGGCTGGTCCTTGGCTGGTCCTTGACTGGTTCTTGGCTGGTCCTTGGCTGGTCCTTAACTGGTTCTTGACAGGTCTTTGGCTGGTCCTTGGCTGGTCCTTAACTGGTTCTTGGCTGGTCCTTGGCTTTATCCTTGGCTGGCCCTTGGCTGGTCTTTGGCTGATCCATGGCTGGTCCTTGGCTGGTCCTTAACTGGTTCTTGGCTGGTCCTTGGCTGGTCCTTAACTGGTTCTTGGCTGGTCCTTGGCTGGTCCTTCGCTGGTCCTTGACTGGTTCTTGGCTGGTCCTTGGCTGGTCCTTGGTTAGTCTTTGGCTGGTCCTTGACTGGTTCTTGGCTGGTCCTTGGCTGGTCCTTGGTTAGTCTTTGGTTGGTCCTTGGCTGGTCCTTGACTGGTCCTTGGCTGGTCTTTGGCTGGTCTTTGGCTCATCCTTGGCTGGTCCTTGGCTGGTCTTTGGCTGGTCCTTGGCTGATCCATGGCTGGTCCTTGGGTGGTCCTTGGTTAGTCCTTCACTGGTCCTTGGCTGGTCTTTGGCTGATCCATGGCTGGTCCTTGGGTGGTCCTTGGTTAGTCCTTCACTGGTCCTTGGCTGGTCTTTGGCTGGTCTTTGGCTGATCCATGGCTGGTCCTTGGGTGGTCCTTGGTTAGTCCTTGACTGGTCTTTGGCTGGTCTTTGGCTCATCCTTGGCTGGTCCTTGGCTGGTCTTTGGCTGGTCTTTGGCTGATCCATGGCTGGTCCTTGGGTGGTCCTTGGCTAGTCCTTGACTAGTCTTTGGCTGGTCCTTGACTGGTCTTTGGCTGGTCCTTGGCTGGTCTTTGGCTGGTCTTTGGCTGATCCATGGCTGGTCCTTGGGTGGTCCTTGGTTAGTCCTTCACTGGTCCTTGGCTGGTCTTTGGCTGGTCTTTGGCTGATCCATGGCTGGTCCTTGGGTGGTCCTTGGTTAGTCCTTGACTGGTCCTTGGCTGGTCTTTGGCTTGTCCTTTGCTGGCCTTTGGCTGGCCCTTGGCTGGTCTTTGGCTGATCCATGGCTGGTCCTTGGGTGGTCCTTGGTTAGTCCTTGACTGGTCCTTGGCTGGTCCTTGACTGGTCCTTGGCTTGTCCTTGGCTGGTCCCTGGCTGGTCCTTGGCTGGTCTTTGGCTTGTCCTTTGCTGGCCTTTGGCTGGTCCTTTGCTGGTCCTTGGCTGGTCTTTGGCGGGTCCTTGGCTGGTCCTTGGTTGGTCCTTGGCTGGTCCTTAACTGGTTCTTGGCTGGTCCTTGGCTGGTCCTTAACTGGTTCTTGGCTGGTCCTTGGCTGGTCTTTGGCTGGTCTTTGGCTGGTCCTTGGCTGGTCCTTCGCTGGTCCTTGACTGGTTCTTGGCTGGTCCTTGGCTGGTCCTTGGTTAGTCTTTGGCTGGTCCTTGACTGGTTCTTGGCTGGTCCTTGGCTGGTCCTTGGTTAGTCTTTGGTTGGTCCTTGGCTGGTCCTTGACTGGTCCTTGGCTGGTCTTTGGCTGGTCTTTGGCTCATCCTTGGCTGGTCCTTGGCTGGTCTTTGGCTGGTCCTTGGCTGATCCATGGCTGGTCCTTAGGTGGTCCTTGGTTAGTCCTTCACTGGTCCTTGGCTGGTCTTTGGCTGGTCTTTGGCTCATCCTTGGCTGGTCCTTGGCTGGTCTTTGGCTGGTCTTTGGCTGATCCATGGCTGGTCCTTGGGTGGTCCTTGGTTAGTCCTTGACTGGTCCTTGGCTGATCTTTGGCTTGTCCTTTGCTGGCCTTTGGCTGGCCCTTGGCTGGTCTTTGGCTGATCCATGGCTGGTCCTTGGGTGGTCCTTGGTTAGTCCTTCACTGGTCCTTGGCTGGTCTTTGGCTGATCCATGGCTGGTCCTCGGGTGGTCCTTGGTTAGTCCTTGACTGGTCCTTGGCTGATCTTTGGCTTGTCCTTTGCTGGCCTTTGGCTGGCCCTTGGCTGGTCTTTGGCTGATCCATGGCTGGTCCTTGGGTGGTCCTTGGTTAGTCCTTGACTGGTCCTTGGCTGGTCCTTGACTGGTCCTTGGCTGGTCCTTGGCTGGTCCCTGGCTGGTCCTTGGCTGGTCTTTGGCTTGTCCTTTGCTGGCCTTTGGCTGGTCCTTGGCTGGTCCTTGGCTGGTCTTTGGCGGGTCCTTGGCTGGTCCTTGGTTAGTCTTTGGTTGGTCCTTGGCTGGTCCTTGACTGGTCCTTGGCTGGTCTTTGGCTGGTCTTTGGCTCATCCTTGGCTGGTCCTTGGCTGGTCTTTGGCTGGTCCTTGGCTGATCCATGGCTGGTCCTTGGGTGGTCCTTGGTTAGTCCTTCACTGGTCCTTGGCTGGTCTTTGGCTGATCCATGGCTGGTCCTTGGGTGGTCCTTGGTTAGTCCTTCACTGGTCCTTGGCTGGTCTTTGGCTGGTCTTTGGCTGATCCATGGCTGGTCCTTGGGTGGTCCTTGGTTAGTCCTTGACTGGTCTTTGGCTGGTCTTTGGCTCATCCTTGGCTGGTCCTTGGCTGGTCTTTGGCTGGTCTTTGGCTGATCCATGGCTGGTCCTTGGGTGGTCCTTGGCTAGTCCTTGACTAGTCTTTGGCTGGTCCTTGACTGGTCTTTGGCTGGTCCTTGGCTGGTCTTTGGCTGGTCTTTGGCTGATCCATGGCTGGTCCTTGGGTGGTCCTTGGTTAGTCCTTCACTGGTCCTTGGCTGGTCTTTGGCTGGTCTTTGGCTGATCCATGGCTGGTCCTTGGGTGGTCCTTGGTTAGTCCTTGACTGGTCCTTGGCTGGTCTTTGGCTTGTCCTTTGCTGGCCTTTGGCTGGCCCTTGGCTGGTCTTTGGCTGATCCATGGCTGGTCCTTGGGTGGTCCTTGGTTAGTCCTTGACTGGTCCTTGGCTGGTCCTTGACTGGTCCTTGGCTTGTCCTTGGCTGGTCCCTGGCTGGTCCTTGGCTGGTCTTTGGCTTGTCCTTTGCTGGCCTTTGGCTGGTCCTTTGCTGGTCCTTTGCTGGTCTTTGGCGGGTCCTTGGCTGGTCCTTGGTTGGTCCTTGGCTGGTCCTTAACTGGTTCTTGGCTGGTCCTTGGCTGGTCCTTAACTGGTTCTTGGCTGGTCCTTGGCTGGTCTTTGGCTGGTCTTTGGCTGGTCCTTGGCTGGTCCTTCGCTGGTCCTTGACTGGTTCTTGGCTGGTCCTTGGCTGGTCCTTGGTTAGTCTTTGGCTGGTCCTTGACTGGTTCTTGGCTGGTCCTTGGCTGGTCCTTGGTTAGTCTTTGGTTGGTCCTTGGCTGGTCCTTGACTGGTCCTTGGCTGGTCTTTGGCTGGTCTTTGGCTCATCCTTGGCTGGTCCTTGGCTGGTCTTTGGCTGGTCCTTGGCTGATCCATGGCTGGTCCTTAGGTGGTCCTTGGTTAGTCCTTCACTGGTCCTTGGCTGGTCTTTGGCTGGTCTTTGGCTCATCCTTGGCTGGTCCTTGGCTGGTCTTTGGCTGGTCTTTGGCTGATCCATGGCTGGTCCTTGGGTGGTCCTTGGTTAGTCCTTGACTGGTCCTTGGCTGATCTTTGGCTTGTCCTTTGCTGGCCTTTGGCTGGCCCTTGGCTGGTCTTTGGCTGATCCATGGCTGGTCCTTGGGTGGTCCTTGGTTAGTCCTTCACTGGTCCTTGGCTGGTCTTTGGCTGATCCATGGCTGGTCCTCGGGTGGTCCTTGGTTAGTCCTTGACTGGTCCTTGGCTGATCTTTGGCTTGTCCTTTGCTGGCCTTTGGCTGGCCCTTGGCTGGTCTTTGGCTGATCCATGGCTGGTCCTTGGGTGGTCCTTGGTTAGTCCTTGACTGGTCCTTGGCTGGTCCTTGACTGGTCCTTGGCTGGTCCTTGGCTGGTCCCTGGCTGGTCCTTGGCTGGTCTTTGGCTTGTCCTTTGCTGGCCTTTGGCTGGTCCTTGGCTGGTCCTTGGCTGGTCTTTGGCGGGTCCTTCGCTGGTCCTTGGTTAGTCTTTGGTTGGTCCTTGGCTGGTCCTTGACTGGTCCTTGGCTGGTCTTTGGCTGGTCTTTGGCTCATCCTTGGCTGGTCCTTGGCTGGTCTTTGGCTGGTCCTTGGCTGATCCATGGCTGGTCCTTGGGTGGTCCTTGGTTAGTCCTTCACTGGTCCTTGGCTGGTCTTTGGCTGATCCATGGCTGGTCCTTGGGTGGTCCTTGGTTAGTCCTTCACTGGTCCTTGGCTGGTCTTTGGCTGGTCTTTGGCTGATCCATGGCTGGTCCTTGGGTGGTCCTTGGTTAGTCCTTGACTGGTCTTTGGCTGGTCTTTGGCTCATCCTTGGCTGGTCCTTGGCTGGTCTTTGGCTGGTCTTTGGCTGATCCATGGCTGGTCCTTGGGTGGTCCTTGGCTAGTCCTTGACTAGTCTTTGGCTGGTCCTTGACTGGTCTTTGGCTGGTCCTTGGCTGGTCTTTGGCTGGTCTTTGGCTGATCCATGGCTGGTCCTTGGGTGGTCCTTGGTTAGTCCTTCACTGGTCCTTGGCTGGTCTTTGGCTGGTCTTTGGCTGATCCATGGCTGGTCCTTGGGTGGTCCTTGGTTAGTCCTTGACTGGTCCTTGGCTGGTCTTTGGCTTGTCCTTTGCTGGCCTTTGGCTGGCCCTTGGCTGGTCTTTGGCTGATCCATGGCTGGTCCTTGGGTGGTCCTTGGTTAGTCCTTGACTGGTCCTTGGCTGGTCCTTGACTGGTCCTTGGCTTGTCCTTGGCTGGTCCCTGGCTGGTCCTTGGCTGGTCTTTGGCTTGTCCTTTGCTGGCCTTTGGCTGGTCCTTTGCTGGTCCTTGGCTGGTCTTTGGCGGGTCCTTGGCTGGTCCTTGGTTGGTCCTTGGCTGGTCCTTAACTGGTTCTTGGCTGGTCCTTGGCTGGTCCTTAACTGGTTCTTGGCTGGTCCTTGGCTGGTCTTTGGCTGGTCTTTGGCTGGTCCTTGGCTGGTCCTTCGCTGGTCCTTGACTGGTTCTTGGCTGGTCCTTGGTTAGTCTTTGGCTGGTCCTTGACTGGTTCTTGGCTGGTCCTTGGCTGGTCCTTGGTTAGTCTTTGGTTGGTCCTTGGCTGGTCCTTGACTGGTCCTTGGCTGGTCTTTGGCTGGTCTTTGGCTCATCCTTGGCTGGTCCTTGGCTGGTCTTTGGCTGGTCCTTGGCTGATCCATGGCTGGTCCTTAGGTGGTCCTTGGTTAGTCCTTCACTGGTCCTTGGCTGGTCTTTGGCTGGTCTTTGGCTCATCCTTGGCTGGTCCTTGGCTGGTCTTTGGCTGGTCTTTGGCTGATCCATGGCTGGTCCTTGGGTGGTCCTTGGTTAGTCCTTGACTGGTCCTTGGCTGATCTTTGGCTTGTCCTTTGCTGGCCTTTGGCTGGCCCTTGGCTGGTCTTTGGCTGATCCATGGCTGGTCCTTGGGTGGTCCTTGGTTAGTCCTTCACTGGTCCTTGGCTGGTCTTTGGCTGATCCATGGCTGGTCCTCGGGTGGTCCTTGGTTAGTCCTTGACTGGTCCTTGGCTGATCTTTGGCTTGTCCTTTGCTGGCCTTTGGCTGGCCCTTGGCTGGTCTTTGGCTGATCCATGGCTGGTCCTTGGGTGGTCCTTGGTTAGTCCTTGACTGGTCCTTGGCTGGTCCTTGACTGGTCCTTGGCTGGTCCTTGGCTGGTCCCTGGCTGGTCCTTGGCTGGTCTTTGGCTTGTCCTTTGCTGGCCTTTGGCTGGTCCTTGGCTGGTCCTTGGCTGGTCTTTGGCGGGTCCTTGGCTGGTCCTTGGTTGGCCCTTGGCTGGTCCTTGGCTGGCCTTTGGCTGGTCCTTGGTTGGCCCTTGGCTGGTCCTTGGTTGGCCCTCGGCTGGTCCTTGGTTGGTCTTTGGCTGGTCCCCTTCAATTCCTTTTTAAACTTCAATCTTTGTACTAAAATATTCTTTCTGTCATGATTTGTGGACATTAAGATCTAAAGAGAAGCGCCATCTCCTGGTCAGACCCTGTAATCCAGTGAAAGGGTGGAGTCAGAGTAAAAAAATATGCAAGAGGGGGTCACTGCAGTGGCTGGACGTTGGAGGGGATTTTGCTGGGTGTTGGAGGGAAATGGGCAGCCATTTGGCAGGCGTCTGACTGGGAAGGGCCATTTTGAATGGCTGCTACTGTAGAAATGGCCATTTGGGTAAAGTTCAGTAGATAGATTTGTGTGCTGCCTGCAGCTGCTTTTCAGAAAACTAATTTCCATCTTTTCTCCACCTAAAGCAATAAATGGTTATGCCTTTAAGAGTGGCCCTGTTTTGGGCTTTTGCAATGGTGAGGTGGCAACCTGGCATGTGTCTAGCATTGGAGCACAGGACAGCATTCAGACGGCCACTTTCTATGGCCATCCTTTCGAGCTGAATCAAAGGACAGAGGACTTTCTCAGCCTCTATCCAATGACTGGTGAGACCATCAAAATTACAATGGACAACATAGGTGAGTCACAAAAAATGCACTTTGACATTGATTTGTAAAAACAAAAAAAATCTTTTCAGAACATTGTATGTATTTATGTCTCATATCAGGTGTCTGGCTTTTGGCATCATTGAATGAGCAAGAAAAAACAAAAGGAATGGGTGTGAAGTTTCAAGATGTTGAATGCTATCGGGATCTTGAATATGATTTTCCAGACAAAGATGCAGACTTCGGTGGTGCATTTAATGGATGGAAGCTTCCCAGTTATGATGAAATTAAAAAGGAGGAAAAATCTAAACCTCAACCTGTGAAACCACTGGAGATAGATCCCATGACAGAAATGTTTGCAGAGGAGTTGGGCCTGCGCTCGCTGAGGAACCAGTCCGGTAACTCAGATGTGGAGATATTAGATTTAAGCTTTTTGGACTATGATGCAGTTGATGTTCCTCCTGTGAACGAGCATACTATTACAGATCTGAAGGCAAAAAATAATGAAACTGAATCATTTTCAAATCAGAACGCAATAAATCATACCAAACCAAAAGAGGTAGATGATCAAAATATTGCAGAACCCTACTTGCAGAACAGCAGCATCAGTACGAATACAACACATGCCAAGCAAAATTTTACTCAATCATTCACTGACTACAGCTCAACTGTTTCATTTCACCAAGGTGTTTTACAGAGCAACAAAAGCACAGCATCAACAAACAACACTTTCCCTGTAGTTCGACCCAATCCCAATAATAACTCTGCTAAGGATACTGGCATAATGAACTCAACAGTTCTTAATGCTTCAGGTTCAGCAGTTCTCAAGGACCCAAAAATTCTAACAGTGGTAACACAACCTGCAGACAATCAATCCACAATGGTACTAGAGGCTACCAATAAAACTGTACAAACAAAAGACAATAGTGAACTTACGAAAATACTGTCAGGAAATTTAACTTCAAAGGGTAAAACAACAGAATCAAATTATGCTGCCAATAGCAACACGTCTTTGGACATATTCCTGCCTGAAGAGTCTGAGGAACAACTCCTCCGGGGTGATGTGTTCTTCTACAGTGGACCTGTGTCTGATACCAGCATTGACCCCACCAGCCATCCCTCTAATGCCAACCCAACCGTCAGTCCCTCTAATGCCGAACCAACCGTCAGTCCCTCTAATGCTGACCCAACCGTCAGTCCCTCTAATGCAGACCCAACCGTCAGTCCCTCTAATGCTGACCCAACCGTCAGTCCCTATAATGCTGACCCAACCGTCAGTCCCTCTAATGCAGACCCAACCGTCAGTCCCTCTAATGCTGACCCAACCGTCAGTCCCTCTAATGCAGACCCAACCGTCAGTCCCTCTAATGCTGACCCAACCGTCAGTCCCTATAATGCTGACCCAACCGTCAGTCCCTCTAATGCAGACCCAACCGTCAGTCCCTCTAAAGCCAACCTAACCGGCCATCCCTGTAATGCCAAACCAACCACCAGTCCCTCTAACGCCGACCCAACCGTCAGTCCCTCTAATGCCGACCCAACCGTCAGTCCCTCTAATGCTGACCCAACCACCAGTCCCTCTAATACCGACCCAACCTGCCATCCCTGTAATGCCAAACCAGCCACCAGTCCCTCTAATGCAAACCCAACCGTCAGTCCCTCTAATGCCGACCCAACCGACCATCCCTGTAATGCCGACCCAACCATCAGTCCATCTAATGCCGACCCAACTGTCAGTCCCTCTAATGCCGACCCAACCGTCAGTCCCTCTAATGCCAACCCAACCAGCCGTCCCTCTAATGCCGACCCAACCGTCAGTCCCTCTAATGCCGACCCAACCGTCAGTCCCTCTAATGCCGACCCAACCTTCAGTCCCTCTAATGCTGACCCAACCGTCAGTCCCTCTAATGCCGACCCAACCGTCAGTCCCTCTAATGCCGACCCAACCGTCAGTCCCTCTAATGCTGACCCGACCGTCAGTCCCTCTAATGCCAACCCAACCGTCAGTCCCTCTAATGCAGACCCAACCGTCAGTCCCTCTAATGCCGACCCAACCGTCAGTCCCTCTAATGCTGACCCAACCACCAGTCCCTCTAATGCCGACCCAACCGGCAGTCTCTCTAATGCCAACCTAAACAAAAGTCTGTCTAACATCACTATACCACAGAATTTGACAAGTATGGATGACCATAACACAACGACAAATAATAGAAATGCAACAGCTGTTGGAAAAAACCAATCATTGTCCCGCCAAGTAATAGAGGCTTCCACGAAAAAATACTTTGATAATAAGGAGCCTCGAACGACCCCACCGCCCGTAAAATACAAAAAACTGAATCTAAGAAAAATACCCAATAAAGGCGAAGGCATGAAAACAAGGAGGAGGAAGGAATACAAACCTCAGGCCAGAAGTGGTTTACCTTTTTCCCCCCGAGGATTTCATCCAGGGCTGAGCCCCAGAGGGGCACGGCCCAATGTACCACAGCCTGTTACAAATGAGGAGCTATTGATTAACACGCCTGTGGTTATTGGTGTGCCGCGACCTGATTTCAGTGACTATCAGCTCTATGTTCCTGGAGATGAACCAGATCATCTTGAGATTGATGAACAAGATGTAACAGAAAACGAGTACGAGTATGTGATGTATAAAGACCCCTACAGTAGTCAAGAGGACTTCACGAATCTAAACTTGGATGAAACTACTAAATATTACTCAAAATTATCAGGTCCTGAGGTTAGGACATATTTCATTGCTGCAGAGGAGGTCAAATGGGACTATGCTGGCTACGGACAAAGGTAAACTGCAAAAAAGAATGGAGTTAAAGATTTTGTGAAAAGGGGGGATTAAAATCAATGAAAGATGCAGTTTGAAAAATCTTAAAGTGAACTTTTTCTCTTAAAGGAGGAAAGAAAAGTCCGGAGAAAACAAACGAGAGACCAAATTCACCAAGGTGGTTTTCCGAGGTTACCTGGATAGTAGCTTCACCACGCTAGACCGCCGCGGGGAGATGAATGAACATCTGGGCATCCTTGGGCCCATTATCAAGGCAGAGGTTGGACAAAGCATTATGGTGAGATAGCTGCTCTCTGAAGGATCAAATGTTTGTATTAAAAAAAGGATGCTTGACAGAGTTACCCAAAAGTAAGGTAGCTTTGATGTTAATATTGAAGTGCTGGTTGTTTGTAGCAGCAGTTCAGAAAGTTTATACAGCAGCAGTCATTGAAAATGGCCCTTTCCAGTCAAACGGCAGCCGAATGGCAGCACATTTCCCTGCAGCTCCCAGCAAACTCCCTTCCAACTTCCAGCCAGTGGAGTGACCCCCCTCTTGCATATTTTTTACACTAACTCCACCCTTTCACTGAATTACAGGGTCTGACCAGGAGATGACACTTCTCTTTAGATCTTAATGTGCACAAATATTGACAGAAAGAACATTTTAGTACAAATACTGATGTTTAAAAAGGAATTGTAGGGGACCAACCAAGGGCCCATCAGAGAAATGGGGAAATTCTGAATGGCTACTACTTTATAGTGTAGATGAGATGTTCCCTGCCTTATTCTCAATGTGGTTCTGAATCAGTTAATTGTTATTTTGTAGGGGGGCACTGTAAGGACCCCTTTAGCTCCCCTCTGTTAGGCTCAGAGAAAATTGACCCAGAATTCAGCCAGAAAAAACAGGTAAAGCTTTAAGACAGTTTATTAAAGGGTAAACTGCAGCAGCTCGTAGGGTTATCGTCAGCTTCTCTGGCAGGAACCTCTGAAAGCAGAGACAGCAGGTGAGTGACTGAATCAACTGTACGGTGCAGATAGATAGCAGTGAAGTCCTAACCTTCTCACAGTCCTGGTCTGGTGAGAACAGTTAGCCCTGGACCCAGCTGGGTGATAGGCATGTTAACGATCCTGGCTCTAACCAGAGGAACCCTGACCCCCGGCTCACACCGACTCCGGTCTTACCGTTGCGGTGCGGTGGGTGCGGCGCCGCAGTGATTCCAAGTCATTAAAAAGACGTAAACCTCTCTCACCAGCTGCTGAGCTGTCCGGCTGCGGTTACCGAGACACTCCGTTGCTGCAGAAAATACAGCAAGAAAGCTATCCTTGCGGCGTGCCGGAGCCCTCCGCAACAAGCTCTCGCAAATATCCTTATTTGGGCCGTGTTATCGCGTGAAGTTACGTGAACTCAAGTGAACTTCTGTTCTCGCGAGTTAAATCTCCGGACCTGTTGCCGGAGCCGCAGAGCCGCACCGCACCGTAGTCAAAAGGGCGGTGTGAGAGGGGGTGTGCGGGAGTTGCGGTCTCCGTCGGCTCGGTAACCGCACCGGAGCCAGTGTGAGCAAGGGGTGAGATGGGCTCTAGCTAGTTAGGGAACAGACAGGGGCTCAGAACTGTGAAGATGATGACTGGCAAGAGGTCCAAGGGGAATTTCCAGAGCCCGTGGTCATAGATGAATTTCAGGGTAAGAGCCTGGTGATCCGAGGTCCATAGAAAATCTAGAGGGAAATCCAAGGCAGAGTCAGAGCACAGATCCATGTCTGGTAACAGGCAGACTTACAGATCAGACAGGGGTTAGGCTGGCTCAGATAATCGGAAGAAAGAACAGGTCAGGCAAACAGGCAGGAAGTCAGGAACAGAACGCTGGAATAAATCTCACCAATGGCTAGAAATAATCTGGCTGGTTATATACTGATAGGTGCAGGTGGATCAAATGACTGGTAATGAGAAGAGGGCAGAGCTGAGCAGGTGTGTTTTGTGAGGAATCATTACGAGAGATCATGACACACTCACTATCCTCTGTATGGGCCTGTGCAGCTCTGAAGCACCACAGAGAGGCAATAAAATGTAATATAATTCAGCAATCTACTCAGAGGAGCTAAACTGCTGCATGGCTTTTGATGTTATTGGCTGAACACTGGTCTTAACCTCCAATGCTGACTATCATTTTGCTTTGCTGCTTCCTTACCTGTTTTGTGTATACAGGTATACACAAATATATATACACATACATACATATATGTATATATAGATAGACGTAAATATAGATGTATGTATCTCTATTAATGATCTATTCTTCATCCATTCATCCATTTTCCGTCCCACTTATCCCTGCTGGGGTGGCGAGGGGTGCTGTAACTGTGTCCAGGGGGCAGGGTCCACCCTGGACAGGTCGCCAGTCCATATATATATATATATATATATATATATATATATATATATATATATATATATATATATATATATATATATATATTTGTGCGTGTGTGTATATCTATATGCTGTTTATTAAGTATTGTCTTACAAAATTCAGATGCCTTCTCAAAGTTATTCTATTCAGTTTATTTCTATAGCTCCAATTCACATCATGTCATCTCAGGTCACTTTCCAGTTCACCAGATCATCCAGTCAGATTGATTCAAAGTTTTCTATCTAAGGAAAACCAGCTGATTGCATCGACTCATTGACTCTTCAGCAATCCTTCACACTAAGCAAGCTTGTAGCGACAGTGGAGAGGAAAAACTCCCTTTAAACAGGAATAAACTTTAAGCAGAACTAGTTATCCCTCGAGCCCTGGTGTCAACAGTCCCTCGATACAAACCAAACTATGGTGCACAGTGCTAAAGTATCCTTCTTCTGTTCTGCTTAAACCAGCAGGTTAGGGTAGCGGGTCGACCTCCCCAAGATGGCTCCCGTAATCCCGTATTTTCTGCGCTGCGACAGTCATTTCTGGGTCTACTCTTATATTATGTCTATGACAAAAACTATAGGCTCTTATAAGTGGCGTATTAGCACAGGTACACTCAGTAGAGTTAAACAAGCGCACCCTTTCCGAGGCTGTCGTTCTATTGGCTGGAAAGGTTGCTAGGCGACGATCCAACTGCAATCCCAGAGAGAGCAAAAAAATCCGCAAGCAGAGCCTACGGGTTTGCGAGCGTATCTGAGACTCGAGCAGAGCGCGGTTTGTGCGCGAAGAGAAGGAGGCAAGCAAGAGGAGAAAATATCTGTGCAAGAAGCATCAAATCTGAGAGAAGAAACAAAGATTTCAGAGAGAAGAGAAAATATTTGAGAGAGCGCATGTTTTGAGTGTGAGCATTATAAGTTTTGAGTGCAAGAAGATTGAAATTTCTCAAATTGAAATGATGTGCTCTTGCATTATGGCAGGATAATTCTCCCATACGTGGCAGAAAACTTATAACATGTGTTAGTCTGTGACCGTTGAAATTATTGAGAAAACTGTAAAAATCCTGTTGCTATTGTCTTGTAGGTAGTGTTTAAAAATAAGGCAGACCGGCCTTACTCTTTGCACCCTAATGGGGTTTCTTATACGAAGCAGTTTGAGGGTCTGTCCTATGAGGACGGCTCCAAGCACTGGTATAAATATGACAACGAGGTGCAGCCCAATGCAACCTACACATACATATGGAAAACCAGCGATATGGTTGAGCCGGCAGCTAACGAGTCTGACTGTCGGACCTGGGCGTACTACTCCGGTGTTAATCCTGTAAGTACTTAAAGACAAAACAGGTATTTATGTTTCCATTTATTCAAAAATGTGTAGTAATGCATGTCAGAGGTGGGGCCACGTCATTCTTTTACTTGTCTCAAGTCTATACAGATCAAATGCTTTACGATCCATCATTGAATCCAATATAATCAGATCCTTTCTTTCAGGAGAGGGATATCCACTCTGGCCTCATTGGTCCTTTGCTGGTGTGTCGAAAAGGCACTCTAAACAAAACGCCCCTAAACACCCGGGAGTTTGTGCTGCTTTTCATGACCTTCGATGAGTCTCAGAGCTGGTACTACGAAAGGAACCGTGAAGTAATGCTGCGGAAGAAACTAAGAAGAGAATACTACAGCAAGGAGAAACTCAAGTTCCACTGTAACACTTTTCAACCTTTGCTCTTAATTTAGTTTATTTTGAAAGAAAATGTCAATTTAAATACATTAGTGCTTTAATTAAGAAGTACAGGAAGTCATCTTACTGTCTATTTTTTTACGCAGCTATCAATGGCATAATATATAGTCTAAAGGGCCTGAGGATGTACACCAACCAGCTTGTAAAATGGCACCTCATCAACATGGGTTCCCCTAAAGATGTCCACAGCGTTTACTTCCACGGGCAGACGTTTACACATGTGAAGAGCAGGACCTCCAGACAGGCTGTGTTCCCCCTGCTGCCCGGTGAGAAAACACAGACAGCAGCCTGGTTCTCCCCCCCCCACCATCTGATATAATGTCTAACATCCTCACTGCTGTCTCTGCAGGGAGCTTTGACACTCTGGAGATGTATCCATCCAAACCTGGTTTGTGGCAGCTGGAGACGGAAGTCAGCTTATACCAGAAGGAGGGCATGCAGACGCTCTTTCTGGTTCTAGATAACGGTGAATACCGTGAAAACTCAAACACGTTTTATCATGAGCCTGGAAACTCAGAAAAGCAGTTTATTTGTTGGACGAAACGACTGACACAATTGTCGTCCCTCTGAAGAGAAAAAACATTGCTAAACTAAATAAACTTTTTGACCAGAATGTCCCAGAAAATTTTTTTACAGGATTATTAAGATTTATTTTTCATTTCAATGCTCAGTATTCAAGTCAACACTATATTGTAACAAAATGAATGAAGCTGTCTCATTTTTTCCCCCCTGAAACGACGTCTGATCGTAGAAACATGAAATCATGAAAAGGGTCATTTGCCATATTGAACGAAATGGTCAAAATTTAGTTTTGGAGGTTACATTTCCTCCTTCTCAGCCACAAAAAGAAGTCAAGGATCAGTTTTTTTATGCTCCTGGTGGGCTGTGTGGGTGACTCAGTGGTAAAGTGGGATCTATACTATCAGTTTCAAGTTTTCTGGAGATTTTTAGAGGACACAATTGCAGAGATGGAAGCTGAGGTAGTTTCTTGCTGATTTAATAAGTAGTGGCAACAGAAGCATAAATATAAAAAAAACTAATCTCAAAAAAATAAAAAGGACGAGAAAAAAGGGGGACACGTGGATTAAGGTGGGAATGAAGAGAATCCAGCACTGTGCAACTGCAGAAGAGGAGTATAAGTGCCAAACAGAAAAAAGAATGGAGTAATTAATTGATTGGGGGCAGGTGTGGATAGAAGGACCTAGAAGGGAGCTAGGGGGAAGGAGACTGGCACAAGGGGGCAGCAGAGAGTAAACAAGAAATACATAAGAACTCAAATACAACAAAAATGAAACCAATGACCTGAAAAAAAATGACATGAATTAAAGTGTAAATGAAAACTCAATAAGAAAGAACAAAAAGTGCAGAATCATGACAGTCATGGGTTTAATGTAATGTCTGCTTCTCTCTTTATTTCTGGGTTGAATAAATCTGCATAAAACTGGTTTATCTGATGCTCCGGGATTTAACAATGACATTTTTGTATCTATTTATTAAAGACTGTTGCCATCCTCTGGGTCTTGAGTCGGGCAGCGTGAAGGATGACCGGATCTCAGCAAGCAACACAAGAGGTACTACACCTGTGCAAATGACAAGCGAGTTAAATTACACTTATTTCCAACATGGATATGAATGCAAACATCTGTCCACCTTTCAAGGACCCTGGGAACCCCATCTTGCCAGACTTAATAACCAAGGGAAGTACAATGCATGGAGCACAGAGAAGAAGGGCAACTGGATTCAGGTAGGATCTTGTTCCTTTTTTTCTACACAGTATTTTTTTATACTTATGCTGTGTGTGATTCTTCTCAGAAGTCAGAGCTTGGAGTTAGGAATAAATGCTGTCCAGCTTTTTATTTTTGTGCTAAACAGTGTTATCACTCAATCTCTTTATTGTCAACTAAAACTTGCATTGTTTGTGTGTGTGTTTGGGACTGAGGCCTCTTTATGGCTTCCGAGGGCCCCACCGTGAGGCAGTTCCCTATAGCGCTGCCTTTATCTCTGTGGAAAGATAGGAGCCACATTAGGGATGGAGAGGGATTAAAAGCATATTTCAATTTTTATCTTTGACAGGATAGTTTGAGTTGTCAAAAAATCACCTCTGCACAAAAAAAGCACATTTAACACGAGACAAGCATTTCAGCAGCAGGAAAACATTGGAGGCTGGAGCCACATGCTAGTCAATCTGCCATTTTGAGCATCAGTTGTGTATGTATGATGAATGGCCATTGTCCTTGATAAGATGGAAGTTTATCAACCGCCGCTACCATTCTGGGTGCATCCACAGATGTTCCCGGGTGGGGTAGCTTGGGGGAGCCTGCAGTTCCAAGCCCTTCCGCCATAACATCCAGGGAGATTTCATAAGGGGGAGACTGAATCCAAACTAACACTTTTTGTTTTGAGAGCAGTCTACACAGGAATTTTCCTATCAGCCTTCGAGTCTTTTCTTCCTGACTCCACGTGGCAAATACAATATTCCAAATTTGTTGGGCTTTTCCACCTTGAAGCGAGCGTGCACATCCAAGATATTATCCCAACTGACCTTTGAGTTCAACCATCGCAGCCAGCCTGCGTTCAGTCGCACCCAGCATACAGCTCAGCTCACGGCCCTGCTCGTTCACAGCCTTGGTGAGCGCGTCAAGCTCTGTGCGCAGTCTAATCAACGGCCAAATTGTCACCAACATCCTCTGTAATTGTAGTTACCTTCAGGTTAGCCTCGTGAGACCATCCTGATCTCGCGAGCTTTCAAGGTTTCACTCGCAGATCAGTCTGGAGACTCTCCGTTAGAGAAAATTTGGAGCCGTTCACCAAATGAACGTCCAATCAGCATTGGCTTTGAGGCGGGTTGAGGTGTGACGCAACGAGAAACGCGACAGTTCAGTCTAAAGAACATGGCGGCTTCAGCCGATGAAACTAGCGTTAGCGTGGCTATCGAGCAAGTTTTATCGGAATTACAGAGTATTTCTTCACTGAAAGAAGAGCAAAACACTGCTCTGGAGGCTTTTCTCAGAGGAAAAGATGTTTTTGCTCTTCTCCCGACTGGTTTCAGCAAGAGTAGCCTGGCTTGTGGTTGTGTTTTCGTCGTCGCTCTGTTAGTACGTCATATGCTTCGTTGATCTGATTGGTTTATTTGGCTCGTCTATCACCAACATAGGCCAATCAGCTAACCAGTATTTTCGCCCCTTCCCAAAATTACTTCAACGGAAGGTTTCCAGATGGATATGCGGAGCAAATCCATCTGGCGGAGTCAGGTTGCCTTCAGGTATCCTCCAAATACAAACAGGAGAAATCCGAGTATCAAATCAGAAAATTCATACATCTTTACACTGTAAAACACACCATCCTCCAAGCCCCTCCTGGAGTCCATGGCGTATCCCACCAAATATGTCCCAGCAGGACAGAACGGGTCCCCTTTTCCCTTTCTTCCAGTTAAGAAAATTTGATCAATTGTATTGAGAGACCAGCTGATCAGATCCATTGTTTGAATTTAGGTGGTATGAAGAGAGCTCAGAAAAGACAAGACACAGCAAAGCAGCAGAAAAATGCGACCGCTTCCTTCAAGAGAGCGGCAGAAAAAGTATTTGGTGTTAGCAACACCAGACACAAACTGTATAGTTTTCTAAATGCACTTTATTTAAACAAGGAATGAGCAGAGTCAGACAACAGATTTATGTTTCACTGGTTTCTAATAAGTTCTTTTTGAAGACAAACATTTATAATGTCCTGCAGGCAAGCAGTTATATTGGATAGAAAAATGATGGTTCGTGTCAGGAAGCTCAGACTTTAGAGAGAATTCCTGTCTTTCTGAATGGGAGTAGGAAAACTGGAGTATTAATCAGAAAAGTTATGTCCTTCATGTAGTGAATCTGTTCTCTGTTGACCTCCCACTGAAAGGTGGACTTCGACAGGCCAGTGGTGATCAGCCAGGTCGCCACGCAAGGAGCCAGGGAGTTTTTTCAGTCCCAGTATGCCACAAATTTCTCCATCTCATACAGCAATGATGGCCAGAAATGGTTCTTTTACAAAGGCGACAGCAGAGATTTCTGCAAGGTAGGGGATTTTGACCTCTCTCATCTAAACTGAACACTTGTATCATCCCTCATGCATACCTCGTTTATCTGTCCTTTTTTATTTAGACATTTCAAGGAAACAATGACGCCTACGGGATAAAGAAGAACACCTTCTTTCCTCCTCTGGTCGGACGGTACATTAGGCTCCACCCTATCACCTGGGACAACGCAGCAACAATACGCATGGAGTTCTATGGTTGTGAGCTTGATGGTAAGATTTTGCTTAATAATAACGCGGACCTGTATAATTGGTACAATAGTTTATTTATGGTGTAATCCACTACATTTATACACAGTCAGCAACTAGCTAATACTGTCTTATGGTGCAGTCACACTGAGACAAACGCTTATTTCAGTCAGAATGGAATTGAGAGAAAATAATGTTGACAAAGGATGAAATAAAGAACGCCCTAACAAGGTTTTTGGGGTGGCTTTAAAAAAGCCATTTTAATTTACCATGAAGAACTGTTTGTCATCCTGCCTTACCTCAAGTTCAGACACTGACCAGTCTCTGCTGCCTCTCCCCACTTTGGTGCGCTCTGTCTGGGATGCTTTTCCGATGTAACGCTGCCCCCCTTTGATCCTCACCGTGTTTTTGTGAAAGTACCATAAGTCGCCAAAATAGTAGTAACAGTAGTATCTGCCACCAGTAGATCTATAAGTAGATCCTTGACCTATCTGGGTGGGTCCTCCTTAGATCAAGTCTGTCCTACAGATGATTTATTGGATGAAGATCTGGGGAAATTGATCCACACTTAGCTCCTCAAACGCTTCTCGATCCTTTTAGCTTTTTGAGTTGGTGCATTATTCTGCTAGTGGAAGCTGTGTCCATCAAAGGTAAGATGGGTGAACCCAATGTTTCCCTACAGATCATTGCCTAAATCATCTCTTCCAACATACCATCTTCCAATCGGAAGGCATTGTGGCACCATGTGTGCTCCAGGTTAGCCAGGCAGGGTTAGGGTTATCCATCCATCCCTCCTTTCATCACTTGGTGCTCCAGTTCTGATGTTCATTAGACATTGTTGATTCCCTTGAAGGAGTCCATAATGCTGTGGCCGCTGTGGTTCAACACAAAAAACTGCAATGTTTGATGGACCTTTCAAAAGGAACCAGCAAGAATCTCTTTGGAATTTTGTGATATTTAGAGTTTTCTGAAGGAAAGCGCCTCATGCATCAGTCTTTACTCCCCATAGCCTTACATGATCACCCCACCAAATTACTACTGCAGACCAGGAACAGGGCAAAATTGGGCATAAATCAAAAATAACTGCGTCATACCTGCGACAAGCTAATTGCGACACATGCTGCGAGAGTATACACAGCCTCTTACTGTGTGTTATATCCCAACCACTAGCATGTGGAGTAAGACTAGAGTAGGACACCTTGCAAAGTTCCTTTCATTCCTACCACATTGGTCACATGTTTGCATATTGTTATACTAATGGCTCTGGAAAAGGTGATATACCTCAACTTCTCCACTATTCTGGTGTTTGCACTTGAATAATTAGTCAATGTGATAAGAGAAGTGACATAAATCCATTTGCCTCCATTTACTATTTACAATACAACATGAGTTGCAGTTCTAGATGAAGGTCTGCAGATACAGCAATATCTCAGAGACATGGTAGACTGATTCCAGATTGCTGGAGAACATTTCAAATCAATTCTGAATTCAGAATTGCACCTCCTTTACTTACCACCAGGGCCTAACCCTGGAGGTAAAGCCATCTTTACCAAGAAGGGAGTCCATTCTGATGATATGCGTTGATGCATCGTCCTAGACTTTGGAGTAAGGCGTCTGAGGATTGTGTTTTGAATGTCCATTTCTAATGCCCTGTCCCCAGGTTGCTCAGTTCCTTTGGGGTTGGAGAGTGGATTAATAGAAGATAGACGCATCACAGCCAGCTCCGAGGCATCCAGCTGGTTCAACGGAGACTGGAAAGCCTCTCTTGCTCGCCTCAACAAACAGGGTGCCGTTAATGCATGGAGAGCTAAGGTAGGAATCACCAGTGCCTCACGAAAGTGTTCACTTTGAGCTTTTTCAATCAGTGTTTGTCAACTTACAACAACAAACATTACTGTTTATTTTCTTTTTAATCTCCAAAAGTCCTGCACAGAATGGGACTGGGCTCTGTGTTTGAAACAGAGGTTAAAATGGCATTCAATAAAATCAGGACTGAATAGTCATAGAATAAATTTACAATGACTGACATTCAATATGTAAGAATACATATTGCAAAAATACATTTAATCCTGTTAAAGGCAGGCTCTGTGTTTACACCTTGAAGCTTTCTCTCTCTCAGGTTCGCTTACTGAAAAGAGATCACTCGGTACACATGTACACTTCATAATGTACTGATGATGTTTGATAGAAATTATAATAATAATCAGATCAGAAAAGTTGCTCAGAGTTACAGAAGGCAGCTGCTTACCAAACGGGCTCACTTCTCGGCAAGTGGCCCCGATTAACAGTTAGAGAAGCATTTTATACTTCTCTAACTATGCCACATTATCACATCGTTACATCACACACGTTTGCAGATGAGGAGACATCCATGGCTCCAGCCTTATAAAAATATTCCACTTTGTTCTTAGCTGAAGGACGCCGCTCTCATTCAATTCCCAAATCTTTGCCACAATCAGAATGAAGATCATCAACTGTTTATATCCAGACAGAGGAACTGGCCTAATCAGATAGACTACTGGGGAAATCGTCAGTTTTGACATGCAACAGGCAGCTAATATTAAGGTGTAATAAACTCACACATCATCAATGATAATTATCCTAACAATCCCAAGTCAAACCTTTTTCAATTAATAACCTGCAGTTGGAATTAACAAGATTTGTGTTTGTAACGACTGTGTGAGAGATGAATAGAGATGAATCGAATCGTCATGTACCGTGTTGCTGCACCGCACCCAGTCTGTTAGGCCTGGCAGTTCCCCAGGCTGGGGAATGCTGCAGACAGTCTGTTTCTTAGTAATCTGGTTCTGGAAGTAGCCTGCAAGTAAACAGTCTGAGGAAAGACATACAGGAGTTCTTTCCAATGCATTCTGGGCCAGTTCCACAGGAAGGTGGGAATCAAGCCTTTATGGCGAGCACAACAGGAGGCCTCTCATGTCCCTTGAAGCTGTTCTTTGCAACTCTGTACAGCACGGCAATGGTTTCACAATTGTTTATGGCACCAAAGTAGCCAGAAATGTAAGTGGTAAAACCTTGGAAAATACGTAAGACATTTTATAGTGTCTCTGCTGTTTTTATGAAGCAAAGTGACATGAACCAGTGGCTCCAAGTGGAACTGCCCAACGTGAAGAAGATCACAGGCATCGTAACTCAGGGAGCCAAGTCGATAGGAAAGGAGATGTACGTCATGAAGTATGCTCTGCAGTACAGCGACAACGGGATACACTGGACCTACTACACAGATATTCGTGATCTAACTGTAAAGGTAAGCTAACGCAGAAAGTCTTCTTATCAAGGAGCACTTTGCTGGAGCCTTTTGTTTGTTAAAATAGTTCTAATGAAACTCTTTCTCCCTCTCATAAATGTAGGTGTTTGATGGAAACACAAACAACGCTGATCACGTGAAGAACTACATCTATCCTCCCATCTTCTCTCGATTCATTCGAATTGTCCCTAAAAGATGGTGGAACTCCATCACCATGAGAGTTGAGATTCTAGGCTGCGACTTTGAGTGATTCTTAAAGGTTTTTAATGAACTACTTCCCAGAAATATTAATCTTAATGCAATAAAACTTTTTAGAATGGAGGTAAAGATATTCAGAGTCCTGCAACGTTAACACACCATTAAGGTTATCATTCTGTCTTGTTACGACCACAAACTTTATCGTAATTTGTTTGGATGTCTTAAGATGTTCAAAGTACCTCGTTTCTTGTAATTAAAGTTCTGAGTCTTTAGTTGAGCTATATCTCTACAAACGTCTGTTGTGCTGGTGAAGATTCTCAGTCATTCAGGTCAGAGTCATTCCAAAAAAGTTAAAAAAAACAATCCACTGGACTTTGTTTTCAAGTTTGAAGATGTTTCTCTTCCATCCAGGAAGCTTTTTCAATTCAAAATGTCAGAAATAGCGTTTAGTTCCAGGTTTTATAGAGGCTTTATAGTGGTGTCTGCAGGTCGATGCAGTGAGGAATGCTCTGATCTTTATACTGGAGAAACCAAACAACCTCTCCACAGACGCATGGCCCAACACAGAAGAGCGCCCTCCTCTGGACAAGACTCTGCAGTACATCTACACCTGATGGACAAAGAAGATTGGCTTCCTTCATGTCCCTCTCAAACCACCTGTCTTCTTTGTCCAAAATGTGAACATTCTGGACCTCCAAAGAATGTCCACATTTTGGACAAAGAAGACAGGTGGTTTGAGAGGGATATGAAGGAAGCCATCTATGTTAAGAAAAAAAAAACCAACAACCTTAAACAGAGGGGAGGGTGACTCAGATTTCAGCTTTCAATAACCTACAATGCAGCGATAGAGCTGATTACCTTCTGCTATCATTCCAAACGCAACCCCTTTACAGGAGAACAGAAGACCTGACCTATTCAGCCAGGCCAACAATTCCCTCTAACGACCCCCCTTTTAGAGACATAGACAGGTATGGGGCATTGCAGGCTAACAAAGAAGCCAAACGACCCCCATTCCAAAGGGGGGGACCCGTTCATCCGTTTCTATTTGCATGTCCTGAACTAAAACCAGGCTTTGTTGGGCTGCTGGATAAAACCTGGAACTAAACGCTATTTCTGACATTTTGAATTGAAAAAGCTTCCTGGATGGAAGAGAAACGTCTTCAAACCTGGAAACAAAGTCCAGCGGATTGTTTTTTTTAACCTCTTTGAAATCATCAACTAACAAATTAACAAATATGGCAAGCCCTTTGGACAATAATGAACGCAAAGAGATAAACTAACATGGCAACACCTCCTGACAATAATGAACATAAAGGCATAAATCTATAGCAAGACCAACTAACAACAATAAGTGCAAAGGAAATCGCAAAATATCATAAGAAGTTACTGACAATAATAAACACAAAGTGTTTAACTATAACAGCACCTACTGACATGAGTGACCACAAAGAAATGAGCTGGGAGGTGACACCTATTTCTAGTCTTTGCAGGTTTTAATCCGAGTTTAAGATTATACCAAGTAACAGGTTAGATACTTAAAAGGAATTAAACTTTAACTTTTCTGTCAGTTGGACGATTTTTATGTCGTTTTAAGAACTAGCTTTGTGCCATGAAATAGGACTAGATTTCTTTAACCGACTGTTTAAATGAATGTAAAAAAAAAACAAACAAACATATTGTTCATCTTTCAGTATGTCAAAGCAGATATTCTTTCTCTATATAAATATTCCATCTACATAAACAAGAATCTTAATAAGATTCCTGTAGCTACACTATTAGACAAAGATAAACTTTATTCTGTTTCGTACAGCTTAAAACTATGAAATGAACATTACCATTTATTAAGAGAAGCAGTGAACAGAATGTGTCTCAGTGTCGATAAAAAGAAACCATTTAAAAGAAAAGTCCGGTCATCAAGGAATATTCAATGGATCATTATCTACACCTTAATCTAATTATCTATACCTAAAACTAATGAATTTAGCATTACTTACATTTTTTTCATGATCACTGAGTCTGGGAGCGGCCATTTTTGCCCAAATATAGTAGCCCCTCCCTCCTGCCATCTTCCAGCAGTGACGTCACGGTGCGGTAAGCCTAGCGCCATTCTCCCCGCTTTCCAAGCTAAATCAATGGGAACTACTAGACACATCTGCAATCAACAACAATTATTGAAGATTTCCAGAGGACTTCACCATTGAAATTCACCAGAGCTACAGTGAAACTGACAATGCCCACGTGCATGGCAGCTGGATGCTGGAATACATCGGGTAAAAGTGAAAAAAAGAGTTATTCCACCTTTCTGATTCCTGATCCTCCACGGACGGGTTGGTCGTTGGATCGCCAACTTGAAGAGGGAGGATTTGCCATCGAACTTCTGGCCAGAGAAAAAACCCGTAATATGTAGCCAACATTTGGAAGAAGAATGTTTTCAAGATGACTTGGATAATAGCGCGTTGTGACAAACACCAGATACAGCACTGGGACTTGATCAACAGCCGATACCGCACCGTGACAATGTCACTAACCAGTAGGTGGCAGTAGTGTTCTTTGACAAACATGGATGCCTCCAGTAAAGCACATTCACATGAAAATTACTCTGAATTAAAAATCATTTATTGAACAGGATGGAATCATTTCACATTTTAAGGTTGAATTCTATATGTAACTGGACTTTTCCTTTAAAAACAATGGTAAAAAAGGGCATTAATATGAAAAGCTTCAGTGCAGCGCAGAATAAATATGGTGCAAAATGCAGTGGAACATTGGGTATTACCCTATTTAAGCAGCACAATCCATGTTAGCAGCTGATCATTCAGCACTATGAAAAATGGATTCTGTTTGGTTGAAAAAGTTGAACATGAATACCTGACCAGGAACAGGAGTACCACAAAAGCAAAAAAAGACAAAGGTTAATTAACTAAGTTACTCCAAGACATAAAAAATATAAGTGAAGTAAATTTGTACAAAAGCAGAAAAATTAAAGCATCCATGCATCCTCTTCTGCTTATCCATCAGGGTCATCTTTCCAGACAGATTGTTGCCAATAGATCCATTACAGGAAAACACAACCATTATACACTCACCTAAGGACTATTTAGAGACATTAATTAAACTAACAATCAATCAGACATGTTTTTGGACTGTAGGAGGAGCTTGAGTATGCACGCATGCACAGGGAGAACATGCAAGCTCTATGCAGAGACACCCGAAACTGGGGATTGAACCCACAACCTTCTTGCTGCAAGACAGTGTTTTCAATCTGCACCACCATGCAGCCTTAAATAAAACATAACAAAAAATATTTTTTGTTAAGTTGGATGTATTTCTGATTTGCAATGTTATTAAATCAATTTCTGTCTTTTGTTTTTAGAAAGCTAGTGAAGTTATTTGCAAGTTCTTGCTTGGCCACTAGGTGTCAGTCACTGTAACAAACTCTTCCTTTAATAATTTATAGAAAAAATAAATCGTCTCTTTATGTTTGTATCGTCTGACATGCAAACTGAACTGTAAATATGTAAGTAGATGTAATTTATTGTGTTTTAATAAATATGATGTTTGTGTATTTAGTGTCAGTCTCCCCCAACGCTGCATCATTATAAGCCTCTCTGCTGAGGCCAGCGCCGCGGTTAGATACACACAATTCAACAAACAACTGTTTTTACATTTGTAAAAACAAATGTTTTTACATTTCTGATTATATTGGATCAGGTTTGAGGTGTAAATCTCTCACCACCTGGTTTTACCAATTAGTGAAGCCAGTTTTACTTCATAAGCAGGAAAAATTGCCCCAGCTGACTCTTTACACACCGAGTTAGAAAAAAGAAACGGGAATTTTGTTTTCCTTCAAAAAGGACAGTGTGCTCACTGAAGACAGGATAGCATTCTAATTTACAAGCTTCTTTGGGAAAAGATTTATGATTGGTTATCAACAAAAAATCTGATTCCTAATTTTGAATATAAAGGAGTTAAATTTGGATTTACTTTTCAAGAGAAAAATGTGGAATGTTTATGTAATATTATTTTCATTTTTGGAAAATTCTTTATTCACAAGTGCAGATTCCTTAAAGTCGTAGGGAAGCGGCCGTTCCAACCGTTGCATTTCCGAATTCTCCCAGTGGTGCCCGACTTTACACGAGTGAATAAAGCGAATGTGATTGGTCGTTTATCAAGGGGGCGGGATTGTTGTGGCGGAAGGTTAGCAAGCAAGTTTGGTTGTGGCCGGTTTGTGGGAAGCATCTTGCTAACCAGTTAGCATCTTAGTGCTAGCAGGTTCCCAGTGGGAAATTCCATTGGGACCAAGTAGCACTAAATTGGTGACTTAGAAACGACGCTGTCAAGGAACGCTATGGACAGCGGAAACATGCAAGAGGAGGAGAGTTTAGTGTCGGAGGTCGTGGATGAGTCTCCTCCGTCATCCATTTTTTATTTAGAGGAGGAAAGCGGGGACGAAGATGTTGTGGAAGAGGACGCCAGGGCGGCAGAAGCTTGGTTTGGTGTAGAAGGCTTCCAGCCGTACATGTTTGAGCCCTTGCCTCGCAACGCTGCCAGTTCTGTTAGCTCTACGCCTGCTGAAAATTTTATCTAATCTAAATTTTGAGACAATATGGTCTTATAAAGAGAACATTTATATACATGTTTAACCCAGAATGATTTAACATTTAAATATTATTTCCATACAACTTTGAAGTTTCTGCAAATCTCCAAACATTCCAAAATTATATTAAAAGTTTTCAAACCTCGATTAATTTACTGGGAAAAAACAATGCCATATGCTACGTTCAGACAGTTGGAGGCAGCAGAAGCAGCTGGTTTACATGCAAAGTCAATCGTTGACGCGCATCAAGGTGCAGCTAAAGGTCCTGCAGCCTCTAGAGCAGCAGGAGCAGCAGCGCATCATGAGCTTCTGAGCATCTGAGGCGCTTCACAAGCAGCAGCTGCTGGAGTTGGAGAAATGTAACTTTAGCTGCTGGACGCGCCTCATCAACCAATGAGAGAAGCTGATCTGGGAGCTGGCAGGGAGTCAGACGCAGCACTGCTGATGCAGAGCGCTATGATCACTCCTCTGAAACCGTTTATTAACGCCTAAATTAACTTCAAATGTAGAAACCTGCCGGCAGAATATGTTGGCTTTTATTATCCTGCTGCCTGCAGTTTGTAGCACAGACCTGAAAAACGCTAACATCTACTTCCAGCCGCCACCAACAGGAGGGGAAAACCCTGGAGAGGCGAGCGGGCCTGAGGCAGCTGCTGCTGGGGATTCCCAGTGACAGCGCA